GTGTGTGTGCTGTGTGTTTGTGCTGTGTGTATGTATGTGTGTGTGCTGTGTGTGTGTGCTGTGTGTATGTATATATGTGTGTGCTGTGTGTGTGTGCTGTGTGTGTGCTGTGTGTGTGTGCTGTGTGTGTATGTATGTGTGTGTGCTGTGTGTGTATGTATGTGTGTGTGCTGTGTGTGTATGTATGTGTGTGTGCTGTGTGTGTATGTATGTGTGTGTGCTGTGTGTGTATGTATGTGTGTGTGCTGTGTGTGTATGTATGTGTGTGTGCTGTGTGTGTATGTATGTGTGTGTGCTGTGTGCTGTGTGTGTGTATGTGTGTGTGCTGTGTGTGTATGTGTGTGTGTGCTGTGTGTGTATGTGTGTGTGTGCTGTGTGTGTATGTGTGTGTGTGCTGTGTGTGTATGTGTGTGTGTGCTGTGTGTATGTGTGTGTGTGCTGTGTGTGTGTATGTGTGTGTGCTGTGTGTGTATGTATGTGTGTGCTGTGTGTGTGTATGTATGTGTATCTGTGTGTGCTGTGTGTATGTGGGGAGCGGTAGTGTAGCGGGTTAGCGCGCTGCGCTATGAACCTGGCGACCCGGGTTCGATTTCCGCTCACGGCCAACACCAAGTGACGATTATCTGAACCGGTCCCGGCCCTCCCCTAGGTCGACTCAGCCTCAAATGAGTAGCTGGTGCGGTGTGTAAACATTGCCACTGGGGAGACAAAGGCGGTCGGGCGTGGTGCTGGTCACCCACCCTCTCGTGTACCGTTACCGGCCTTCATAGGTGCTCGCTAACAGCACTTGCCCCTACAGTCTGTTAAGGCTATACGGGGGATCTTTTTTGTCTTTGTGCTGTGTGATGTATGTGTGTATGTATGTGTGCTGTATGTATGTATGTGCTGTGTGTGTGCTGTGTGGCAGTGAAAAGTCGTAAATGTCACGAAAGTTAGTAAAGAGACAACGCTGCAACATCGGTGACCCCGGGAGACGACGCAGTGGGAGGGAGGGAGGGGAAGGATGGAGGGAGGGAGGGAGGGGGAGTTACCCCCTCCCTCCGCCACCTCTCAATCCCTGCCCTGCACGACAGCTAAAACGGTACGCAGCGACGCGTGGAGAGAGGCGAATGTTTGGGGCTGAGACGCAGAGCGCCGGACACCCATCGCGCTCACTCAGTCATTCGACTCGCTCAGCGCGTGCCAATGGTGTGGCGACACGTTGACCTTTATCGAGCAGTGGATAGACGAGTGGATGATGATGATGACGGAACTACGCCGAGTGGCAGAGAGAGGGGCCACGTGGGTTAGAGGACACACACACATACACGCACGCGCGCGCGGTCTCGAGAGTCGAGAGATGATCGTCATCCCGACCAGCGGTTCTTTCACCTTTTAACTGCAGCCTTTCACCCCTTTGGTGCTCAATCGTAAAAAAAACAACAACAACGACGCATGTTTAAGAAATAAAAACGTTGATTTGATTTAGCAAAGTAAGTTGTTACTGACGTGACCCTGCTTAATTTGTGTTTTCGATTATTTACCTTTTTAAAGAAAATCTGCCATGGTCTCGCACCGCCCCCCCCCCCAGGTGGTGCGGCGTGCACCCCCCCCCCCCCAGGTGGTGCGGCGTGCACCCCCCCACGTGGTGCGGCGTGCACCCCCCCCCCAGGTGGTGCGGCGTGCACCCCCCCCCTCCCCAGGTTAAGAAAAAGAACCACAGTTCCAGACCTGCGAATGAGCCTTGAACGGACGCGTCACGGCTAGAGGGCGGGGGGCAGGGAGGGGGGTTGATGGGGTGGGGGGATGAGAGGGGGGGTCGATGGTCGAGACTCATCACGGAGTGGCAGCCAAGTGATGGGGAGTGGCCAAGGTGGGGCCGTGGGGTGCACAGGCGAGCAATCATCGCCCCCTGCTGGCAGACTCCGTACTCCGGGTCACTCTCGCCAATGGGAACTCCGCTATCCAGGGCCTCTTGGCAGCTCGCCCTGGTGACACCACCACGCCAACTGGGATTTGAAACTCGCTCGCTCATTCAACGTCCTCACTCAGCCACCCACCGTCACACTCTTCCATCATTTCACCCAGCCACCCACCATCTCACTCATTCATTCACTCACCCACCATCTCACCCACCCACCACCTCGCTCACCCACCACTGTTACGTTGCAATTATGGCTTTAGTTTTTGGTGATTTGGGAAACGTTTTTTTGGTTTTGGACATGTTTGTTTTGTTGTAGTACGGAGTTAGACTGATGGCCTTAATCTAAGTTTTCTTGTGGTTGTTGTTGTTTGACTTGCATCCCACTGGGATTTTTTTGTACACAGCGTGGTGTACGGTGCTTTTTTCAGGAATATTTTGCTGTTTTTATTTTCATGGATTTTCTGTGTGCACAGTTAGATAGTCACTTTAACATGTTTTTCTTTTTCGAGTCAAGAGCCGAATGGCTCACAGGGCTATACCAAAATAAATAAACTGAAAAAAGCTAAACGAAAATAAACTAAAAATACTCACCATCACACTCACCCATCATTTCACCCAGCCACCCACCATCTCACTCATTCGCTCACTCACCCACCATCTCACCCACTCACCACCTCACTCGCCCACCATCATACTCACTCACTATCTCACCCACCCACTATCTCACTCACCCACTATCTCACTCACTCATTCACTCCCTCTTGCGAATGAGACTCATCCTGGTCTCTTCAGTTCTCATCAACAGCACGAACTGCATCTCAGCCTCCACTCCTATTCACTGCCATTCACTACCAACAATACCCGGGGCAGGGTGTGACTACAGCGTGTGTGTGTGTGTGGTGTGTGTGTGTCGTGTGTGTGTAGCATGTGTGTGTGTAGTGTGTGTCGTGTGTGGGGAGCGGTAGTGTAGCGGTCAGCGCGCTGCGCTACGAACTCGGCGACACAGTTTCGAACTCCACTCACGGCCAACACCGGTGACGATTATCTGAACCGGTCCTGGGCCTCCCCTAGGTCGACTCGGCCTCAAATGAGTACCCTGGTGCGGTGTGTCGTAAACATCGCCACTGGGGAGACAAAGGCGGCCGGGCGTGGAGCTGGCCCCCAATAGGTGCTCGCTAACAGCACCTCGCCGACCCTCCCCCCTCCGCCCTTGGTTGAGCCCAGAGAATTTGAACTTGGGGACAGAGACGGAGACGAAGAGCGATTGGGAGAGTGGAAGGGGGCAGAGAGGAGATGGATATCGGAGAGGGTAAGCAGAGAGTGCATGGAGCTGCAGGGGAAGATAGTGGAGAGTGGGAGATGGAGGGAGCGAGAGGGAAGGGAGGGAAAATGAGAGGGGGAGACACGGGGAGAGAGAGTACGAGAGGGGAGAGAGAGAGAGTACGAGAGGGGAGAGAGAGAGTACGAGAGGGGAGAGAGAGAGAGAGTACGAGAGGGGAGAGAGAGAGAGTACGAGAGGGGAGAGAGAGAGAGTACGAGAGGGGAGAGAGAGAGAGTACGAGAGGGGAGAGAGAGAGAGTACGAGAGGGGAGAGAGAGAGAGTACGAGAGGGGAGAGAGAGAGTACGAGAGGGGAGAGAGAGAGTACGAGAGGGGAGAGAGAGAACGAGAGGGGAGAGAGAGTACGAGAGGGGAGAGAGAGAGAGTACGAGAGGGGAGAGAGAGAGTACGAGAGGGGAGAGAGAGAGTACGAGAGGGGAAAGAGAGAGAGAGTACGAGAGGGGAGAGAGAGAGAGTACGAGAGGGGAGAGAGAGAGTACGAGAGAGGGGGAGAGTCGCACGGGGAGATGAGAGGGGGAGAGTCACACGGGGAGATGAGAGGGGGGGGAGAGTCACACGGAGAGGGGAGGGGGGGGGGTCACACGGGGAGATGAGAGGGGGGAGTCACACGGGGAGATGATAGTGGGGGAGAGTCACACGGGGAGAGAGCGCAGGAACTGTGGTGCGACTCGTAGTGACGTCGCCGCAATCACAAACTCAGAGGGCGGGGGAGGAGGGGAGGGGTTGGGGGAGGAGAAGGGGAGGGGTGGGGGAGGTTGTTCTGATTGTTTATAATTTTAAGGAGACAGAGAGGAGAGAGAGTGTCAAGGGGCTTTGGCAGTGAGTTGGGAGAGGGATAGCAGAGAGAGAGAGGAGAGAGAGAGGGAGGGAGGGAGTGAAGACGTCTTGACAGGGAGAGTTGGCAAAGGAAGAAGAGGGAGGAGCGGTGGGGAGAGTGGGGGACGGAAGAGGGAGAGCGAGGAGAGAGTGCACATGGGGGGAGAGTTCCGCACACAGCCACGCACGTTTAACGCTCTCGATCTACGTGCGTCACATGGAGTTTCTCAGAGTCCACGCTTTATCGGCCGCGGTTGTTGTGAGGATTTAACGTGGGTCGCGTCTGGCGCGCGTGTGAAAACGGAGCCGCGGTGCTAAACAGCGAGTAACCGATTAACACAAAGACAAACACACACACCGCCAAACACACACACAAACACGCACACACAGACACACACAAACACACACACAGACACACACATAAACACACACACACAGACACACACACATACAGGCACACACACAGACATACACACAAACACATACAGACACACACACAAACACATACAGGCACACACACAGACATACACACAAACACATACAGACACACACACACATACACACACAGACAAACACACACATACACACACAGACAAACACACACACACACATATACAAAAACACAAGTACGAATAAGATAGGCGTACACACAGACATATACAGACACGCACAGGCACGCACTTGCATAGACCTCACCACACATACCAAACCACACGCACCCAAAGACAGACACACACTCTCACACACACACACGCTACACAAACAAACGCACACTCGCATACCACACTACACCCACGCACACTCACGCGCACAATACACTTACACACACACAAGCTGACATTCACACCCAACGCTACCTCACACACACAACGACAACAAACACCCACACACATAAAGACAACACGCACACCCACGCCACACACATTCACATACACACACACACTGTTACACGTTCGCACTCTCTCACACACATACAACACACTAACCACACACAACTGAGACTCGCACGACACACACCCTAACACACACACACTCCTACGCGCACACACTCTCACACATTAACAGTCTTACGCGCGCGACATCGCCGAGTTCCCCGTGAAGTTTCGGGGGTGCGAGTTTGACTCCGGGATGGGCCGGGGGGTGGTGGGGTTGGGAGGAGGAACCCGCTGTGCCCCCTTCGCCGCGACCCCCTCGACCAGACCCTTGTAAGGGGGTCCTCCCGCGGGCTGGGACTGGTGACCCCTCGGGATCCCCTCGGGATCCCCTCCGCCGCGATGCCTTCAGCGGCATCGACTCGCAGCGTCAAGTCGCGCGGCGGTCCCTGCGGGGTAAGGGCGCCTCCACGTGTCTCTGTGCGTGCCTCCACGTGTCTGTGTGCGTGCCTCCACGTGTCTCTGTGTGTGCCTCCACGTGTCTCTGTGTGTGCCTCCACGTGTCTCTGTGTGTGCCTCCACGTGTCTGTGTGCGTGCCTCCACGTGTCTCTGTGTGTGCCTCCCGTGTCTCTGTGTGTGCCTCCCGTGTCTCTGTGTGTACCTCCCGTGTCTCTGTGTGTACCTCCACGTGTCTGTGTGTGCGCCTCCACGTGTCTCTGTGTGCGCCTCCACGTGTCTCTGTGCGTGCCTCCACGTGTCTCTGTGCGTGCCTCCACGTGTCTCTGTGCGCGTGCCTCCACGTGTCTGTGTGCGCCTCCACGTGTCTCTGTGTGCGCCTCCACGTGTCTCTGTGTGTGCCTCCACGTGTCTGTGTGCGTGCCTCCTGTGTCTCTGTGCCACCACGTGTCTCTGTGTGTGCCTCCACGTGTCTGTGTGCGTGCCTCCACGTGTCTCTGTGTGCGCCTCCACGTGTCTCTGTGTGTACCTCCACGTGTCTGTGTGTGCGCCTCCACGTGTCTCTGTGTGCGCCTCCACGTGTCTCTGTGTGCGCCTCCACGTGTCTCTGTGTGCGCCTCCACGTGTCTCTGTGTGTGCGCCTCCACGTGTCTCTGTGTGCGCGTCCACGTGTCTGTGTGTGCGCCTCCACGTGTCTCTCTGTGTGCGCCTCCACGTGTCTCTGTGTGCGCCTCCACGTGTCTCTGTGTGCGCCTCCACGTGTCTCTGTGTGCGCCTCCACGTGTCTCTGTGTGCGCCTCCACGTGTCTCTCTGTGTGCGCCTCCACGTGTCTCTGTGTGCGCCTCCACGTGTCTCTGTGTGCGCCTCCACGTGTCTCTGTGTGCGCCTCCACGTGTTTCTGTGCCTCCACGTGTCTCTGTGCCTCCACGTGTCTCTGTGTGCGCCTCCACGTGTCTCTGCGTGTGCCTCCACGTGTCTCTGCGTATGTCTCCACGTGTCTCTGCGTGTGCCTCCACGTGTCTCTGTGCGCCTCCACGTGTCTCTGTGCGTCTCCACGTGTCTCTGTGTGCCTCCACGTGTCTCTGCATGTGCCTCCACGTGTCTCTGCGTGTGCCTCCACGTGTCTTTGTGCACGCCTCCACGTGTCTGTGTGTGCCTCCCGTGTCTGTGTGTGCCTCCACGTGTCTGTGTGTGCCTCCACATGTCTGTGTGTGCCTCCCGTGTCTGTGTGTGCCTCCACGTGTCTGTGTGTGCCTCCACGTGTCTGTGTGTGCCTCCCGTGCCTGTGTGTGCCTCCCCGTGTCTGTGTGTGCCTCCCGTGTCTGTGTGTGCCTCCCCGTGTCTGTGTGTGCCTCCCGTGTCTGTGTGTGCCTCCACGTGTCTGTGTGTGCCTCCCATGTCTGTGTGTGCCTCCACGTGTCTCTGTGTGCCTCCCGTGTCTGTGTGTGCCTCCACGTGTCTGTGTGTGCCTCCACGTGTCTGTGTGTGCCTCCCGTGTCTGTGTGTGCCTCCACGTGTCTGTGTGTGCCTCCCGTGTCTGTGTGTGCCTCCACGTGTCTGTGTGTGCCTCCCGTGTCTGTGTGTGCCTCCACGTGTCTCTGTGTGCCTCCCGTGTCTGTGTGCCTACACGTGTCTCTGTGTGCCTCCACGTGTCTGTGTGCCTACACGTGTCTCTTTGCCTCCCGTGTCTCCCTGTTTCTCCTCATGTCTCCATGTATCTCCCCATGTCTCCCCGTATTTCCATGTCTCCCCGTGTCTCCGTGTGTCTCCATGTGTCTCCCCGTGTCTTCCCCCGTCTCTCCGTGTGTCTACATGTGTCTCCCCGTCTCGCCATGTTTCTCGCCGTGTCTCGCCGTCTCTTCCCCGTGTCTCCCCGTGTCTCCATGTGTCTCCCCATGCCTCTCTGTGTGCCCTGTCTCCCCGTATCTCCATGTATCACACACCTGTGCCACACCCCCCCCCCCCCCCACCGTGTCACTCACACCCGTGTCACACAATGAACAGCACTTGCACCAGCAGCCTGCGGAGGCTACACAGAGAACCTTTGCCATTGTATTTGTATTGCGCGGATGTTGTCACAGTCACGAGTTCACGGTCAACTGAGTGTCAGCTCCCTCAGTGACCGTGTGCGGGGGAGGGTTGAGGGGGTGGTGGTGGTGGGAGGCAACCCCAACCTCCACCCTCCGCCTCTTTCACTCCGCGTGTCACTACACCACCACCACCACGTGTCATCCCAACCGCGTGCCATCATCACAACACCCACGTACCACCACCCCCCACGTGTCATCACACCAACTACGCCCGCACAATCACGTGCCATCATAACAACCACGTGTCATCACAACAACCACGTGTCATCACAACAACCATGCCAGCACAATCACAACCACGTGTCATCACAATCACGTGTCCTCACAACAACCATGTCAGCACAATCACAACCACGTGTCATCATAACTACCACGTGTCATAACAACCACGTGTCATCGCAACCACGTGTCTTCGCAACACGAACCACGTGTCATAACAACCATGTCAACACGAACCACGCGTGATCACAACAACCACGTGTCATCACAACCATATCAACACAAACACGAACCACGTGTCATCGCAACCACGTGTCATCGCAACAAGAACCACGTGTCATAACAACCATGTCAACACAAACACGAACCACGTGTCATCACAACAACCACGTGTCATCACAACCATGTCAACACAAACACGAACCACGTGTCATCGCAACCACGTGTCATCGCAACACGAACCACGTGTCATAACAACCATGTCAACACGAACCACGTGTGATCACAACAACCACGTGTCATCGCAACATTAACCACGTGTCATCACAACCATATCAACACAAACACGAACCACGTGTCATCGCAACCACGTGTCATCGCAACACGAACCACGTGTCATAACAACCATGTCAACACAAACACGAACCACGTGTCATCACAACAACCACGTGTCATCACAACCATGTCAACACAAACACGAACCACGTGTCATCGCAACCACGTGTCATCGCAATACGAAACACGTGTCATCACAACCATGTCAACACAAACACGAACCACGTGTCATCACAACAACCACGTGTCATCACAACCATGTCAACACAAACACAACCACGTGTCATCGCAACACGAACCACCTGTCATCACAACCATGTCAACACGAACCACGTGTCATCACAACCATGTCAACACAAACACGAACCACGTGTCATCACAACAACCACGTGTCATCACAACCATGTCAACACAAACACGAACCACGTGTCATCACAACAACCACGTGTCATCGCAACACGAACCACCTGTCATCACAACCATGTCAACACGAACCACGTGTCATCACAACCATGTCAACACAAATACGAACCACGTGTTATCACAACACGAACCACGTGTCATCGCAACACGAACCACGTGTCATCACAACAACCACGTGTCTGCACCTTGGCAATCCCGCACGACCACAACCGCTAATCTCGACTCCACCCTCGCTCCCAAACCCACAGAGGGGGACGGTGGAAGGGAGGGGGAGTCATGGGGACGTGGGTGTGTGGGTGTGGTTGTGTGTGTGTCTGTGTGTGTCTGTGTGTGGTTGTGTGTGTCTGTGTGTGTCTGTGTGTGATTGTGTGTGTGTCTGTGTGTCTGTGTGTGGTTGTGTGTGTCTGTGTGTGGTTGTGTGTGTGTCTGTGTGTGGTTGTGTGTGTGTCTGTATGTGGTTGTGTGTGTGTCTGTGTGTGGTTGTGTGTGTGTCTGTGTGTGGTTGTGTGTGTGTGTCTGTGTGGTTGTGTGTGTGTGTCTGTGTGGTTGTGTGTGGTTGTGTAAGTGTGTGTGTGTGGTTGTGTACGTGTGTGTGTGTGGTTGTGTAAGTGTGTGTGTGTGGTTGTGTAAGTGTGTGTGTGTGTGGTTGTGTGTGTGTGTGGTTGTGTAAGTGTGTGTGTGTGGTTGTGTGTGTGTGTGGTTGTGTAAGTGTGTGTGTGGTTGTGTAAGTGTGTGTGTGTGTGGTTGTGTAAGTGTGTCGGTGTGTGTGTGTAGTTGTGTAGGTGTATGTGGTTGTGTAGGTGTGTGGTTGAGTAGATGTGTGTGTGTGGTTGTGTAGATGTGTGTGTATGCGTGTGGTATGGGCGGTATGTGATGGAGCGGAGGGGCGGGTTTAATCGGCGTGGATGTTGGGACACGCGTGGCGCCGACACCTGATCCCTGATCCCAGATTCGTGGTTGGAAACTTCTGAATGAAACGCATTCTTCCGAGTCAACAGCTCGCACACATACACACACACACCCATACACACCCACAACCACCCATACACACACCCCCATACACACCCACACCCACCCATACACACACATCCACCCATACACACACACACCCATCCACCCACATACACTCTCACACAGACACAAAGACAAAGACCCCCCGTATAGCCTTAACAGACTGTAGGGGCAAGTGCTGTTAGCGAGCACCTATGAAGGCCGGAACGGTACACGAGGGGGTGGGTGGCCAGCACCACGCCCGACCGCCTTTGTCTCCCCAGTGGCGATGTTTACACATCGCACCAGGTACTCATTTGAGGCTGAGTCGACCTAGAGGAGGCCCAGGATCGATTTAGATAATCGTCACCGGTGTTGGCCGTGAGCGGGAATCAAAACCGGGTCACAGGTTTCATAGCGCAGCGCGCTAACCGCTACACCACCGCTCCCCACCACTACACAGACACTAACACACTCACACAGACACACACTCACACAGACACTCACACGGACACTCATACGGACATTCACACAGACACACACTCACACAGACACTCACACGGACACTCATACGGACACTCACACAGACACACATTCACACAGACACTCATACAGACACTTGCACATACAGACGGACACGCACACGGACAATCACACGGAGACTCACTCGGACACACAGACAGACACTCGGACACTCACACACGCACGCACACAGACCCCCGAGCGCTTATTAATTAACTCTGGAATGATGGAAACCGGCGTCGAGGGGGAGTGGGTGGGCGGAGGGGAGGGGGGTTTGGAGGGGAGGGGCCCCCACCGCCCACCCCCCCAAACGTCTCTGATCCGGAGCCAAGGCTTCTCAAACGATCAATGGGGGCTGGTCCGAGTCGGTGGTGGAAACTCCACGTTCCCACGCCAATGAAAGCGGTTTGGCTGGTGCAAACGTCGTCCTCGACGCTTCGTGAGACGACTCGAGACGACTCGAGACGACTCGAGTCGACTCGTGAATAGAGAGGCCCTGCCTGGGACGTTTGGCCAAGTTCACGTGGTCTTAGGCAGTCGGGGTTTCGGTATTTAACATCACCAGCAGGGCCAACTCGGCTCCACATCACCCTCCTTTACCGCAGCGGCACGTCTCTTCTCCAGCCCATATATATATACACACACTCGCCCACACGTCCATCCCACTCAGCCATCCACTCACCCACCCACTCGCCCACACGTCCATCCCACTCAGCCACCCACTCACCCACCCACTCACCCACCCACTCACCCACCCACTCGCCCACCCGTCCATCCCACTCAGCCACCCACTCACCCACCCGCTCGCCCACACGTCCATCCCACTCAGCCACCCACTCACCCACCCACTCGCCCACCCCACTCAGCCACCCACTCACACACCCACTCGCCCACCCCACTCAGCCACCCACTCACACACCCACTCGCCCACCCGTCCATCCCACTCAGCCACTCACCCACCCACTCGCCCACCCGTCCATCCCACTCACCCACTCACCCACCCACTCGCCCACCCGTCCATCCCACTCAGCCACCCACTCGCCCACCCACTCGCCCACCCACTCGCCCACCCACTCGCCCACCCACTCGCCCACCCGTCCATCCCACTCAGCCACCCACTCAGCCACCCACTCACCCACCCACCCACTCACCCACTCGCCCACCCGTCCATCCCACTCAGCCACCCACTCAGCCACCCACTCAGCCACCCACTCAGCCACCCACTCAGCCACCCACTCACCCACCCACTCGCCCACCCACTCGCCCACCCATCCATCCCACTCAGCCACCCATCCATCCCACTCAGCCACCCATCCATCCCACTCAGCCACCCATCCATCCCACTCAGCCACCCATCCATCCCACTCAGCCACCCACTCACCCACCCACTCACCCACCCACTCACCCACCCGTCCATCCCACTCGGCCACCCACCCGTCCATCCCACTCGGCCACCCACCCACCCACTCACCCACCCACTCACCCACCCACTCACCCACCCACTCACCCACCCACTCACCCACCCACTCACCCATCAGTCCATCTCTTATCCAGCCCATACATATATACACTCACCCACCCACTCACCAATTCACGCATAAGTCCATCTCTTCTCCAGCCCATATATACACACACTCGCCCACACGTCCATCCCATTCAGCCACCCACTCACCAATCAGTCCATCCCACTCACCCATCAGTCCATCTCTTATCCAGCCCATACATATATACACTTAACCACCCACTCACCCACCCACTCACCCACCCACTCACCCACCCACTCACCCACCCACTCACCCACCCACCCACCCACTCACCCACTCACCCACTCACCCACTCACCCACTCACCCACTCACCAACCCACTCACCCATTCACGCATAAGTCCATCTCTTATCCAGCCCATATATATATACCATCGCCCACCCAATCAACCCACTCAGCCATCTGCCCACTCACCCACACACTCACCCACTCGCCCATCAGTCCATCTCCTCTCCAGCCCGTATATACACACTTGCTAGCCCATTCACCCACTCACCCATCGGTCAATCTCTTGTCCAGCCCATGTCGCGCGCGTTTAGCTCCCCTCTGTCTGGCCAAACAGAAGCTGCTTGTGCATGCGATGGCTGGGCATGCGGGCTATGTGACCCAACCAACGCAGCCTCCTCGTCTGTCAGAGGAGCTCACCGATGATGGGAACTATGTCCAGGTCTTTCAAGGATCTGTGAGCTCCTCACACTAACCCAGCCTTGTTATACCGATGATGGATCGTCGTAGGCAGAGCCAGCCTGAATGTCACGCGTAGCAACACGCACACGAGAGGGGAATCAGACAGCTCAGCATCCTGCTTGCTGTACTGCCGTGGCCACCCTTGCAGAGGCCGTGTGTCGCGTATTGATTCGCCGTGGTTTGGATGGTGTCACGAGTCCGAAGTTTGGCCTCTGACACCTCGCGATCTCCATGGTCTTCCATGGTCTTGGCCTATTCTGCAACCCCCCCCCCCCACCTTAATCCTCCTCCATCACCCCCCCCCACACCTCCTACCGCCCCCCACCACCACCCAATGTCCCACAGACGGACGATGGAGATGCCTCCACGACGCACGCGTTCAAGACCAAGACGTTCAAGAGGCCCAAGCCGTGCCTTGCGTGCCGGCAGGACGTGTGTGGCCAGGCCCACTCGTGCCGTGGTGAGAGAAGATGTCCAACATCACCATGAGTCCACCATGAGATCAAAATCTCCCGCCTCCATTGATGAGATCATCATCTCACGCCTCCATTCATGAGATCAACATCTCACACCTCCATTCATGACATCAACATCTCACGCCTCCATTCATGAGATCAACATCTCCCACCTCCATTCATAATGTAAACATCTCATGCCTCCATTCATGAGATCAATATCTCCCACCTCCATTCATAATGTAAACATCTCATGCCTCCATTCATGAGATCAACATCTCCCGCCTCCATTCATGAGATCAACATCTCACGCCTCCATTCATGAGATCAACATCTCACACGTCCATTCATAATGTAAACATCTCATGCCTCCATTCATGAGATCAACATCTCCCGCCTCCATTCATGAGATCAACATCTCACGCCTCCATTCATGAGATCAACATCTCACGCCTCCATTCATGAGATCAACATCTCACGCCTCCATTCATGAGATCAACATCTCACACCTCCATTCATGATATCAACATCTCCCGCCTCCATGAGATCAACATCTCCCACCTCCATTCATGAGATCAACATCTCCCGCCTCCATTCATGAGATCAACATCTCCCACCTCCATTCATAATGTAAACATCTCATGCCTCCATTCATGAGATCAACATCTCCCGCCTCCATTCATGAGATCAACATCTCACGCCTCCATTCATGAGATCAACATCTCACACGTCCATTCATGAGATCAACATCTCACGCCTCCATTCATGAGATCAACATCTCACACCTCCATTCATGATATCAACATCTCCCGCCTCCATGAGATCAACATCTCCCGCCTCCATTCATGAGATCAACATCTCCCGCCTCCATTCATGAGATCAACATCTCCCGCCTCCATTCATGAGATCAACATCTCCCACCTCCATTCATAATGTCAACATCTCATGCCTCCATTCATGAGATCAACATCTCCCGCCTCCATTCATGAGATCAACATCTCCCGCCTCCATTCATGAGATCAACATCTCCCACCTCCATTCATGAGATCAACATCTCCCGCCTCCATTCATGAGATCAACATCTCCCGCCTCCATTCATGAGATCAACATCTCCCGCCTCCATTCATGAGATCAACATCTCCCGCCTCCATTCATGAGATCAACATCTCCCTGCCTCCATTCATGAGATCAACATCTCCCGCCTCCATTCATGAGATCAACATCTCCCACCTCCATTCATAATGTCAACATCTCCCACGTTACACGTTATAGCGGCTCGCATTCAGCGTTGTGCGAAAAGTGTTCCCGAATGGAAGGAACCGCGTGTAGCCACATTGCGGTGTAACGTGAACACCGCGGCTTGAGCGAGGACTGCCCCACAATGTGATTGTTTGACGCTGGCATTGGTGACCGGGCCGAAACCATCAACGCCAATGAATCACAACTCTGCGTGAGCCTTTGGGTCTCTCTCTATGCGAGTCTGTGGGTCTCTGTGCGAGTCTGTGCATCTCTGTTCGTCTCTTTGCGAGTCTGTGGGTGTCTGTGTAAGTCTGTGGGTCTCTGTGTAAGTCTGTGGGTCTCTGTGTGAGTCTTTGGATGTCTCTGGGTCTCTGTGTGAGTCTGTGGGTCTCTGTGAAAGTCGGTGGGTCTCTGTGTGAGTCTTTGGAGGTCTCTGGGTCTCTGTGTGCGTCTGTGGGTCTCTGTGTGAGTCTTTGGATGTCTCTGGGTCTCTGTGTGAGTCTGTGGGTCTCTGTGTGAGTCTGTGGGTCTCTGTGTGAGTCTTTGGATGTCTCTGGGTCTCTGTGTGAGTCTGTGGGTCTCTGTGTGAGTCTTTGGATGTCTCTGGGTCTCTGTGTGAGTCTGTGGGTCTCTGTGAAAGTCTGTGGATCTCTGTGTGAGTCTTTGGAGGTTTCTGGGTCTCTGTGTGAGTCTGTGGGTCTCTGTGAAAGTCTGTGGGTCTCTGTGAAAGTCTGTGGGTCTCTGTGTGAGTCTTTGGATGTCTGTGGGTCTCTGTTTGAGTCTGTGGGTCTCTGTGTGACTCTTTGGATGTATCTGGGTCTCTGTGTGAGTCTGGGTCTCTGTGTGAGTCTGTGGGTCTCTGTGAAAGTCTGTGGGTCTCTGTGTGAGTCTTTGGAGGTCTCTGGGTCTCTGTGTGAGTCCATGGGCCACGATGGTCTGTCTGCTAGACGCGAGTGAACTGGCTGTAGGCACATGCCTTGGGACACAGAACTCCCTGTTTTGATATCCAGAACAGTGAGCTTACATCAGAACTTGTCCTTCGCCTTGAGCCCCCCTCCCGTTTTAAATGTAAGGCCTCGACTAGCCGAGAGATTCGACCAAGCCCACCCAGCACCCTCACGGCGTCCCAGACATCCCGGCTCACTGTGACGTCTGTCCCCTTGGTCCCACGTGTCTCTCAACCCTGCCCCCCACCCCCATGACCACCCCCCCGTGTACCCACCGTGTGTCCCCTCTGTGTGTCCCCCCTGTGTCCCCCCTGTGTCCCCCCCTCTGTGTGTGACCCCCCTCTGTGTCCCCTCTGTGTCCCCCTCTGTGTGTCCCCTCTGTGTGTCACCAGCTTGCAAGCTCGCGTGCCACAAGAAGTGCCTGTGCAAGGTGAGTGACGTGGAGACACGCGGTCCCCACGGAGTTCCCCATGCATTCTCCACGCGGTCCCCACGGGGTCCCCATGGGGTCCCCATGGGGACCCCGTGGGGACCCCATGGGGACCCCATGCAGTCCCCACAGAGTTCCTCATGCAGTCCCCACGGGGTCCCCACGGGGTCCCCATAGGTCCCCATGGGTCCCCGACAGGTCCCCACCACGCACTAGCGAGCAAGGGATAGAGTGCTCCCCGCTCGCACACGTGCATGATCTCCGCGTGCGTTTTCTCTACACTGGCTTCCTTGCCTCTCATCTCACTCCCCTCCACGCACTCTCCTACCTCTCCCCTCTCATCTCACTCCACTCCCCTCCACGCACTCTCCTACCTCTCCCCTCTCATCTCACTCCACTCCCCTCCACTCACTCTCCTACCTCTCCCCTCTCATCTCATTCCACTCCTCGCCACGCACTATCCTGCCTCTCCCCTCTCATCTCACTCCACTCCCCTCCACGCACTCTCCTGTCTCTCCCCTCTCTCCCCTCTCATCTCACTCCACTCCCCTCCACGCACTCCCCTGCCTCTCCCCTCTCATCTCACTCCCCATGCCGTGCCATGACCATACTTCACCACACCGGCCAGTCCCGGTTGATGACGGAGCAAGTGGTCCAAGCCCGGTTGACTGCGGTGGTGTTGTTGACGGTGTGTTGTTATTGTTGTTGACTGTGTGGTATTGTTGTTTAGGCTCCTGCATGCAGACCAGCGCTGAGCAACGAGCAGGTAGGTGACACCCACAGCAGCCTAATTACATAGTAGTGTAATGTAATTACAAAAAATAGTGTAATGTATCAATCATTGCCCCCTACCGCGAAATGTTGGTATGGGCCTTCCCGAAGAAGTCTTGAGACTCGAGGCATTCCTGAGTAAAAACGGCGCAAGTCGTCATCATAATGAGTGACAATAAAATGCATGTCCAAGGCTGAAAGTATTTGACTTTTAAAGTTTAAACTCGGACAGAGAGAGAAGTCATTGAGACTCCACACGCCACAGTCGTCATCTTCACGCGCCTCGCTCTGCTGCACGGAACAAATTCCGCTCGCCCCGTTCCAATCACACTGCGCGGCTTAAATGGGGCGGGGGGGGGGGAAATAAAACATCTCGACGATGCGACGTTTCAGGCAATGGCCCTTTCGAATATATGTGGCGGGTGGGTGGCTACGCTGCCGCGCTTGGCTGCCTGCGACGCAGCTCTGCAGAGGGCAGCGGCTAGGGTTGGTGGATCGCACAAAGATGATGGGGGGGAAACTCCGTTCCCCCCGTGGGCGTCGGCTTAGAGCTTACCCCTAGCTCGACAGGAGAGGGCGGTACAGCAAAGTGTGTGGACTAATCTCCGTCCGTAACAGGAAGGCTTTTTTTTTTTTGGGGGGGGGGTGGGGGGGGCGGTGGTTGGATCGCGTCAATATAAACGCGTCGTCAAACGCCGCCAATACCCGATACGGCCAATCGCTTAAGGTTTGTCACGCGAGCAAGAGACGTGCCGATTCCGTTACTGGTACAGCACACCGGTGTGTCGGAGAGTACATGGCACAATTGTAAATGTTTGAGTGGGGGTTTACTCTCCGACACACCGGTGGCCGGGTTTAACGACACGCGCACGAACGCACGCACGCACGCACTTGTATTTGGGCGATCAAACCCAAAAAAACCCTCTGTTGTGGATGATATCGGTCGCGAAAGTCCTGGCCACGTGGACATTTACTCCCGCACAGAGCGAGGGAAACTGCCTGTAGAGCAGGGGTCCCCAACCCCCGGGCCACGGACCGGTAGCGGTACCGGTACCGGTCCGTGGCCTGTTAGGAACCGGGCCGCACAGGAGGAGGTGAGCGGTGGGCGAGCGAGCGAAGCTTCATCATCTGTATTGACAGATGAAGCTTCATCATCTGTATTGACAGATGAAGCTTCGTAATCTGTATTGATAGATGAAGCTTCGTCATCTGTATTGATAGATGAAGCTTCATCATCTGTATTGATAGATGAAGCTTCATCATCTGTATTGATAGATGAAGCTTCATCATCATCTGTATTGATAGATGAAGCTTCATCATTTGTATTGACAGATGAAGTTCATCATCTGTATTGATAGATGAAGCTTCATCATCTGTATTGATAGATGAAGCTTCATCATCTGTATTGACAGCCACTCGCTCATCGCTCGCATTACCGTCTGAGCTCCGCCTCCTGTCAGATCAGCGTCGGCATTAGATTCACATATGAGCGCGAACCCTCCTGTAGACTGCGCATGCGAGGGATCTGCGTTGCGCGCTCCGTATGAGAAGTCAAAATCCGACACTTACTTTAATCCGCGCGTGGCCCGCGCGCCCATTATTTTATTATTTACCACTTCCGTCCACGCCTCTTTCCCGCACTGCGCACTCAGTCTCAGTCACGTGGTGTTGGTAAGCCCACAAGCTCTAACCCCTAGTAGCCACAATGAGTAAGCCCACAAGCTGACCCCTAGTAGCCACAATGAGTAAGCCCACAAGCTAACCCCTAGTAGCCACAATGAGTAAGCCCACAAGCTAACCCCTAGTAGCCACAATGAGTAAGCCCACAAGCTAACCCCTAGTAGCCACAATGAGTAAGCCCACAAGCTCTAACCCCTAGTAGCCACAATGAGTAAGCCCACAAGCTAACCCCTAGTAGCCACAATGAGTAAGCCCACAAGCTCTAACCCCTAGTAGTCACAATGAGTAAGCCCACAAGCTCTAACCCCTAGTAGCCACAATGAGTAAGCCCACAAGCTAACCCCTAGTAGCCACAATGAGTAAGCCCACAAGCTCTAACCCCTAGTAGCCACAATGAGTAAGCCCACAAGCTAACCCCTAGTAGCCACAATGAGTAAAAAAGGGGGAAAGACCCAATGATGAACCCCCCCAATGATGAACCCCCCCACCCCCCCCCCCCCCCCCGGTCCGTGAAAATAAATTGTCTTCCACGAAACCGGTCCCTGGTGCCAAAAAGGTTGGGGACCGCTGCCTGTAGAGGACAAGCAGAGCTGGGAATTTCGTGGGATGCTCCTCGTCTTGACTTAAAGCTTTCGTGACTGCAGGAATTCACGTTATTTGGGTCTTTCGGTAAAGGTACGTAGATAGGTTCACAGAAAATAACAAAAAAAGACGACGTTTCGATCGCAATGCAAGCGATCGTCATCAGGGGCAATGATTGATGACGACCCGCTTGTGTTGCGATCGAAACGTGGTAGTTTTTTGTTGTTTTCTTTGGACCTATCTGCGTGACTTTACCGACAGACCCCAAGAATGTGCTCATCGTCACCACGTGGCTTCTGCGGCCTCCCCTCCGCTCCTCGCCTGTGGTTCCTCCTGGGGCCTATTGAGTCGTCACCCGCCCCACCTCCCTCCCCTCCCTCCCCTCCCCACCTCCCTCCCCACCTCCCTCCCCACCTCCCTCCCCACCTCACTCCCCCACCTCCCTCCCTCCCCCTCCCCACCTCCCTCCCACCCCTCCCCACCTCCCTCCCTCCCCACCTCCCCTCCCCACCTCCCCTCCCCACCTCCCCTCCCCCACCTCCCTCCCCCTCCCTCCCTCCCTCCCCTCCCCTTCCTCCCCACCTCCCTCCCTCCCCTCCCTCCCCACCTCCCTCCCTCCCCTCCCCTTCCTCCCCACCTCCCTCCCTCCCCTCCCTCCCTCCCTCCCTTCCTCCCCACCTGCCTCCCACCCACCCCTCCCCCTCCCCTCCCCCTCCCTCCCCTCTCTGTCTCTGGGTGTTAAACTGATAACAGCACGGCTTATAACCAGTGCCGGATAAAGATGTTGTAGACCCCCCCCCCCCCCCCCCAGGTACTGTGAGCCCCCCCCCCTCCCCCCAGAAATATTTTCAAAAAGAAAGTTAAATAAAAAATAAAATTTTATTTTTTAAATGCTAACAACAAAAATTCAGCATTCACAAACGAAATCACTTTTCACTTCATCTCTGAAGGCCCTTCAAGCTGGCGGGAGGCCCCTGGGCTACAGCCCCTAAAGCCCCCCCCCCCCGTGCCTTAATCCGGCCCTGCTCATAACAAGCAGTGTGGGGCTTTCGCGAGAAATATTCTCCCGAATAAAGGGGGGTGGGGGGTTGGGTTTGGTTAGATCGCATAAATATAACCCGAAATTTCTTGTCGATGATAACGGCACAGTTAGTCGAGGTGGGGTAAAGTGTGGGTACCTCAAACTCTTCCAACGCGGGCACGTGCTCTGAAGAAGGGGGGTGCATTGCCTGAAACGTCGCCTGCTCTGTCCTTTTCCTTTTGAAGGTTACGCTCGGGGTTTTGCAAATTCTGACCGAAGCCATTTCCGTGAAATGTTTTATAATTATCATTATTATTTTAGTCTCTTAAATAATCATTCAAATTCGAATCTTACCCTCGGGAGATCAAACCCAATTGCGGCCGAGACTCTCCCGTCCAATCCGGGACGGTTGTCACCCCTCATGCTGTGGGGTCGGCCTTGGCACGGAACGGCTCGGGCACGGGAGGGTGGAGAAGGGTGGTGAGCCGAGCCACGCGGGCCCCGTGCCGGGCCGATGGCGCCCCCTGGTGGTTAGTGACAAGCCCGGCCTGACCCCCCCCTCCCACCGCCATCATCGTCGATCAACATCGGACAAGAAACATCGTGAGCCAGGATCAATCCACCGCTGGATGAGGGCTCTGCCCGCCCGGTTGTGGATCGTTGGGGGGGGGCTCGTTTGACCATACTTCACCACGCTGGTCAGTGAAGGTGGGGTGGGGGGGGCAGCATCCCCTAGGCTAGACCACACAGGGGCATCGTTCATCCCCTAGACTAGACCACACAGGGGCAGCGTTCAACCCTAGGTTAGACCACACAGGGGCATCGTTCATCCCCTAAGCTAGACCACACAGGGGCATCGTTCATCCCCTAGACTAGACCACACGTGGGCATCGTTCATCCCCTAAGCTAGACCACACAGGGGCATCGTTCATCCCCTAGGCGAGACCACACAGGGGCATCGTTCACCCCCTAGGCTAGACCACACAGGGGCATCGTTCATCCCCTAGGCTAGACCACACGTGGGCATCGTTCATCCCCTAGGCTAGACCACACAGGGGCATCGTTCATCCCCTAGGCTAGACCACACAGGGGCATCGTTCAACCCCTAGGCTAGACCACACAGGGGCATCGTTCATCCCCTAGGTTAGACCACACAGGGGCATCGTTCATCCCCTAAGCTAGTCCACACAGGGGCAGCGTTCATCCCCTAAGCTAGTCCACACAGGGGCAGCGTTCATCCCCTAGATTAGACCACACAGGGGCATCGTTCACCCCCTAGGCTAGACCACACAGGGGCATCGTTCACCCCCTAGGCTAGACCACACGTGGGCATCGTTCATCCCCTAGGCTAGACCACACGTGGGCATCGTTCATCCCCTAGGCTAGACCACACAGGGGCATCGTTCATCCCCTAGGCTAGACCACACAGGGGCATCGTTCACCCCCTAGGCTAGACCACACAGGAGCAGCGTTCATCCCCTAGGTTAGACCACACAGGGGCATCGTTCATCCCCTAGGCTAGACCACACAGGAGCAGCGTTCATCCCCTAGGTTAGACCACACAGGGGCATCGTTCATCCCCTCGGCTAGACCACACAGGGGCATCGTTCATCCCCTAGGCTAGACCACACAGGGGCAGCGTTCAACCCCTAGATTAGACCACACAGGGGCATCGTTCAACCCCTAGGCTAGACCACACAGGGGCATCGTTCATCCCCTAGATTAGACCACACAGGGGCAGCGTTCACCCCCTAGGCTAGACCACACAGGGGCATCGTTCAACCCCTAGGCTAGACCACACAGGGGCATCGTTCACCCCCTAGGTTAGACCACACAGGGGCATCGTTCAACCCCTAGGCTAGACCACACAGGGGCATCGTTCATCCCCTAGGCTAGACCACACAGGGGCATCGTTCATCCCCTAAGCTAGTCCACACAGGGGCAGCGTTCATCCCCTAGATTAGACCACACAGGGGCAGCGTTCACCCCCTAGGCTAGACCACACAGGGGCATCGTTCATCCCCTAGACTAGACCACACAGGGGCATCGTTCATCCCCTAAGCTAGTCCACACAGGGGCAGCGTTCATCCCCTAGATTAGACCACACAGGGGCATCGTTCACCCCCTAGGCTAGACCACACAGGGGCATCGTTCATCCCCTAGACTAGACCACACAGGGGCAGCGTTCATCCCCTAAGCTAGTCCACACGTGGGCATCGTTCATCCCCTAGGCTAGACCACACAGGGGCATCGTTCATCCCCTAGGCTAGACCACACGTGGGCATCGTTCATCCCCTAAGCTAGACCACACAGGGGCAGGGTTCATCACCCCCTAGTGGCAGCACGCTGATGTCCCAGGTCACTGTCGCGAATGAGACTCCATCCTAGTCTCGTGAGGCCCGCCTGGGCTACACACCAACAAGTGAACTTGACGCCCCCCGACTGGACATCAGTGAACAAGAGCTTTATAGCTCATCGGATTTCCGCCGGTGTAAATACATCTTCTGAGTTGTTGCTATCCCTGCTGCTGCTGCTGCGTGTGTTTCTGCGGAGCCATCGTCAACCTCGTGGTGTTGAATTCCCACCCCCGTGCCCCGTCCGTCTTTGTCTCTCTTCCCTTGCAGCCAAGCGGCTCCAAGAGGAGCATCGCGTCCATTGTGAGTCTCCTGGTGGGGGGGGGGGGGAGAGGGGGGGCAGCATCATGCAGTCGAGGGGGAATCCCAAATATCTAAGCAACTCAAAAAGATAACTCGGCCGACAATTTTTACAACCTCCTTCCCACATCCGAAGCGCTTAAAAAAAATAACAACGTATATATAAACCAAAAAAACAATTGTAAACACGTCCCAGCAGACGCACGCGGCCTTCTGTGCAATGCATCGTCGTCATCATCAGTAGCGGCAGCATCGGTCCAATACAATCGCGACAATACCGGACCGGTTTCGGCATATCAGTGTCTCATCAGCAGAGTCAGGCTTGACTCATCGACACCACAGCATTGATCATTGACTGCTCGCAACTCTACTGGGCTGTTCTCCCCCCCCACCCCCATATGCTGTGAGAATTGGCGACCTGTACAGCTCTGATGAGTCCTAACTATGACGAAACCGGTGGCTACCTCTGCATCGTCATCACCATCACCATTCACTCCGATCGATGTAGACGGAGACCTGCCACTAACGTGGGGGGGAGGGGGGACCCCGTGGTGCAGTTCCTCAGGAACTACCAGGGGCATAATGCGCATGCGTAATGTGCATCGATTGCTATATAAATAACCCGGCAATTGATACCCAGAGCCATTTAGATGCATTCCTCAATGCCCCCCCCCCTCCCGGCACTCCGCACAAGAAGAGCTCGCAAGTGACGCCATCACGTCGACCCCCCCACGCCCCCCTCCTCTGTTGAAGGAACGAAACAGGAGGAGGATTAATCCCACGAATCTGGCTGTAACGCCTGATGAAGCCGGTTGTAATTACTGGCGAAACGTCGTACGCTCAGATTGTTCATGTTGTGGCTTTGCTGTCCAACACACAACCGGTTAGTGCTGTACCGGTGACGAATTTGGCCACGTTCCGTTTACGTGACGAACCGAACTCATTGGCTGTGTCGGGTGGTGGCGGGTTTAACGACACATCTACGCGATCTAACTCTGACCATTGCTCTGCGTGCGTCCAGTCAGCCCCCAGGTCTCCGTCCAGCGCGAGCAGCAGGGCCAGCTCACGGGCATTCTCCTAGTAAGTGTGTGTGTACGGTACACTAGAAGTGTGTGTGTGTGTACGGTACACTAGTGTGTGTACGGTACACTAGTGTGTGTACGGTACACTAGTGTGTGTGTACGGTACACTAGTGTGTGTACGGTACACTAGTGTGTGTGTGTACGGTACACTAGTGTGTGTGTATACGGTACACTAGTAAGTGTGTGTGTGTGTACGGTACACTAGTAAGTGTGTGTGTGTGTACGGTACACTAGTAAGTGTGTGTGTGTGTACGGTACACTAGTAAGTGTGTGTGTGTGTACGGTACACTAGAAGTGTGTGTGTGTACGGTACACTAGTGTGTGTGTGTACGGTACACTAGTGTGTGTACGGTACACTAGTGTGTGTGTGTACGGTACACTAGTGTGTGTACGGTACACTAGTAAGTGTGTGTGTGTACGGTACACTAGTGTGTGTGTGTGTACGGTACACTGTGTGTGTGTGTACGGTACACTAGTGTGTGTGTACGGTACACTAGTGTGTGTGTACGGTACACTAGTGTGTGTGTGTACGGTACACTAGTGTGTGTGTGTGTGTACGGTACACTAGTGTGTGTGTGTGTACGGTACACTCGTGTGTGTGTGTGTGTACGGTACACTAGTGTGTGTACGGTACACTAGTGTGTGTGTGTGTGTACGGTACACTAGAAGTGTGTGTGTGTGTACGGTACACTAGTGTGTGTACGGTACACTAGTGTGTGTGTGTACGGTACACTAGTGTGTGTACGGTACACTAGTGTGTGTGTGTACGGTACACTAGTAAGTGTGTGTGTGTACGGTACACTAGTGTGTGTGTGTACGGTACACTAGTGTGTGTGTGTACGGTACACTAGTGTGTGTGTGTGTACGGTACACTAGTGTGTGTACGGTACACTAGTGTGTGTGTGTACGGTACACTAGAAGTGTGTGTGTGTACGGTACACTAGTGTGTGTGTACGGTACACTAGTGTGTGTGTGTGTACGGTACACTAGTGTGTGTGTGTACGGTACACTAGTGTGTGTGTGTGTGTACGGTACACTAGTGTGTGTGTACGGTACACTAGTGTGTGTGTGTGTGTGTACGGTACACTAGTGTGTGTGTGTACGGTACACTAGTAAGTGTGTGTGTGTACGGTACACTAGTGTGTGTGTGTGTACGGTACACTAGTTAGTGTGTGTGTATACGGTACACTAGTAAGTGTGTGTGTGTGTGTACGGTACACTAGTAAGTGTGTGTGTGTGTACGGTACACTAGTAAGTGTGTGTGTGTGTACGGTACACTAGTAAGTGTGTGTGTGTGTACGGTACACTAGAAGTGTGTGTGTGTACGGTACACTAGTGTGTGTGTGTACGGTACACTAGTAAGTGTGTGTGTGTGTACGGTACACTAGTTTGTGTGTGTACGGTACACTAGTTTGTGTGTGTACGGTACACTAGTTTGTGTGTGTACGGTACACTAGTTTGTGTGTGTACGGTACACTAGTGTGTGTGTGTACGGTACACTAGTAAGTGTGTGTGTGTACGGTACACTAGTAAGTGTGCGTGTGTGTGTACGGTACACCAGAAGTGTGTGTGTGTACGGTACACTAGTGTGTGTGTGTACGGTACACTAGTGTGTGTGTGTACGGTACACTAGTGTGTGTGTGTACGGTACACTAGTGTGTGTACGGTACACTAGTGTGTGTGTGTGTGTACGGTACACTAGTGTGTGTGTACGGTACACTAGTGTGTGTGTGTGTGTACGGTACACTAGTGTGTGTGTGTGTGTACGGTACACTAGTAAGTGTGTGTGTACGGTACACTAGTGTGTGTGTGTGTACGGTACACTAGTAAGTGTGTGTGTGTACGGTACACTAATAAGTGTGTGTGTGTGTACGGTACACTAGTGTGTGTGTGTACGGTACACTAGTGTGTGTGTGTACGGTACACTAGTGTGTGTGTGTGTGTACGGTACACTAGTTAGTGTGTGTGTGTATACGGTACACTAGTAAGTGTGTGTGTGTGTACGGTACACTAGTAAGTGTGTGTGTGTGTACGGTACACTAGTAAGTGTGTGTGTGTGTACGGTACACTAGTAAGTGTGTGTGTGTGTACGGTACACTAGAAGTGTGTGTGTGTACGGTACACTAGTGTGTGTGTGTGTACGGTACACTAGTAAGTGTGTGTGTGTGTGTACGGTACACTAGTAAGTGTGTGTGTGTACGGTACACTAGTTTGTGTGTGTACGGTACACTAGTTTGTGTGTGTACGGTACACTAGTGTGTGTGTGTACGGTACACTAGTAAGTGTGTGTGTGTACGGTACACTAGTAAGTGTGCGTGTGTGTGTACGGTACACCAGAAGTGTGTGTGTGTACGGTACACTAGTGTGTGTGTGTACGGTACACTAGTGTGTGTGTGTACGGTACACTAGTGTGTGTGTGTACGGTACACTAGTGTGTGTACGGTACACTAGTGTGTGTGTGTGTGTACGGTACACTAGTGTGTGTGTACGGTACACTAGTGTGTGTGTGTACGGTACACTAGTGTGTGTGTGTACGGTACACTAGTAAGTGTGTGTGTACGGTACACTAGTGTGTGTGTGTGTGTACGGTACACTAGTATGTGTGTGTGTGTACGGTACACTAATAAGTGTGTGTGTGTGTACGGTACACTAGTGTGTGTGTGTACGGTACACTAATAAGTGTGTGTGTGTGTACGGTACACTAGTGTGTGTGTGTACGGTACACTAGTGTGTGTGTGTACGGTACACTAGTGTGTGTGTGTGTACGGTACACTAGTGTGTGTGTGTGTGTACGGTACACTAGTGTGTGTGTGTACGGTACACTAGTAAGTGTGTGTGTACGGTACACTAGTAAGTGTGTGTACGGTACACTAGTGTGTGTGTGTGTACGGTACAATAGTGTGTGTGTGTGTACGGTACACTAGTGTGTGTGTACGGTACACTAGTGTGTGTGTGTGTACGGTACACTAGTGTGTGTGTGTGTACGGTACACTAGTGTGTGTGTGTGTACGGTACACTAGTGTGTGTGTGTGTACGGTACACCAGAAGTGTGTGTACGGTACACTGCAAGAGCGTGTGTGTGTGTGTACGGTACACCAGAAGCATGCGTGTGTGTGTGTACGGTACACCAGAGGTGTGTGTGTGTGTACGGTACACTGCAAGAGCGTGTGTGTGTACGGTACACCAGGTGTGTGTGTGTGTACGGTACACTGCAAGCTCAGAGCCCACACCGGTGACGTTTACCCGTCTTGTTTCAGCATTGGGGGATGTGGTTTGGACCAAGACCAGTCACTGTGTCTGCGTGTGTCTAGCTATGACGACTATCTGAACCGGTCCTGGGCCTCCTTTAGGTCGGCTCAGCCTCAAATGAGTACCTGGTGCGGTGTGTGAACATCGCCACTGGGAGACAAAGGCGGTCGGGCGTGGTGCTGGCCACCCACCCCCTCATGTACAGTGCCGGCCTTCGTAGGTGCTCGCTAACAGCACTTGCCGCTACAGTCTGTGAAGGCTACACGGGGGATCTTTGTCTTTGTTTGTGTGTGTCTGCACGTGTGTGCATATGCGTGTGTGTGCACATGCGTGTGTGTATGTGAGCGTGTGAGCGTGTGTGCGTCAGTCATCTTTTTTTTAGTCGTGGTTTAGTGGTACATTTTTGAAGGTGGAGCGGTTACCAGCCCCTCGCACCCGTCCAGAGCCCCCGTTTAGCCCCTGTGGTGGTCACAGACGCCATGAGGGGAGAGGCCAATCGGAATTGGCCCTCCCCCCACAGCACTGTCCACGACAGAGTTGCCTGTCCGGCACCGCGAGGAGGTAGGGGGTTGTTTTTGCCGGACCGCAGCAGGTTGGCATAGTAGGGGGCACAGGTGGTGCATCAGCCAGTCGTCTCAGGTCATCTCAGTCGACCCGTGGCACCTGGGTCTGCCCCGTGACCTCCTGCCAGCGGGCGTTCGACACTTCACGTGGCCTCAAGGTGCACATGGCCTGGCACAAGCGTCGTGGTGACGTCACCGCCACTTAGTGGCGAATGGCGGTTGTTGTTGTTGTTGTCTGTCATCTTAAGTCAACTCGTAACACCTGGGTCTGTCCCGTCACCTCTTTCCAGCAGCTTTAACCTTAGAGAGCGTCACATGACAGGTCCCCAGAGTGCACCTAACCTGGCACAAGCGCTGGGGTGACATCACCATAACCTGCACCATACACCACTTCATTGCCCCCCACGTCCTCACGGGCCCCCTCTCTCTTTTTCTCACTCAACCACTCGCCCACTCACTCACTCACTAACTCACCCGCCCACCCACTCACCCCCTCACTCACCCACTCACCCACCCACTCACCTCCCCACCCACTCACTGACTCACCCACTCACCCACCCACTCGCTCACCCACTCATTCACCCACCCACTGACTCACTCACCCTCCCACTCACTCACTCACCCACCCACTCGCTCACCCACTCATTCACCCACCCAACCACGTACTCACCCACCCACTCACTCACCCACTCACTGACCCACCCACTCACTCACCCACTCACTGACCCACCCACTCACTCACCCACTCACCCACCCACTCACTCACCCACCCATTGACTCACTCACCCACCCACTCACCCACCAACTCGCTCACCCACTTCTTCAACCACCCACTCACTCACCCACCCACCCACTCACTCACTCACCCACTCGCTCACCCACTCATTCACCCACCCAACCACTTACTCACCCAACCACCCAACCACTCGCCCACCCACACACCCACCCACCAACCCACTCACTCACCCACTCCCTCACCCACCCACCCACTTTACTCACCCACCGACCCACTCACTCACCCACTCACCCACTGACCCCCCGCCCCCCTCCGCCCGTGTCCAGCTCTGAGCTGGCGATGTTGCCGGGCAGTGGCTGTGCGGACGAGCTGGACCTCACCTACGTCACCGAGCGGATCATCTCGGCGTGCTTCCCCACGGCGCAGCGCGATGACGACTACGGCGCCGCGCTGGAGCGCACGCTCGGCATGCTGCGGCACAAGCACGGAGACACCTGCCTGGTGCGCTCCGACACCACCGCTGCCACCACCGCTGCCACCACCGCCGCTCCACCACCACCACTGACGCTGCACCACCGCTCCTTCACCGCCACCGCTGCCACTCCACCGCCACTAACACTGCCGCTGCACCACCACCGCTACATCGCCACAATTGCCGCTCCACTGCCATCCGCTCCACCACCACCACTATCACTGCTCCACCACCACCATTCCACCACCACCGCTCCTCCACCACCACCACCGCTCCATCACCACCACCGATCCACCACCACCGTGAGTGGGGAGCGATAGTGTAGCGGTTAGCGCGCTGCGCTATGAACCTGGCGACCCGGGTTCGATTCCCGCTCACGGCCAACACCAGTGACGATTATCTGAACCGGTCCCGGGCCTCCCCTAGGTCTACTCAGCCTCAAATGAGTACCTGGTGGGGTGTGTAAACATCGCCACTAGGGAGACAAAGGCGGTCGAGCGTGGTGCTGGCCACCCACCCCCTCGCGTACCGTTACGGCCTTCATAGGTGCTCGCTAACAGCACTTGCCTCTACAGTCTGTTAAGGCTATACGGGGGATCTTTGTTGTGTGTGCGTGCGCGTGCGTGCGCGTGTGTGCGCGTGTGTGCGCGTGTGTGCGCGTGTGTGCGCGTGTGTGCGCGTGTGTGTGCGTGTGCGTGTGTGTGTGTGCGCGTGTGTGCGCGTGTGTGCGCGTGTGTGTGCGTGTGCGTGTGTGTGTGCGTGTGCGTGTGTGTGTGCGTGTGTGTGTGCATGCCGGCAGATCCTGAACCTCTCGGAGCAGAACCACGACCTGAGCAAGATGACGCGGCATGTGAGTAAGGGGATGCGAAGGGGGTCCTCGGGGTGACGCGGAGGGCGACGCTGCCACTGGGGCCACGTACCCCCAGGGGTTCCGCGTACCCCCTTAGAGAACGCACAGGGCGGTGGGGGCGGTGGGGGCGGTGGGGGGGGGGGGGGCGGTGGGGGCGGTGGGGGCGGTGGGGGGGGATGCAGAGGGACGGTGAGTCGCGGAGTTCAGAATCAGAATATTTATTTATACTTGACGATAAAGTCACCACGTGGTAGGTATCAAATAAATTTATTGTCCGCCTACAACGTGATGACTTAACCGAAATAACCAAAGAGGATGGATCCCTACAGTCACGAATCAAGATGATACTTGACGAATCCGATGAGCAACGAAGCTCTTTCTCGCAGATGTCCAGTGGACTGGCTGACCCGGCCCCCCGCCCCGGCCCCCGCCCGTAGGTGGTGAGCGTGAGCTGGCCGGAGGATCACGCCCCGCCACTCGAGGCCGTGTGCCGCCTGTGCAAGTCGGCGGACGCGTGGCTGGGCGCCGCGCCCGCCCACGTCCTCGTGCTGCTGTGCCGGGGCGGGCGCGGCAAGCCGGGCACCGTGGTGGCGGCGTACATGCACTACAGCGGCGTGTGTGCCAGGTGAGCGGCACACGACGGTGGGGTAACATCTGAGCGGTTCTACCAATTCACAACCCTCACCTCCCCCTCAACCACCTCGTCTCCACCCCACCCCACCCCACTCCACCCCACTACACTCCACCCCACTACACCCCACTCCACCCCACCCAACCCCACCCCACCCAACCCCACTCCACCCAACCCCACTCCACCCCACCCAACCCCACCCCACCCAACCCCACTACACCCAACCCCACTCCACTCCACCCAACCCCACCCCACCCAACCCCACTCCACCCAACCCCACTCCACCCCACTCCACCCCACTACACTACACTCCACCCCACTCCACCCAACCCCACTCCACCCAACCCCACTCCACCCCACTCCACCCCACTCCACCCAACCCCACTCCACCCCCACTCCACCCCACTACACTACACTCCACCCCACTCCACCCAACCCCACTCCACCCAACCCCACTCCACCCCACTCCACCCCACTCCACCCCACTACACTACACTCCACCCCACTCCACCCAACCCCACTCCACCCAACCCCACTCCACCCAACCCCACTCCACCCAACCCCACTCCACCCCACTCCACCCCACTACACTACACTCCACCCCACTCCACCCAACCCCACTCCACCCAACCCCACTCCACCCCACTCCACCCCACTCCACCCCACTACACTCCACCCCACTCCACCCAACCCCACTCCACCCCACCCCACCCCACTCCACCCCACTCCACCCCACCCCACTCCACCCCACTCCACCCCACTCTACCCCACCCCACCCCACCCAACCCCACTCCACCCACTCCACCCAACCCCACCCCACTCCACCCAACCCCACCCCACTCCACCCCACCCCACTCCACCCCACTCCACCCAACCCCACTCCACCCCACTCCACCCCACTCCACCCCACCCCACCCAACCCCACTCCACCCACTCCACCCAACCCCACCCCACTCCACCCCACCCCACCCCACTCCACCCCACTACACTCCACCCCACTCCACCCCACTCCACTCCACCCCACCCACTCCACCCCACCCCACTCCACTCCACCCCACCCCACCCAACCCCACTCCACCCCACCCCACTCCACTCCACTCCACCCCACCCCACTCCACCCCACCCCACTCCACTCCCACTCCACTCCACTCCACTCCCACTCCACTCCACCCCACCCCACTCCACTCCACCCCACCCCACTCCACTCCACTCCACCCCACCCCACACCACCCCACCCAACCCCACTCCACCCCACCCCACTCCACTCCACTCCACCCCACCCCACTCCACCCCACCCCACTCCACCCCACCCCACTCCACCCCACCCCACCCCACTCCACCCCACCCCACCCCACTCCACCCCACCCCACCCAATCCACTCCACTCCCACTCCACTCCACTCCACCCCACCCCACTCCACCCCACTCCACCCCACTCCACCCCACCTCATGATGGTTGTGGTGGTTGTGGTGGTTGTTGCGTAACCACGGTGGTAGTGATGGTTGTGGTGGTGGTTGTTGTGTAACCACGGTGGTCGTGGTTGTGGTGGTGGTTGTTGTGTAACCACGGTGGTGGTGGTGGTAGTTGTGGTGGTTGTTGTGTAACCACGTGGTGGTGGTTGTTGTGTAACCACGGTGGTCGTGGTAGTTGTGGTGGTTGTGGTGGTGGTTGTTGTGTAACCACGGTGGTGGTGGTAGTTGTGGTGGTTGTTGTGTTACCACGGTGGTGGTGGTAGTTGTGGTGGTTGTTGTGTAACCACGGTGGTGGTGGTTGTGGTGGTTGTTGTGTAACCACGGTGGTGGTGGTAGTTGTGGTGGTTGTTGTGTTACCACGGTGGTGGTGGTAGTTGTGGTGGTTGTTGTGTTACCACGGTGGTGGTGGTAGTTGTGGTGGTTGTTGTGTAACCACGTGGTGGTTGTGGTGGTTGTTGTGTTACCACGGTGGTGGTGGTAGTTGTGGTGGTTGTTGTGTAACCACGGTGGTGGTGGTAGTTGTGGTGGTTGTTGTGTTACCACGGTGGTGGTGGTAGTTGTGGTGGTTGTTGTGTAACCACGGTGGTGGTAGTTGTGGTGGTTGTTGTGTAACCACGGTGGTGGTGGTAGTTGTGGTGGTTGTTGTGTAACCACGTGCTGGTTGTGGTGGTGTCGTTGCTGCAGCGCTGAGCAGGCGCTGGACACGTTCGCCATGAGGAAGTTCTACGAGGACAAAGCGCTGCCCGTGTCCCACCCCTCCCAGAAGAGGTGACATAATCATCGTCGTCACATAACAACATCATCATCATTATCAAGGTCGTCACATAACAACATCATCATCATCAACACCACATACATCATCATCATCGTCGTCACATACATCATCATCACATACATCATCATCATCTTCGTCACATACATCATCATCACCACATACATCATCATCATCGTTGTCAGATACATCATCATCACATACATCATCGTCACATACATCATCGTCACATACATCATCGTCACATACATCATCATCATCGTTGTCAGATACATCATCATCACATTCATCGTCATCGTCGTCGTCACATACATCATCATCATCACATACATCATCATCATCGTCGCCGTCGTCACATACATCATCGTCGTCACATACATCATCATCATCGTCACATACATCATCACCATCGTCGTCACGTGCATCATCATCGTCGTCACATGCATCATCATCACCACCATCATTGCCGTCACATACATCACCATCATTGTTGTCACATACATCATCATCGTCATCGTCGTCAGATACATCATCGTCGTCGTTAGATACATCATCATCGTCATCGTCACATACATCATCATCGTCATCGTCACATACATCATCATCGTCATCGTCACATACATCATCATCATCATTGTCACATACATCATCACCATTGTTGTCACATACATCATCGTCATCATAATCATCGTCGTCATCATCATTGGTCGTCATCGCCCTCGTCACCCTTACAGTAATCAACACCATCCAACATCACCGCGGTCATCACCGCTAACCCGTGTGTTTATCCACTGCTGGATCGGAGGCCTCCACTCACGGCCACCTCTCGGGGTGCAGAGCGAGACCCAAAACGGAGGACGCGGATCTGGCACGGGCCGGGCCGTCGCGGCACGGCGGCTGTGCCGTGCCGCTCGCCCGCGTGCCGTCAAAACCCCGCCGCAGTTTCGGTTTCAGTTTTCAGTTTAATTTATCAGGAGGTATGACCATGTGAGCCATGCAGCTCTCAACTCGGGTGCAACCGCAACAGAACAAAAACATGAACAAGAATAAACATCTTAAAGTGACAGGAGTCTTCCAGGAAAAAAAAACACCGTATTTCAACGGTACAGCCATTGGCGACCACGCCATGCTGATGAGCCCTAATCGGCACGAAACCGACTCCAACACAATTTGGCCTTCCACTGCTTCGCTGGTGCTGTCGGTCCGGTCACATTTGTCCTAAACGATTTCGACAGCGACAAGAGGAATCGCAATGCAGTTCCTCAGGAACTGCTGATGGTTTTTGTGCAATGCTCAGAGGCTGTGCACCCCCCCCCCCTCTGCTCCTTTCGCAACTCTGCCCCCCACTCCACCACCACCACCACCTATCTCCCCATCCCCCCACCAGGTACGTCAACTACTTTGGCCAGCTGCTGGCGGGCGTCATCAAGATGAACAGCGCTCCCCTCTTCCTCCACCATGTCCTCATCAGCGGCGTCTCCAGCTATGACGCAAACCTCGGTAGCTCCGCTGGCTGCTGGCACAGCTGCTGCGATGGTTGGGAGCTGACTCTGATTGGTCCATGATGGTTGGGAGATGACTTTCATTAGTCCACGATGGTTGGGAGCTGACTCTGATTGGTCCATGATGGTTGGGAGATGACTTTCATTGGTCCATGATGGTTGGGAGCTGACTCTGATTGGTTCATAATGGTTGGGAGATGACTTTCATTAGTCCACGATGGTTGGGAGCTGACTGATTGGTCCATGATGGTTGGGAGATGACTTTCATTCGTCCACGATGGTTGGGAGCTGACTCTGATTGGTCCATGATGGTTGGGGGATGACTTTCATTAGTCCACGATGGTTGGGAGCTGACTCTGATTGGTCCACGATGGTTGGGAGCTGACTTTTATTGATCCATAATGGTTGGGAGCTGACTCTGATTGGTCCATAATGGTTAGGAGCTGACAGTTGATTGGGTCACGATGGTTAGGAGCTGACTCTGATTGGTCCACGATGGTTGGGAGCTGACCCTGATTGATCCACGATGGTTGGGAGCTGACTCTGATTGGTCCACGATAGTTAAGAGCTGACTTTGATTGGTCGACGATGGTTAGGAGCTGACTCTGATTGGCACCGCGGTGGTTGGGAGCTGACTCTGATTGGTCCACGATGGTTGGGAGCTGACTCTGATTGGTCCACGATGGTTGGGAGCTGACTTTGATTGGTCCACGATAGTTAAGAGCTGACTTTGATTAGTCCAATGATGGTTAGGAGCTGACTTTGATTGGTCCATAATGGTTGGGAGCTGACTGATTGGCACTGCGGTGGTTGGGAGCTGATTCTGATTGGACCGTGGTGGTTGGGAGCTGACTCTGATTGGTCCACGATGGTTAGGAGCTGACTTTGATTGGTCCACAATGGTTGGGAACTGTCTCTGATTGGTCCACGATGGTTGGGAGCTGACTCTGATTGGCGCCGCGGTGGCGTCCTGGCTGTGCCCGCTCACCCCCCCCCTGCCCCCCCACACCTCCCCCGTGCCACACAGATTGCTGCTGCCTGTTCATCAAGGTGTACCAGGGCATGCAGCTTGTGTGCACCTCGGGAGTCTAGTGAGTACGACGCACGGCCATCCCCCCTCACCCGCGGTGGCTAGGAGATGTTAACTACCTCGCCTGGTCTACAGGAGGCCGTAGGTTCGATCCCGACCCTGACGCCTGCTGCTGTATATTTGGAGTTTGCGTGTCTCTCTCTCTCTCACCATCATCACGGTGGGTAGGATATGTTAACTACCTCGCCTGGTAGACAGGAGGTCGTGGGTTCAATCCCGACCCTGACGCCTGCTGCTGTATATTTGGAGTTTGCGTGCCTCTCTCTCTCCGTGGTCGCGTGGATTTTTCTCCGGGTCCTCCGTTTTGTCCCTCCACATTTGAGAATCGACGTCACTCGTTCAGAGTATTTGGCTGCCCTAGATTTCCACGCGACGACGATGAGCTAATCCGTTGAGCCTATTATTTGTGGCCAAGTCGCTTGTGAAAACGAGCTACGTAGCTCAGAGGGGCCTTACCTGGTAAAATAAAACAATATTTACATAGCTTATACTGTATAGCTTTTCTGCAATCCTCTTATCTGCTCATTCCTCTTTATCCATGCCAATTCCGATAGTTTCAGCATCGTCAAAGAACACTCTCTCGCAGCCGCATCTGGCCCCAGATTAGACCCCGGACGGCTGGAGCTGTGAGCTAAATCGTAGCGATTGCCGCACACCACGTGACCAGTTCTTCAGCAACGGCCGATGGTCTGAGCACGAATGCGGCCGCGCACGCACGCGTGGGTGTGTGTGTGTGTCGACGTGTGTGTGTGTGCGCGTCCATGTGTCTGCGTGTGTGTCCACGTGTCTGCGTGTGTGTCCACGTGTGTGTGTGTGTGCGGTCCTGGACAGATGCCATATTTTCTGTCCGTCTGCTACAGCAGAGGTGTAAGGAATTCCCACAATACCTACATCTTTGCTTTATTTATTGCCCTGACACTCTGTTCACAATCATGTTGAGCAGGCCCGGGTAAAACTACGTGGCCGGGAGTTGGAACCATTGCCTGTTCACCTAGGGGTGCGACAGGGATGTCCTCTGGCTCCTACATGATTTAACTTGAATTTCGACCACGTAGTTCGTGATGCCTTCGATTGCTGTACCGCCGGAATTTCCATCTGGTACAAATTTTATGTGAGGCTGATCGATGCCCGGGTGCAGTCAAGGGATGGCTCCCTATTGGTTAACCACGTTATGTATGCCGATGATCTGGTGATTGCTGCTCCTTCAGAGGAGGAGTTGGAGGCACTGCTGCTGAACCTGGAGTGTGCCACTAAGAGGTGGGGCCTTACCAGCAGCCCCACCAAAACTAAACACCTGCCTGGATATTTTTACCATCAGACACTCCACCCCCACAACTCCCAATTGGTGATGGGGCAGTTGTGGAGAGAGTGGAGAGTTTTCCACGCCTGTGCAGTGTGCTCATGGCCGGCTCCAGTTTAACAGCGGAGGTCTCACTCCGAACCAGTCGAGCGGCATTATCCTTTCATCGGCTGCGCAACGCTGTGTGTGGAAGCTACCCTGGTCTGTCGCTCCGCACGAAGCTTCGGGTCTTCTCGGCCGCGGTCATTTAAAAACATTTAGGCCGGCCTGCCTACGATCGATCCATCCTAGGTTTAACCAGGCTGGATCGTGTGTGAGGGCCTCACAAATCCTTGACAGATTCTGGAGACTGGCCGGGAAGCGGGCGGGGCAGGGCGGGGCGGGGCGGGGCGGGCGGGGGGACTCTACTTTGTGTGCCCGCCCTCTGCGATGTGTGCAGCGACGTGCAGCAGGGGAGCACGGCGCAGCTCTGCATCGGCATCCAGCCGGCGCTCATGCTCAAGGGGGACATCCTGGTGAGAACCACCACACCCCCACCCCCCAGCACTCCCCCCTCGCCATGCCCCCCCCCCCCCCCCCCCCCGGGTGTTCTCCGTGCACTACGGTTCTCTTCTACGTCACGTGACGCACACCGCAACCGCCACACACACGCGCACACAGGCTGCGTGGGAGAGGGCTGTGAAACCTTCACACAGCAGTGGAGAGATCATAGCTGCTGCTGCTGCTGCATGCTGCTGCTGCTCATGCTGCTGCTGATGATGATGATAACAGCGATGATGATGACGAGGATGATCATGGTTACGATGATGACGATGACGATGTAGATGATGACGATGATGATGATAAACACGATGATGATGATGATAACAACGACGACGATGAGGATGACGACGAGGATGACGACGATGACGAGGATGAGGCGTCTGTGTGGCCGTGCATGTCCAGGTGAAGTGCTACCACAAGCGGTTTGGCAGTGCGGGCCGGGACGAGGTCTTCCGAGTCCAGTTCCACACAGGGGCCGTGCAGGGCCTGCCGCTCTGCTTCGCAAAACACGAACTGGATCACGCAAACACCGGTACGGAGCGGAGCCACGGGACTCCCACAACCCCTCGCCACGGGACCCCACCATTGGGGGGGGGGGGGTGGGGGGGGGGCTGGAGGGACCGGCAGAGAACCAATAATGAACCAGTAATGAACCAGTAAAGAACCAATACAGAACCGATAATGAACCAGTAGAGAACCAGTATAGAACCGATAATTAACCAGTGGGGAACCGATAAAGAACCAATACAGAGCCGATAATGAACCAGTAGAGAACCAGTATAGAACCGATAATTAACCAGTGGGGAACCGATAAAGAACCAATACAGAACCGATAATAAACCAGTAGGGAACCAGTAGAGAACCAGTATAGAACCGATAATTAACCAGTGGGGAACCGATAAAGAACCAATACAGAGCCGATAATGAACCAGTAGAGAACCAGTATAGAACCGATAATTAACCAGTGGGGAACCAATAAAGAACCAATACAGAACCGATAATAAACCAGTAGGGAACCAGTAAAGAACCAGTATAGAACCGATAATAAACCAGTAGGGAACCAGTAAAGAACCAGTATAGAACCGATAATAAACCAGTAGGGAACCAGTAGAGAACCAGTATAGAACCGATAATGAACCGGGAGCCAACTGATAATGAACCGGTCGAGAACCGATAGAGAACCGAGATTCCCGTGCCCGGTGTTTACAGCCGGCCGCCACTACAATCGGCACAACCGTTGCCACCACGACCAAGATTTCCACCACCACCATCACCACCACCACCACCAAGTCTGGGCATCGTGTGCACAGACACACCGCTCCGTGCGTGCGTGCGTATGTAGGGAGTGGCGGTGCAGTGGTTAGCGCGCCGCGCTACGAACCCGGCGATCCGAGTTCAATTCCCGCTCTCGTCCAACACCAGTCACGGTGAAAATCTGAACCTCAGTCCTGGACCTCCCCTAGATCGACTCGGCCTTAAATTAATACCTCGTGCGGTAAACATTAGCACTGGGGAGACAAAGGTGGGCGGGCGTGGTGTTGGCCACCCACCCCCTCGTGTGCCGTGCCGGCCTTCATAGGTGCTCGATAACGGCACTTGCCCCAATAGCCTGTTAAAGGCTACATGGGGGGTCTTTGTCTTTGTGTGTGTGTCCTCTGCGGCAGATGAGAGGTTCCCACAGCAAGGAAAGGTGGAGTTCAAGCTGTCCACGAGGCCAGAGTCATCCAAAGGTGGGTTTGTGGGTGACACACACAACGTACACACACACACATCACGTACACACACACACACACCACGTACACACACCACGTACACAGACACACACACACACCACGTATACAACACATGCACACCACAAACACACACACACCACGTACACACATACACCACGTACACAACACACATTACACACACACATTACACACACACATTACACACACACACGTTACACACACACACATGTACACACACACACTACATACACAACACACCACGTACACAACACACCACGTACACACACAAACTACACACCACATACATACACAACCACAACAGCCACCATTCGCACAAAGTGGCGTTGACGTCACCGCAGCGCTCGTGCCAGGCTAGGTGCACTTTAAGGCCACGTGAAATGTCGAACGCCCGCTGGCAGGAGGTCACGGGACAGACCCAGGTGGCGCCACGGGTCGACTGAATGAGACGACCGGCCGATGCACCGCCTGTGCTCCTCACTGCGCCAACTCGCTGCGTTTTAGCCGCCCGGCGCTCAGCTCGTTGTTGTGAGCGTCGCTCTTCTGCCCTCCGCTGTTGTTGGAGGGCGACTGCCTCCAAATGTAGCCCAGTAGCAGCGTCCTTCACGAGCCTCCTCTGCAGACAAAGACAAAGATCCCCCGTATAGTCTTAAGACTGTTGGGGCAAGTCCTGTTAGCGAGCACCTATGAAGGCCAGAACGGCACACGAGGGGTTGGGTGGCCAGCACCACGCCGGGCCGCCTTTGTCTCCCAAGTGGCGATGTTTTTTTACGCACGACACCAGGTACTCATTTGAGGCTGAGTCGACCTAGGGGAGGCCCAGGTCCGGTGCAGATGAGAGTCACTGGTGTTGGCCGTGAGTGGGAATCGAACTCAGGTCACCAGGCTCGTGACCCGAATTCACCATGTTCGTAGCGCAGGGCAATAACCGCTACACTACCGCTCCCCACAAAGATAAAAAGACAAAGATCCCCCATATAGCCTGTAACAGACTGTAGGGGCAAGTGCTGTTAGCGAGCACCTATGAAGACCAGAACGGTACGCGAGGGGGTGGGTGGCCAGCAACACGCCCGACCGCCTTTGTCTCCCCAGTGGCAATGTTTACACACCGCACCAGGTACTCATTTGAGGCTGAGTCGACCTAGGGGAGGCCCGGGACCGGTTCAGATAATCGTCACTGGTGTTGGCCGTGAGCGGGAATCGAACCCGGGTCGCCAGGTTCGTAGCGCAGCGCGCTAACAGCTACACTACCGCTCCCCACACACACGTACACACACACACACGCATACGTGCGTGTGTGTGTGTGTGCGTGTGTGTGTGTGTACGGGTATGTGTGTGTGTGCGTGCGTGTGTGCGTGCACGGAGATTTCTGGACGCCCTGCGTTGGTCATCTCCAAATCGGTGCCCGCGGAGGTCACGGGGGCGGCGTCGTGCTCCCTTGTTTGGTGGAGCCGCGTGGAGCGGTGCCCACCCTGGGCACTGCCGCCCGACGGAGGCTCGCACACACAAAGAAAAAGATCCACTGAACCCCCCCCCCCCCCCACCCCGTGTAGTCTCAACAGACTGTAGGGGCAAGTGCTGTTAGCGAGCAGCAACTCTATGAAGGCCGGCACGGCGCACGAGGGGGTGGGTGGCCAGCACCACGCCCGGCCGGCCGCCTTTGTCTCCCCAGTGGCGATTTTTACTACACACCTCACCAAGTACTCGGTCCACCTAGGGGAGGCCCAGGATCGGTTCAAATAATCGTCACGTAAAAAAGATCCCCCGTGTAGTCTCAACAGACTGTAGAGGCAAGTGCTGTTAGCGAGCAGCACCTATGAAGGCCGGAACGGCACACGAGGGGGTGGGTGGCCAACACCACGCCCGGCCGCCTTTGTCTCCCCAAGTGGCGATGTTTACACACCGCACCAGGTTCTCATTTGAGGCTGAGTCGACCTAGGGGAGGCCCAGGACCGGTTCAGATAATCGTCACCGGTGTTGGCCGTGAGCGGGAATCGAACCCGGGTCACCGGGTTCATAGCGCAGCGTAGCGCTAACCACCACACACGTGCACACAGACCTATGTACACATGCGCGCACGTGGACACACGCACACGTGCACATGTGGGGACGCACACGCACACATGCATATGACACCTACGCACACACACACGCACACCACGTGCGTGTGTGTGTGTGTGCGTGCACGTGGTGTGACCCCCGCTGGCCCTGGGCGGCTGAATTTCGCTGCCCCGAGTGAATGCGACACGGCGGGGGCGGGGGGGGAGGATGACGGCCACCCCCTCGCGGCGTCATCGCCCGCAGCGAGAAGCCCGGAATAGACCCCCACCACTACCACCCACCACCACCACCACATCCTCCACCACCACCACCACCACTCCACCACCTCTACCCTCACCACCACCTCCACCCTCACCACCTCCCCCACCTCCGCCACCGCCACCACCTCACCTCCCGCCCCTCCACCACCTCGCTACCCACAATGCCGCAGTATTGCAGACCCGCCCCGGTGGACCAACTCGACGTTCGCTTTCCCGACGGAGCTCGCAGCACGCGCAACGAAACGTCGGACCGTTGCTTCGGGCCGCGGGTCGTCCCCCCCCCCCCCACCTCCCTCCGGCCTTCGGGCCCCCGGCGGCCCCCCTGGGGACCCATGAAGGCCACGAAGGCCACGAAGGCCACGAAGGCCGCGACGATGACTCCTCTCGCTCAACGCCAGAAACTCGCTCCCAGTCACCGGGCCACGCACCGCCGCTGTAAACCATCGGCCACGCCGACCGCGGTCGTCCTTTGCGGCGACCTGTGGCTGGCGCGGCTCCTGCGGCCGTCTGGAACGCTCCTGCCGTCCGATGTTAGGAAGCCAATGGGAGCTTATGCCACTTTTAAATCGTCATCATCTAGACCGGACAAACTCGCCCTTTCAGAGCCGCTCTTTGCTTTCAGTTTGTTGTCCTTCCCCCGCACCTCCGATTATCACGACTGGCTACGAACGGTGCGGAACAAGTTCCGCACGCACGCACGCGCACGCACACACACACACGCACACACACGCACACGCACACACACGCGTCCCTCCACGTAAGACAGAAAAGTGTCTGTCTGTGTATATATATCTCTTTTGAACATCCCATCAGCCATACGACCTTCCTTCTGAAAGTAATTTTTTTAAATTTTCTCAGCGGCAACACTCTCTGGTCCGGTTTCGACGTGCAGTGTCTCATCAGCAAGCTCGCTCGTTCGCTCGCTTGGTGAAATTATTTTTTGTTAACTTTTACCGCATTGGGGCCCACGGCTTCGGTGAGGTCGGCGCCCGCCGGTGTAGGTCCCTCCTCCCCCCCGCCCCTTCCGCCCCATCGTTAATCACGTCCGTGGAAGTCGCGGCTGACAGCGAGAGCTAATTTCATCTTCAGCTGACGTGCCGCTTTGCCTCGCGGCCGCCGGCAGCGACCGATCTCGCTCGCTCCTCCGGCCTGGCGGGACGTTCGGCTCTCGTGTGTGTGTGTGGGGGGAGCGCCGGGGGGGGGGGGGGGTGGCGGAGGAGGGGGGATAGTCTGATTATTTGGTGGTGCTTATGTTAGTTTAACACGTAGGCTTTCCCGACCAATATTATTCATAATAAAGGTTTTTGGGTTAGATCGCGTTTATTTATGAATGTGTCGTAACCCTCCACCACCCGACACGGCCAATCAGCAAAAAAAGTGTCACGTTGACAAAAGACAATTAATTAACTACTTTAGCCCACCGGTGTGTTGAAGAGTGAATCCACATTTACAGTTTGAGTACGACGTTTCGCTGGATGTATTTACCAGCGAAACGTCGTACTCAAACTGTAAATGTGGATTCACTCTTCAACACACCGGTGGGCTAAGTGAATTATTTGTCTTTTGTCAACGTGACACTTTTTTTTGCTGATTGGCCGTGTCGGGTGGTGGAGGGTTACGACACATTTATAAATAAACGCGATCTAACCCAAAAACCTTTATTATGGTGCTTATGTTCTCCGAAACGGCGCCAATGATTGGGTTGGTGTTGTTGTTGTCCATCAAAGTTTTTTTTTTGAAGTGGTGAACCAGGACACACCACACCCGGTCTCGTATAGAGAGAGAGAGGAGGCCTTGCCAATGATTAAGATGTGGCAGGCTACCTTGATCCCGCGATCCCCGACTCCACTGATGAGACGCTGAATGTCGAACCCTGACCCCATGACCCCACGTCTCAGACTGCGTGGAGCTGCCGAACGGGCCCGGGGTGCGAGTACGCTACGGGTCGTCGGACCCGCTCGTCCGCTGGGACTCCTACGAGAGCTTCGTGAACGCGCACAGAGACAGCGGTGAGACGCGGGGGGCGGGGAGACACCACGGGGAGAGGTCACGGGTAGAGACCACTGAGAGACACCACGGGGAGACACCACGAGGGAGACACCACGGGGAGACACCGCAGGGGAGACACCACGAAGAGACACCACGAGGGAGACACCATGGGGAGACACCACGGGGAGACACCACGAGGAGACACCACAGGGAGACACCACGAAGAGACACCGCGGGGAGACACCGCAGGGGAGACACCACGAAGAGACACCACGAGGGAGACACCATGGGGAGACACCACGGGGAGACACCACGAGGGAGACACCACGAGGGAGACACCACGGGGAGGACACCACGGGGAGACACCACGGGGAGACACCACGGGGAGACACCACAGGGAGACACCACGAAGAGACACCGCGGGGAGACACCGCAGGGGAGACACCACGAAGAGACACCACGAGGGAGACACCATGGGGAGACACCACGGGGAGACACCACGAGGGAGACACCACGAGGGAGACACCACGGGGAGACACCACGGGGAGACACCACGGGGAGACACCACGGGGAGACACGGAGACACCACGGGGAGACACCACGGGGAGACACCACGAAGAGACACCGCGGGGAGACACCGCAGGGGAGACACCACGAAGAGACACCACGAGGGAGACACCATGGGGAGACACCACGGGGAGACACCACGAGGGAGACACCATGGGGAGACACCACGGGGAGACACCGCAGGGGAGACACCACGAGGGAGACACCACGAGGGAGACACCATGGGGAGACACCACGGGGAGACACCACGAGGGAGACACCACAGCGAGACACCACGAAGAGACACCACGAGGGAGACACCATGGGGAGACACCACGGGGAGACACCACGGGGAGACACCATGGGGAGACACCACGAGGAGACACCACAGGGAGACACCACGAGGAGACACCACGAGGGAGACACCACAGGGAGACACCACGAGGGAGACACCACGTGGACACACGGAGACACCACAGCGAGACACCACGAGGGAGACACCACGGGGGAGACACCACAGGGAGACACCACAGGGAGACACCACGGGGGAGACACCACAGGGAGACACCACGGGGGAGACACCACAGGGAGACACCACGAGGGAGACACCACGTGGACACACGGAGACACCACAGCGAGACACCATGGGGAGACACCACAGGGAGACACCACAGGGAGACACCACAGGGAGACACCACGGGGGAGACACCACAGGGAGACACCACGGGGGAGACACCACAGGGAGACACCACAGGGAGACACCACGGGGAGACACCATGGGGAGACACCACGAGGGAGACACCACGAGGGAGACACCACGGGGAGACACCACGAGGGAGACACCACGAGGGAGACACCACGGGGAGACACCATGGGGAGACACCACAGGGAGACGCCACGAGGGAGACACCACGGGGAGACACCACGGGGAGACACCGCGGGGACACACGGAGACACCACGGGGGAGACACCACAGCGAGACACCACGAGGGAGACACCACGAGGGAGACACCACAGGGAGACACCACGAGGGAGACACCACAGCGAGACACCACGGGGAGACACCACGGGGAGACACCACAGGGAGACACCACGAGGGAGACACCACAGGGAGACACCATGGGGAGACACCACGAGGGAGACACCACAGGGAGACACCACGAGGGAGACACCACGTGGACACACGGAGACACCACAGCGAGACACCACGGGGGAGACACCACAGGGAGACACCACAGGGAGACACCACGGGGAGACACCATGGGGAGACACCACAGGGAGACACCACAGGGAGACACCACGGGGAGACACCATGGGGAGACACCACGAGGGAGACACCACGCGGAGACACCATGGGGAGACACCACAGGGAGACACCACAGGGAGACACCACAGGGAGACACCACGGGGAGACACCATGGGGAGACACCACGAGGGAGACACCACGGGGAGACACCACGAGGGAGACACCACAGGGAGACACCACAGCGAGACACCACGGGGAGACACCACAGGGAGACGCCACGAGGGAGACACCACGGGGAGACACCACAGGGAGACACCACGGGGAGACACCACGAGGGAGACACCACGGGGAGACACCACGGGGAGACACCACGGGGAGACACCACGGGGAGACACCATGGGGAGACACCACGGGGAGACACCACGGGGAGACACCACAGGGAGACACCACGGGGAGACACCACAGGGAGACACCACGAGGGAGACACCACGGGGAGACACCACGGGGAGACACCACGGGGAGACACCACGGGGAGACACCACAGGGAGACACCACGAGGGAGACACCACAGCGAGACACCACGGGGAGACACCATGGCGAGACACCACGGGGAGACACCACAGGGAGACACCACGGGGAGACACCACAGGGAGACACCACGAGGGAGACACCACAGCGAGACACCACGGGGAGACACCATGGCGAGACACCACGGGGAGACACCACAGGGAGACACCACAGGGAGACACCACGAGGGAGACACCGCGGGGACACACGGAGACACAGGAACATGGAGACATACATTTACATACAAACATACATTTACATGCACACAGACATGCACACATACACAGACATGTACACATACACAGACATGTGCACATGATACACTTAACCGAATGTTGGGGCAGGCGCTGTCATAACGACCACTTTTTTAAGGCTGATTCTGCACATGAAACGGCGTTGTGGATAGCACCACGCTCGGCCGCCTTTGTCTCCCCAGTGGCCATGCTCACACATCGTACCAGGTACTCGTTTGAGGCCGAGTCGACCTAGGGGAGACTCGGAACTGGTTCAAATATTCGCTGTCATCGCTCATGAGCGCGGGGGAATCGAACTTGGGTCTCCGCCGGGTTCGTAGGCCGGCGCGGCGCTAACCACTGCGCCACCACTCCCCCGCGCACGTGCGCACAAAACAAAGTCAAAGATCCCCCGTATAGCCTCTAATGGACTGTGGGGGCAAGTGCTGTTAGCGAGTAGCAGCACCTATGAAGGCCGGCGCGGCACACGAGGGGGTTGGTGGCCAACACCTCGCCCGGCCACCTTTGTCTCCCCAGTGGCGACGTTTACTACACACCGCACCAGGTACTCAGGACCGGTTCAGATAATCGTCACCGGTGTTGGACGCGAGCGGGAATCGAACCTGGTTCGCCGGGTTCGTAGCGCAGCGTAGCGCTGACCGCTACACTACCGCACACACACAACAACAACAACAACCGCCATTCGCCACTAAGCGGCGGTGACGTCACCACGACGCTTGTGCCAGGCCATGTGCACCTTGAGGCCACGTGAAGTGTCGAACGCCCGCTCGCAGGAGGTCACGGGGCAGACCCAGGTGCCACGGGTCGACTGACTGAGATGACTGGCTGATGCACCACCTGTGCCCCCTACTGTGCCAACCTGCTGTGCTTTAGCCACCCGGCGCTCCGCTCGTTGTTGTGAGCGTCGCTCCTCCGCCCTCCGTTGTTGTTGGAAGGCGACTGCCTCCAACTGCCCAGTAGCGTCCTTCACGAGCCTCCTCCACAGAGGCCGATCTTGACACCGCTGGTACCAGTCATCGGCAAGTCCACTCAGTTCCACGTCCTCCTGTACCACGTCACTCCATCTCTTCTCTATCCCGTGCCACACCCGTTTAGCCCCCTCGATCCGGCCCAACAAAAGCTGTTTCGGCATGCGGTGGCTGGGCATGCGGGTTACATGACCCAGCCAACGCAGCCTTGCCTGCCGGAGGAGCTCACCGATGGGACCTTGCCCATATCTTTCAAGGATTTGTGAGCTCCTCACACAATCCAGCCTGGTTAAACCCAGGATAGATCGTAGGCAGGCTAGGCTAAATGTTTCTAACCGGCGAAGATGTTCCATTAGGGGGGTCCACGTTTCGCAAGCGTAGAGAAGGGAGGGAATGACCGTGGCCGAGAAGACCTGAAGCTTAGTGCGGAGCGACAGACCAGGTAGCTTCCACACAGCGTTACGCAACCGACGAAAAGATATTGCCGCTCGACTGATTCGGAGTGAGACCTCTGCTGTTAAACTGGAGCCGGTCATAAGCACACTGCCCAGGTATGGGAAACTCTCCACTCTCTCCACAACTGCCCCATCACCGATTGGGAGTTGTGGGGGTGGAGTGTCCGATGGTACAAAATACCCAGGCAGGTGCTTAGTTTTGGTGGGGCTGATGGTAAGGCCCCATTTCTTAGTGGCATGCTCCAGTCTCAGCAGCAGCGTCTCCAACTCCTCCTCTGAATGAGCAGCTATTACCAAATCATCGGCATACATAACGTGGTTGAGCAATAGGGAGCCATCTCTTGACCACACGCGGGCATCGATCAGACAAAGACAAAGACACACACACACTGACACACACACACTGACACACACACACTGACACACACACTGACACACACGTGTGTAACACGCGTTAGTGGAGGGAGGGAGCTGGGTCGTGTGTCTGTTGCGTGTAGCCGTGACGGAAGGGATGCACCACGGGGGTTTGGGGGGTGTGGGTCGCCTTTCAGCCCCCCCCCACTACCCCCCACATACTCCCAACCCCCCTTGGCACATTCCTCCACAAGCCATTCCTGAGCCTCCCCCACCAACCCACCGCCCGCTCCCCCCTCAGTCCCCGTGGTCTTCCCTCCGACTCCAGCCAAACAACAACTCGTGCCCTCCTAGCGGTGTTCCTCGCTGGCTCGCAATGAGAGGGGGGGGGGGGTTGAGGCCATGTCCGGGACACCGATCCAGCACGGCTGAGATATGCTGGGTTCAAGCCCTGGGTTCATGATGACCGTGTCAGGCAATTGATTGACCCCTGGGTCCTGGTTGTCTCGTGTGTATGTGTGTGTGTCCATACATTTGTGTGTGTGTGATTGTGTCCATACATTTGTGTGTGTATGTGTGTATGTGTGTGTATGTGTGTGTATGTGTGTATGTGTCCATACATTTGTGTGTGTGTGTGTATGTGTGTGTATGTGTGTATGTGTGTGTATGTGTCCATACATTTGTGTGTGTGTCCATACATTTGTGTGTGTGTCCATACATTTGTGTGTGTATGTGTGTGTATGTGTCCATACATTTGTGTGTGTGTCCATACATTTGTGTGTACATGTGTGTGTGTCCATACATGTGTGTGTGTATGTGTGTGTGTGTCCATGTGTCCATGTGTCCATACATTTGTGTGTGCGTGTATGTGTGTGTGTCCATACATTTGTGTGTGTGTCCATACATTTGTGTGTGCGTGTATGTGTGTGTGTGTCCATACATGTGTGTGTATGTGTGTATGTGTGTGTCCATACATTTGTGTGTGCGTGTATGTGTGTGTGTCCATACATTTGTGTGTGCGTGTATGTGTGTGTGTCCATACATTCGTGTGTGCGTGTATGTGTGTGTCCATACATTTGTGTGTGTATGTGTGTATGTGTGTGTGTCCATACATTTGTGTGTGCGTGTATGTGTGTATGTGTCCATACATTTGTGTATGTCCATACATGTGTGTGTGTGTGGGGGGCGGTTGTGTAGCGGTTAGCGCGCTGCGCTGTGAACCTGGCGACCCGAGTTCGATTCCCGCTCACAGTTGACACCGGTGACGAATATCTGAACGAGTCCTGGGCCTTCTCCCCTAGATCGACTCAGCCTCAAATGAGTACCTGGTGCCGTGTGTAAAATCATCGCCACTGGGGAGACAAAGGCGGGTCGGGCGTGGTGCTGGCAACCCACCCCCTCGTGTACCGTTCCGGCCTTCATTGGTGCTACTCGCTAACAGCACTTGCCCCTACAGTCTGTCAAGGCTACACGGGGGATCTTTGTGTGTGTGTGCTTGCTGAGCCAGTGTTCATTTTTAAACCGCGGCTGAACATCTTTCTATATTTATTTACGGACATTTCAGCCAAGCGACTGTGATTATAGTCGTATTTAGCTGCCTCTAAAGCCAGGACTGGTGTGGTTGTAGGCAAGGACATTGCCGCTGTGTGGGCTGGGAAGAACTGTAGGGGCTCGTTCACCCTCACGGGAACTAAAAAAGACAAAGATCCCCCGTGTAGCCCTTACAGACTGTCGGGGCAAGTGCTGTCAGCGAGCACCTATGAAGGCCGGAACGGCACACGAGGGGGTGGGTGGCCAGCACCACGCCCGGCCGCCTTTGTTTCCCCCAGTGGCAATGTTGAGTCGACCTAGGGGAGGCCCAGGACCGGTTTAGATAATCGTCACTGGTGTGGGCCGTGAGCGGGAATAGAACCCGGGTCGCCAGGTTCATAGCGCAGCGCGCTAACCGCTACACTACCGCACACACGCACACACACACACGCACACACGCGTATGTTAGTGTGTGTGCGGAGGGGGGGGGGCGAGTGTTGGCGCAGTGATTAGCCTACGAACCTGGCCACCCGAGTTCGATTCCCTTTCATGGTCAACGCCGGTGACGAAATATCTGAACCGGTCCTGGGCCACCCCTAGGTCGACTCGGCCTCAAATGAGTACCTGGAGTCTGGTGTGTAGAGATCACCACTCGGGAGGCAAAAACGCGTACCGTGCCGGCCTTCGTAGGCGCTCGCTAACAGCACTAACCGGATAACTCGCCCTAACACCATAACTCTGACCCGAGCACCATGGCTCTAACCCTAGCATCATGACCCCTGACCCTAACATCATGACCCCTGACACTAACACCATGGCCTCGAACCCTGACCCCGGGAACACGCCTTGACCCGCCCACGCTGGGTCCGCCCGTGTCCTGGCAGCTCCCAGCTTTAGTGGCGAGTGGCACAAACAATTTCAGCTGCCGCCGCTGCCCTGGAGGGGAGCCCTGTAATTGTAGCTATTAATAGCCCCAGGGAATAAATAGCCTTGCAAAACGGGGGGGGGTGGGGGGTGGGGGGGTCGTGGTGGTGGGTGGGCGAAGGGGGTTGGGAGCGGTGGGAGGGGGTGGGGGGAGAGCGCTCGGGGTAGCAGGAGCAGTGGTTGGGTTCACGTTCACACCGCGTCCGAGTGTCCGTCCGGTGGCGGTGTTCGCGGCGTTGGTGGCGGCTGTTGTTGTGGCCGGAGCTGGTGCCCTGTCCCCCGGCCTCACCGGCCCCGTGCCCCGGGGGGTCGCGGCGAGGGGGGTCGCGGTGAGGAGCGACGACCCCGCCGGGTGGGGTCGTGGTTTGTGGGACGCGAACAACAGCGGCCCCCAGCCGAGAGCGAGTGCTGCTGCGTGTGTGGTGAGTGGTGAGTGTGTGGGGTGAGTGTGTGGGGTGAGTGGTGAGTGTGGTGAGTGGTTAGTGTGTGTGGGTGGTGAGTGTGTGTGGGTGGTGAGTGGTGAGTGTGTGGGGTGAGTGGTGAGTGTGTGTGGTGAGTGGTGTGTGTGGTGAGTGGTGAGTGTGTGTGGTGAGTGGTGTGTGTGGTGAGTGGTGAGTGTGTGTGGTGAGTGGTGTGTGTGGTGAGTGGTGAGTGTGTGTGGTGAGTGGTGTGTGTGGTGAGTGGTGAGTGTGTGTGGTGAGTGGTGTGTGTGGTGAGTGGTGAGTGTGGTGAGTGGTGAGTGTGTGTGGTGAGTGGTGAGTGTGTGTGGTGAGTGGTGAGTGTGTGTGGTGAGTGGTGTGTGTGTGGGGTGATTGGTGAGTGTGTGTGGTGAGCGGTGTGTGTGGTGAGTGGTGAGTGTGTGTGGTGAGTGGTGAGTGTGTGGGGTGAGTGGTGAGTGTGTGTGGTGAGTGGTGTGTGTGGTGAGTGGTGAGTGTGTGGGGTGAGTGGTGAGTGTGTGTGGTGAGCGGTGAGTGGTGTGTGGTGAGTGGTGAGTGTGTGGGGTGAGTGGTGAGTGTGTGGGGTGAGTGGTGAGTGTGTGGGGTGAGTGGTGAGTGTGTGGGGTGAGTGGTGAGTGTGTGGGGTGAGTGGTGAGTGTGTGGAGTGAGTGGTGAGTGTGTGGCGTGAGTGCTGAGTGTGTAGGGTGAGTGGTGAGTGTGTGTGGTGAGTGTGTGGGGTGAGTGGTGAGTGTGTGGGGTGAGTGGTGAGTGTGTGGAGTGAGTGGTGAGTGTGTGGAGTGAGTGGTGAGTGTGTGGCGTGAGTGCTGAGTGTGTAGGGTGAGTGGTGAGTGTGTGGGGTGAGTGGTGAGTCTGAGGGGTGAGTGTGTGTGGTGAGTGGTGTGTGTGGTGAGTGGTGAGTCTGTGGGGTGAGTGGTGAGTGTGTGGGGTGAGTGGTGAGTGTGTGGGGTGAGTGGTGAGTGTGTGTGGTGAGTGGTGAGTGTGTGTGGTGAGTGGTGTGTGTGTGGTGGTGAGTGGTGAGTGTGTGGGGTGAGTGGTGAGTGTGTGGAGTGGTGCGTGTGTGGAGTGAGTGGTGAGTGTGTGGAGTGAGTGGTGAGTGTGTGGAGTGAGTGGTGAGTGTGTGGGGTGAGTGGTGAGTGGTGAGTGTGTGTGGTGAGTGGTGAGTGTGTGGTGAGTGGTGAGTGTGTGTGGTGAATGACGAGTGTGTGTGCTGAGTGGCGAGTCTGTGGGGTGAGTGGTGAGTGTGTGTGATGAGTGGTGAGTGTGTGGGGTGAGTGGTGAGTGAGTAGGGTGAGTGGTGAGTGTGTGTGGTGAGTGTGTAGGGTGAGCGGTGAGTGTGTGAGGTGAGTGGTGAGTGTGTGAGGTGAGTGGTGAGTGTGTGGGGTGAGTGGTGAGTGTGTAGGGTGAGTGTGTGGGATGAGTGTGTGGGGTGAGTGGTGAGTGTGTGTGGTGAGTGGTGAGTGTGTGTGGTGAGTGGTGAGTGTCTGTGGTGAGTGGTGAGTGTGTGGGGTGAGTGGTGAGTGTGTGTGGTGAGTGGTGAGTGTGTAGGGTGAGTGGTGAGTGTGTGAGGTGAGTGGTGAGTGTGTGGGGTGAGTGGTGAGTGTGTAGGGTGAGTGGTGAGTGTGTAGGGTGAGTGGTGAGTGTGTAGGGTGAGTGGTGAGTGTGTGGGTGAGTGGTGAGTGTGTGGGGTGAGTGGTGAGTGCGTGAGTGGCGAGTGTGTGGGGTGAGTGGCGAGTGTGTGGGGTGAGTGGTGGGTGTGTGGGTGAGTGGTGGGTGTGTGGGTGAGTGGTGGGTGTGTGGGTGAGTGGTGGGTGTGTGGGGTGAGTGGTGGGTGTGGGGGTGAGTGGTGGGTGTGTGGGTGAGTGGCGAGTGTGTGGGGTGAGTGGTGAGTGTGTGGGGTGAGTGGTGAGTGTGTGGGGTGAGTGTGACTGTCTGCAGCTGCTGCTCTGCTGTGTGGGTGTGGCGTGTGTAGATCTGAGTGTGGAGTGGTGAGGGTTGTGTGGTGAGGGTTGTGTGGTGAGGGTTGTGTGGTGAGTGAGTGCTGTTCTCTGTGTTAACTGTAGATTACAAGTTTGTCTGACTGTGCAGTCGGTGAGCAGTGGCGTAGCGATCAGCGCGCGCTACAAACCCGGCAAACCGAGTTCGATTCCCGCTCACGGCCTCCCTAGGTCGACTCGGCCTCAAATGAGTACCTGGTGCGGTGTGTAAACATCGCCACCGGGGATACAAAGGCGGCCGGGCGTGGTGCTGGCCACCCACCGCCTCGTGTGCCGTGCCGGACTTCATAGGTGCTCGCTAACAGCACTTGCCCCTACAGCCTGTTAGAGGCTACACGGGGCATCTTTGTCTTTGTGGTGGTGGTGGTGGTGGTGGTGATGGTGAGTGCCGTGCTGTCCCCCGACCCCCAGACGTGGCGCGGGGCCCTCTAGACGGCGGCCTGTACGCCAGCGTGCGCAGCACCGCACGCTCGCCGCACCGACGCGGCCCCGGCCCCACCACCAACAACAACAACGGCGCAGGCGCCGGCACGCTGAGCCTCGGCGGGGGACGGCCGGGAGCGCACCAGCAGCACCAGCAGCAGCAGCAGCACCAGCAGCACCACCAGCAGCAGCAGCAGCACCAGCAGCACCAGCAGAACCAGCAGCAGCAGCACCAGCAGCACCAGCAGCACCAGCAGCAGCACCAGCAGCACCAGCAGCAGCACCAGCAGCAGCAGCACGCTCGCTCCCGTAGCGCCGACTCGGGGAACTCGTCGGCGTCCGCCAGGACGGACCACACGGACCGCGTGCCGCCCTCGCCCCGGCGGGGCGACCCCGCGGCCATGGCGGGCCGCGCCGGCAGGCCCGGCGGAGGCTTCGGCGGAGTCGCCGGCGCCGGCGGTCGCTACACGGTGCCGGCGCTGGTGCACGTGAACGGTGGCGCCGCGGGGGCCCCCGCGCTGCGGGAGACGGACATCCTGGACGACGAGCCGGGGTACTCGCCGGCGCCGGCGACGCCGGATCCCCGGCAGGCGTCGGCAAAGGCGCACTACTACGGGTACCGGCCGCCCGCGGCGCATGAGGCCCGGGTCTCCTTCCAACAGCAGCCGTCGCCGCCGCCGCCGCCGGAGCACTACCGGCACTACCAGCCGCTGCAGCAGCCACAGCAGCTGTACCAGCTGGAACATTACCAGCTGCACCAGCAGCAGCAGCAGCTGCAGCGGCAGCCGAGCGGCCACGCAGCGGTGCCCGAGAGCTGGGGCTGGCTCCCGGCGGGCGCCGGCGAGGCGTCGCGTGAGTGGAACGCGGCGCCGGCTGGCACGGACGCGAGCGTGGCGCAGCTCAACCTGCTCATGCTGGACCTCGACCCCGGATTCTTGATGCCGGCGGCCGGGACCCACGGGGGCCACGGGGATCACGGGGATCACGGGGGCCACGGGGATCACGGGACCCACGAGGGCCACGGGGGCCACGGGGATCACGGGACCCACGGTGGCTACGGCAGCACGAGCGGAGGAGGAGCGTCGCCGTGCGGAGGTAACGAGGAGCGCCGCTACGCGCACGCTGCCGGGCCCGCCGTGGGCCGCGCCCTCTCCCCAGCGGCGCGGTTCTCGCCGGAGCCTCTCGCCAGTTCCATCGGCGCTCCTCGCTCCTCCTCGCCGCTCCCGGCTCCTCCTCCTCCTCCTCCTCCCGCTCCTCCCTCTTCATTACGCCCGGCGCCGCGGCCCCACGGCCTCCTCTTTCCGGCGCCGGCCGCCGCGACCGCGCCATACGGCGCGACGCGCCACCGGGTCTCGCCGGCGCCAGGCCTGGCCAGGCCTCTCGGGGTGCCGTCACCGTCTCCTCCTCCTCCTCCTCCCCCACCTCCTCCTCCTCCTCCCCCTCCTCTGCCGCCGCCGCCGCCCCCCCACGCGGCCCGCGCGGCCGTGCCGGGCCGGGCCAACGCGCCGCCGCCGTCGCCGCAGCCGGTGCGCCGCTCCCCCGCCCCTCCGCCGTCGCCGTCGTCGCCGCCGCCGCGCTACGTGCCGTTCGGCGCGGTGCGCACGCCCTTCCGGTCGCTGGGCCCCATCGGCGCCGCCGCGCCCGCCGCGCTGACCCCCCGCGCGACCACACCGGCATGGGGGGGTCCACTGGGTGGTCACGGTGCTGCTGCTGCTGCTGCTGGCGGCGGCGGCGGCGGTGCTAGTGGTGGGTTTGGCGGCAGCGGCGGCATCGGAGGTGGTGGTGGGTTTGGTGGTTCGGGGGGTTTTGGTGGCACCGGCGGTGCTTCTGGTAGTGTTGGCGGTACCAGCGGCGGTTTCGGAGGCTTCGGCGCCGGTGCCCGTGCCAGCCCCCCGTTGCCGGGACACGGTGGAGACGGCACCGGCGAGGAGGAAAAGAAGGAGGAGGAGGAGGGGGAGGAGGAGGAGGAGTACAGCCTCGCGGGGCTGGTGCGGCACCGCGTGTCAGGTGGGGACGAGTTCACCGCAAAACCCCCGTGCCAGGTTTCCCCGTTTTTGCCGGCGCCGGTGCGAAAAAAGTCCGGCACCATCCCGGCGCTCGGGGTTGTGTGTGTGTGGGGGGGGGGGGGCTACAGTTCTCGTGCCTGCGTTCCCTCGGCCCCCGGCTAGTTTCAGGTGGTGTCACGCCCTGGCTTAGATGCCAGGGGGGGCGGCCTGCTCTCTGCTTTTCCAGTAACCCTCCGATACTTGACGCCAACGGTGCTCATCATCTCCCGCTTGCAGCCCTGAGCCGGCGGTGGAAATTCCACATTCCCAAAGTGGGGGCAAGTCTCGTCGTCAGACAAAACCACTGGTTGATCCTCCCACGGAAGCGGTACTTATTTTATTGACCCCGGAGGAACGGTGATGATGGGTTGAGGTCAATCTTCCCCCCCCCCCCACCGCCCCTTTGCGATTTGTGCCAACTGCCCCCCCCCCCCACCCTGGGATTGAACCTGGTTCCAGAAGCTGCGGGGCTGATGCCAGCGCTATTCGAGTTATCGTTGGGGAGGACAGGCACAGAGAGATGGAGAGCAAGACTGTGAGACATACTCTGAATCAGAATGTGTATTTAGACTGGAGGAATCCGATGAGATATGAAGCCAGCTGTGTCCAGTAGACAGAGAGAGAGAGAGACAGGGCATGTGAGACAGAGACAGAGGGAGAGAGACAGCGAGACGGAGATGGAGGGAGAGAGACAGAGAGACAGGCCACGTTACCGGCACAGAACGGGTCCGGGTTCTATTTAGACACGGAGGGTCATGGGAACAAGGCACAGTGGTCTGCAGCCAAGTACGAACGGACTCACTCGCTCACACGCTCACCCAGTACTAATGGACTCACTCACTCACACGCTCACCCAGTACTAATGGACTCACTCACTCACACGCTCACCCAGTACTAACGGACTCACTCCCACGCTCACCCAGTACTAATGGACTCACTCACTCACACGCTCACCCAGTACTAATGGACTCACTCACTCACACGCTCACCCAGTACTAATGGACTCACTCACTCACACGCTCACCCAGTACTAATGGACTCACTCACTCACACGCTCACCCAGTACTAATGGACTCACTCACTCACACGCTCACCCAGTACTAATGGACTCACTCACTCACACGCTCACCCAGTACTAATGGACTCACTCACACGCTCACCCAGTACTAATGGACTCACTCACTCACACGCTCACCCAGTACTAACGGACTCACATGCTCACCCAGTACTAATGGACTCACTCACTCACACGCTCACCCAGTACTAATGGACTCACTCACTCACACGCTCACCCAGTACTAATGGACTCACTCACACACTCACCCAGTACTAATGGACTCACTCACACACTCACCCAGTACTAACGGACTCACTCACACGCTCACCCAGTACTAATGGACTCACTCACCCGCTCACTCACCCGCTCACTCACCCAGTACTAACTCACTCACTCACACGCTCACCCAATACTAATGGACTCACTCACACGCTCACCCAGTACTAACGGACTCACACGCTCACCCAGTACTAATGGACTCACTCACATGCTCACCCAATACTAATGGACTCACTCACACGCTCACCCAATACTAATGGACTCACTCACACGCTCACCCAGTACTTACGGAATCACTCACTCACCCGCTCACTCACCCAGTACGAATGGACTCACTCACACGCTCACCCAGTATTAATGGACTCACTCACTCACACGCTCACCCAGTACTAACGGACTCGCTCACACGCTCACCCAGTACTAATGGACTCACTCACTCACCCGCTCACTCACCCAGTATTAATGGACTCACTCACTCACCCGCTCACTCACCCAATACTAACGGACTCGCTCGCTCACCCAGTACTAATGGACTCGCTCACTCACCCGCTCACTCACCCAGTACTAACGGACTCGCTCGCTCACCCGCTCGCTCACCCAGTATTAATGGACTCACTCACCCAGTACTAATGGACTCCCTCGCCCACCCGCTCACTCACCCAATACTAACGGACTCGCTCGCTCACCCAGTACGAATGGACTCGCTCACTCACCCGCTCACTCACCCAGTACTAACGGACTCGCTCACTCGCTCACCCGCTCGCTCACCCAGTATTAATGGACTCACTCACCCAGTACTAATGGACTCACTCGCCCACCCGCTCGCTCACCCAGTACTAACGGACTCGCTCGCTCACCCTCCTCCCTAACCCGTGGGAGTGACAGGAGGAGCCGTGTCCCGGCTTCCGGCCAGGGTGTGACGGCAGTAGAGAAAGTGGGTTGACTCGCCACCGACGAGGGCCGTGAATGTGCCGATCGCTCCTCCGCTGTGCTCTGGGCTGCGCCGCGTGCCGGCCGGCGCCACGTGTCCGACGTTTCGCTCCCCGTCACCGCGCGTCGCTGCCTGCGGTGTGACGCGCGTGCCCCGCGCTCCCTGCCGCGTCTCGGCCACTGAAGGAGGCGCTAGGCCTCGGTTTGACCCCAGGCCTCGGTTTGACCCCAGTTTGACCCAGTTGACCTCTGTTTCCTATCGGAGGTCACAGGAAGGCGACGCAGCGACAGACCAACCGACTGTGGACCGGTTCGACCTCGTTAGGACTCCGCGGCGGGGGCAACTCGACCGCGCTGACGGATTTTTTATCCCTCTCCAAATGCACAGAGGCTGCGTCCATCGCCGCAAGTGCTCGAAACGGGTCCCCATCGCAGCCTGTGTCTGTTGCTGCTGCTGATCGCGGCCTGTGTCTGTTACTGCTGCTGATCGCAGCCTGTGTCTGTTACTGCTGCTGATCGCAGCCTGTGTCTGTTACTGCTGCTGATCGCAGCTTGTGTCTGTTACTGCTGCTGATCGCAGCCTGTGTGCATCACTGCTGCTGATTGCAGCCTGTGTCTGTCACTGCTGCTGATCGCAGCCTGTGCGTGTCACTGCTGCTGATCGCAACCTGTGTCTGTTACTGCTGCTGATCGCAGCCTGTGCGTGTCACTGCGGCTGATCGCGGCCGGTCACGTCCTGCTCGGCTCTATTTTGACGGTGGCCCTAAGACGAGAGACGAGAGGTCGCAGTTCCTGGGGAACTGCGACCGGTGGCTGATGCTCCTTGGTTCTTTCGGTAAAGTCATCACGTAGTTAGAAATAAACTAAAACAAATCACGACGTTTCGATCGCAACACGACCGCGTGTGTGGTGCGATCGAAACGTCGTGATTTTTATTTTATTTCATTGTCTACCTACCACGTGATGACTTTACCGAAATAACCAAAGAGTGTGGATTCCTGCAGTCACGAAAGCTTCAAATCACAGATTGAACTGCCGATGGTTTCATCGCAATACGCAGAGGCCGTGTCGCTTGGTGCACGTGCGTGCCTGTGTGTGCTGTTTGAGACTCACCGTGGGGTTTGGTTTTTTGGGGGTGTTTTTTCCCCGGCCTGCGCTTGCGCTCTGCTGTGATGACGCGCGGTGTGTGCGTGCGCGTCATCGTCATTGTAACCATGATGACGACCGGTGTGTGTGTGTGCGTCGTCGTCGTAATGATGATGACGACTGGCGTGTGTGTGCGTCATCGTCGTCATTGTAACGATGATGACGACGACGATGAATAATATCGGTCGCGCAAGCCTCCCACGTGTTACACGGATATGGTGAGGGTCATGACGATGACGATGATGGATGCTGAGCATGTTTGATGATGAAGATTGATTGATGATGATTTTTATGATGATGATTATTCATGTTTGTTGATGACAATGATTACAGCGGTAGATCCGAGCGGGTCGCAATCACAAAGTCGTGAGTTCAAATCCTGCTTTTGGGGCGGGGCGGGACGGGTGGGGGAGTGTGACTCAGCCAATCATCATCCCCTCCCTTTGGGGTCAATAAAATAGGTACCACAATAAAGGTGTTTTTTGGGCTTAGATCGCGTAAATATAAATGTGTCGTGAAACCCGCCACCACCCGACAGCCAATTAGTAAAGTTCGTCACGTTAACAGAACGTACCAATTTCGTTACTGGCACAGCAAACCGGTTGTGTGTTGGAGAGCAAATTCACAACGCTAACAATCTGAGTCCGACGTTTCGCCAGTAATTACAACCGGCATCATCAGGCGGACAGCCAGACAACCAAAATGAGTACCATTTTACAGGCGAAGTCGACAGCGGGGTTTCATCGTTAGGATGACGACGACGATGATGACGACGACGATGATGACGACAATGACGACGATGACGACGATGATGATGATGACGACGATGATCCACCAACAGACTGACCGGCGCAACGATTTTCACTAAATCTACCCACCTGGTTGGCGCGACCTCCTGCTGCTCACGTTGGCATTTACAGCCCTGCAGAGCCAGTGGTGGAAATTCCACGTTCCTTATGGAGGTCGGCGAGTTTATTCATGTTTTTGTCATCGCACAAACCTCGCTGTCGACTTCACCGTGAAGTGGTACTTATTTATCGACCCCAGAGGGAAGGGATGATGATTGGCTGAGTCACACTCCCCCTCCTATCCCGCCCCACAAACAGGATTTGAAGTGGGGATTTTGTGATTGCAAGCCGCTTGATCTACCACTGTAATCATTGTCATCGTACTCAATAGTCATGAATAATAATGCTCATCATCAATTAATCTTCATCATCAAAGTATCGTCAGCATCCGCCATCGTCATGACCGTCACATATCCGTTTAGCGCGTGGTAGGGCTTTCACGACCAATGTTATCCACAATAGAGGTGTCTATACTGGGTTAGATCGCGTAAATAATGTAGTGTGTGGTACAGAGGCACACACTGGAGTTGGAGGCAACACGTTTATCCAACACCCCCAAGGGGGCTAACTACATAAACGTACACTGGTTCAACATCTTAAGTGATAACTAAACGGTTAACTACGTGAGTAGCGGATTAACTACACGAACGGGTCAGTCGGCGTACATGCTGCCTGACCCACGATGCCGAACAAAAACCAAAGAATCGCGGACGACGAGACGCGAGACCCCCCCCAGGATGATTCCACCTTTATGCCCCTGAGCGTGGCCTGACCCCGCCTTCGGCCACGCCCCCACCTTCGGCCACGCCCCCGTCGAGACCTTTCCCGAAGGATCTCGACGGAGCGTCACGTGTCCCTCAGCCCCCCCCCCCCCCCTCGAGAGCCCTCCTCACTAACCTGTCCCGTGCCCTCTCGGGTTTACCCAGGCGACCATGTCCTGTCTTGCCCCCTCTCTGCGGCCACCATACTCAATTCTAGATTTGAAGCTTTCGTGACTGCAAGGATCCATACTCTGGCCCCAGAGAGAGGTTCCAGACGCACCGTAACACCCTTAGGGCAGTGCCTGGCGCTACCACCATAGTGGCACCTTTAACGTCACTACAAATGTATAAATGCGTCGTTAAACCCGCCACCACCCGACACAGCCAATCAGTAATTGTTCACGTGACTAACCTTACTTTGTTGGCTGTGTCGGGTGGTGGCGGTGGCGGGGCTAAACGACACAACATTTATATATTTACGCGATCTAACCCAAAAACAACAACAACCCCCTCTATTTACGTCACCTATCCCTTTTTCGGGGAGCGATTCATTCCCATTCAAAGCCTCGCCCTCCCATTGGCAATGTGGAATTTCCAACCCCATTGGCGGAGGGGGGAAAAGGGCCAATCTAAGAACGTCCCGTGGGGAGAGGAGGGATTTGTGGTTTGTGGTGGTGGTGGTGGTGGTGTAGGACGCTGCTGTTACTGGGCAGTTGGAGACAGTCGCCCTCCAACAACAACGGAGAGCGGAGGAGCGACGCTCTCACAACAATGAGCGGAGCTCCGGGTGGCTAAAGCACAGCAGGTTGGCACAGTAAGGGGCACAGGTGGTGCATCAGCCACAGTCATCTCAGTCAGTCGACCCGTGGCACCTGCTGGGTCTGCCCCGTGACCTCCTGCCAGCGGGCGTTCGACACTTCACGTGGCATCAAACGTGCACATGGCCTGGCACGAGCGTCGTGGTGACATCACCACCACTTAGTGGCGAATGGCGGTTGTTGTTGTTGTTGTTGTTGGTGGTGGGGGGGGGGGGGAGAAGCCTTGACACACGCGTGAGGCCCTTTCGCTGTTGGGCCATCCTCGCATGAACACTTGCACGACAGCACGGTGATTGTTTGCGCTGTGGGCCACATCAGCGAGGTTCAAGTCCCACCGGGCGTCGTTTGTTGGGGGAGCCAACGAGGCCCTCATCGCCCCCTTGGGAATCATCGCTGGGTCCACCCCCCCCCCCACCCACCCCTCCGGCCCCCGTTCCTCCGGTGTGATGCACGCGAGAGTTGTTGTCGTCGTTGTTGTTGTTGACGCCACTCTACCTGCGCTCTCCCCGCGCAGAGTACAACGCCATGCTGCAGGGGAGGCTGGAGAGTGGCAGCTCCCCACTCCCCACTCTGCGACTCCGCTCGCACTCCGCGCCCGGTCTGTCCCTGCCTCTGTCCCTGTCTCTGTCCATGTCCCTGTCCATGTCCCTGTCTGTCTCCCTCTCTCTCCTCCCTCTCCCTCTGGAGACCCTCCTGCCTGCAGTGCTGTGAGCGAGCTGTTGCAGAACTGCGCCTTTTAACACTCTGATTACAATACTTGCTTAGTACGCGCGTGCTGTCAAAATTATTCGCTTTTTTATTTTAAAGGATATGAGTTGGAGCTCATTTCCTATAATCGATGGTTTTTGTTTTATGAATGACACTGGGAAACCATTGAGCTACTTGGGGGCCCGAATCTTTTGCATAATTAGCTTAGCACCGCTCGGGGAGGGGGATCTGACCCCCTGGCGTGACCCCTGTGTGTGTGTGACCCCTGTGTGTGTGAGCTCTGTGTGTGACCCGTGTGTGACCCCTGTGTGTTTGTGACCCCTGTGTGTGTGCATGTGTGTGACCCCTGTGTGTGTGTGACCTCTGTGTGTGTGACCCCTGTGCGTGTGTGTGACCCCTGTGTGTGAACCTCTGTGTATGTGACCTCTGTGCATGTGTATGACCTCTGTGCGTGTGTGACCTCTGTGTGTGTGCAACCTCTGTGTGTGACCCCTGTGTGTGACCTATGTGTGTGACCCCTGTGTGTGTGCGTGTGTGTGACCCCTGTGTGTGTGAACCTCTGTGTGTGACCCCTGTGTGTGACCTATGTGTGTGACCCCTGTGTGTGTGCGTGTGTGTGACCCCTGTGTGTGTGAACCTCTGTGTATGTGTGTGTGACCTCTGTGCGTGTGTGTGACCTCTGTGTGTGTGACCTCTGTGTGTGACCCCTGTGTGTGACCTCTGTGTGTGACCCCTGTGTGTGTGCGTGTGTGTGACCCCTGTGTGTGTGAACCTCTGTGTATGTGTGTGACCTCTGTGCGTGTGTGACCTCTGTGTGTGTGACCTCTGTGTGTGACCCCTGTGTGTGTGTGTGACCCCTGTGTGTGCGTGTGACCCCTGTGTGTGCGTGTGACCCCTGTGTGTGACCCCTGTGTGTGCGTGTGACCCCTGTCTGTGACCCCTGTGTGTGCGTCTGACCCCTGTGTGTGACCCCTGTGTGTGCGTGTGACCCCTGTGTGTGACCCCTGTGTGTGACCCCTGTGTGTGACCTCTGTATGACCTCTGTGTGTGACCCCTGTGTAACCTCTGTGTGTGACCCCTGTGTGTGACCCCCGTGTGTGTGACCCCTGTGTGTGAATTCTGTGTGACCTCTGTGTGTGACCTCTGTGTGTGTGACCTCTGTGTGTGTGACCCCTGTGTGTGTCCCCTGTGTGTGGCCTCTTTGTGTGTGTGACCTCTGTGACCTCTGTGTGTGACCCCTGTGTGACCCCTGTGTGACCTCTGTGTGACCTCTGTGTGTGACCTCTGTGTGTGACCCCTGTGTGTGACCTCTGTGACCCCTGTGTGTGACCTGTGTGTGACCCGTGTGTGACCCCTGTGTGTTTGTGACCCCTGTGTGTGTGTGACCCCTGTGTGTGTGATCCCTGTGTGTGTGACCCCTGTGTGTGACCCCTGTGTGTGTGAACCTCTGTGTATGTGTGTGTAAACCTCTGTGTATGTGTGTGTGACCTCTCTGTGCGTGTATGTGACCCGTGTGTGTGTGACCCCTGTGTGTGGGACCCCTGTGTGTGACCTCTGTGTGAATGTGGCCCGTGTGTGTGTGTGACCCCTGTCTCCTATATATGTGTGACTCCTGTGTGTGACCCCTGTGTGTGACCCCTGTGTGTGTGGCTCCTGTGTGTGTGTGACCCCTGTGTGTGTGACCCCTGTGTGTGTGGCTCCTGTGTGTGTGTGGTTAATGTGTGTGTGTGACCCCTGCATGTGTGTGTGACCCCTGCATGTGTGACCCCTGCATGTGTGTGTGACCCCTGCATGTGTGACCCCTGCATGTGTGTGTGTGTGGCCCCTGCGTGTGTGTGTGTGACCCCTGCATGTGTGTGTGTGTGACCCCTGCATGTGTGTGTGTGACCCCTGCATGTGTGTGTGTGACCCCTGCATGTATGTGTGACCCCTGCGTGTGTGTGTGACCCCTGCGTGCGTGTGCGTGTGACCCCTGCATGTGTGTGACCCCTGCGTGTGTGACCCCTGCGTGTGTGTGTGACCCCTGCGTGTGTGACCCCTGCGTGTGTGTGTGACCCCTGCGTGTGTGACCCCTGCATGTGTGTGACCCCTGTGTGTGTGACCCCTGCGTGTGTGTGTGACCCCTGCGTGTGTGTGTGTGACCCCAGGGCCCCGGCCTATGGGGCCCGGGCTGCAGACCCGGGTGGAGTCCATGCGGAGGAGAGCCGCCAGCGTGGGGCCCCGGGAAGACGGAGAGGCCGAGGGGGGTGGGGCCGCAGGGGCCCACCACGACGCGGCCTGCGTGCCGGTGAGCGAGCGGGTGAGCGGGCAGGGGGTGGGTGAGTGGGTTGGTGAGCGAGCGGGTGAGCGGGAAGGGGGTGGGTGGGTGGGTTGGTGAGCGGGTGGGTGGGTTGGTGAGCGGGTGGGTGGGTTGGTGAGCGGGTGGGTGGGTTGGTGAGCGGGTGGGTGGGTGGGTTGGTGAGCGAGCGGGTTGGTGAGCGAGCGGGTGAGCGGGCAGGGGGTGGGTGAGCGGGTTGGTGAGCGGATGGGTGGGTGGGTTGGTGAGCGGGTTGGTGAGCGAGCGGGTTGGTGAGCGAGCGGGTGAGCGGGCAAGGGGTGGGTGAGTGGGTTGGTGAGCGGGTGGGTGAGTGGGTTGGTGAGCGGATGGGTGGGTGGGTGGAGTTTGTATCTTCTCCCCATAGCTATCAAAGACAAAGATACCCACGTGTAGCCTTCACAAACTGTTGGGGCAAGTGCTGTGAGCGAGCACCTATGAAGGCCGGCACCGCACACCAGGGGGTGAATGGCCAACACCGCGCCCGGCCGCCTTTGTCTCCCCAGGTACTAATTTGAGTCGAACTACGTGAGGCCCAGGACCCGTTCAGATAATCGTCACATAGCTAAACACACAACAGCCGTGGCGGTGACGTCACCACGGCGCCTGTGCCAGGCTAGGTGCACGTCGAGGCCACGTGAAGTGTCGACCGCCCGCCGCCGACAGCAAGGAGGTCGCGGGGCAGACCCAGCAGGTGCCACGGGTCGACCGACTGAGATGAGCGTCCGATGCCCCACCTGTGTCCCCCCCCCCTACCGTGCCAACTAAACAAGCACGCACACGCAATGGCTCGTGTTGGGCAGCACCCCACATCCCCCGCAATGCTGAGATGTGACACCGCAAATCGCTCAGCCGGGATCACAAACCCAGCAAGCAGCAGTAGCAGCAGTAGCAGCAACATCGCCCCCTCTGCTGCGAACGCGTGGCGGGACCCTCCTGGACACGACGAGCCTCTCTGCCTGCGTAGAAACGAACCGAAGTGAATGATCGCAGTCACGAATGCCTCGCGCGCACGCTGCTGCTGCTGCTGTCGCTGCGACTGCTGTGGTTGCTGCTGTGGTTGCTGCTGCTGCTGTTCCTGCTGTGGTTGCTGCTGCTGTGGTTGCTGCTGCTGCTGTTGTGGTTGCTGCTGCTGTCGCTGCGGCTGCTGTGGTTGCTGCTGTTGTGGTTGCTGTTGTTGCTGGTGTGGTTGCTGCTGCTGTTGTGGTTGCTGCTGTTGCTGGTGTGGTTGCTGCTGCTGTTGTGGTTGCTGCTGCTGCTGCTGCTGTGGTTGCTGTGGCTGCTGCTGTTGTGGTTGCTGCTGTTGTGGTTGCTGCTGCTGCTGCTGTGGTTGCTGCTGCTGCTGTGGTTGCTGAGCGCGGGATTTCTGCGCCGCGCTGTGACGGTCGCGCCGTCCGTGTCCGCCCGCGTGTTGCCGCGCCTGTGTAGGCACCCCGCGAGGAGTACGGGGCCCCGTTGGGAGCCCACAGGGGGCCGAGCCCCTACTCCCACTCGCCGACTCAGGGGTACGCGACGGGGCCCCCCACGCCCACGTTCCCCGTGGCGCCTCCGACTCCCTACACACGTGAGTAGTGGGGGGGCTGAGTGGGATGAGGAGTGGGGGGCTGAGTGGGGGGCTGAGTGGGATGAGGAGTGGGGGGGCTGAGTGGGATGAGGAGTGGGGGGGCTGAGTGGGATGAGGAGTGGGGGGGCTGAGTGGGATGAGGAATGGGGGGCTGAGTGGGATGAGTAGTGGGGGGCTGTGTGGGATGAGTAGTGGGGGGCTGAGTGGGATGAGGAGTGGGGGGCTGAGTGGGATGAGTAGTGGGGGGCTGAGGGAGATGAGTAGTGGGGGGCTGAGTGGGATGAGTAGGTTGGGGAGGGCTGTGTGAGATGATTTAGGGTTACTTTCGAGTAACCGGTAACCGCATGAAAACTTGTTAAACCGGTTAACCACACACAGAGAAACGCCTTGGGCCACTGCAGTGGTGAGCTGCACACAGTTCCAATAGACTCGTCCAGAGAAGCCCAGACTCACTACATAGACCAACAGACTCGCACGGAGAGCCACAGACTCGCACGGAGAGCCACAGACTCACAGATACCCACAGACTCGCACGGAGACTCACAGACTCGCACGGAGACCCACGGACTCGCACGGAGACCCACGGACTCACACGGAGACCCACGGACTCGCACGGAGAGCCACAGACTCACAGATACCCACAGACTCGCACGGAGACTCACAGACTCGCACGGAGACCCACGGACTCGCACGGAGACTCACGGACTCGCACGGAGACTCACAGACTCGCACGGAGACCCACGGACTCGCACGGAGACCCACGGACTCACACGGAGACCCACGGACTCGCACGGAGAGCCACAGACTCACAGATACCCACAGACTCGCACGGAGACTCACGGACTCGCACGGAGACCCACGGACTCGCACGGGGACTCACGGACTCGCACGGAGACTCACAGACTCGCACGGAGACCCACGGACTCGCACGGAGACCCACGGACTCGCACGGAGACCCATGGACTCGCACGGAGACCCACAGACTCGCACGGAGACCCATGGACTCGCGCGCGGTGTAACCGCGATGACCAACGCGAGGCCCGGGCGGACAGAGAGAGCCGCAGCATCACGGAGCGCCCTCCAGGCTCGCTCGGGGCCCTGCATCACTCAACGCCGCCCGAGCCAAACGCGTCGATTTGGGATTATTCGACGGCGCGGGTTTGTCGCTGGCCGCTCGGCGTTCCGTGCCCGGTGGGCCCTGGCCCCTGGGCGGGGCACGACGAGAGCGGGGGTGGGGGGCGGTCAGCCGTGGGCACTACCGGATTATCCTCGTAGCAAAAATACATACGTAGTAGTTGCTACTACATATGTAGTAACTGCATATGTAGTAGCAGCAGCTACTGCATGTGTAGTAGCTGCTACTACATATGGAGCTACGGGCCCCGCACTTTCAAGGGCCCCGCGCTAAATACTTTCAAGCTATCAATTCCGGTTCAGTGATTCTGCACTAGCTCTATTACTATAGTACTATACCGCCTTCAACTTTTATGAACGACCGGCTGTTTAAGGTTAGCGATTTGTCGTATTATCTGGCTGTATAGCAAATGAAAAAAAAAACACAATTGTTTTACTGTGCAAGTTAATCATTTTTTTGTTTTAATATTTATGGGGTTTTTGTTTAATTTAGGGTCCCTTTACAACATCGTCTGCTACAGGCCCCGCACCTCGCTTCATGGCCGTGGGTGATGCCACCCGGCGTGCTGATGTCGCCCCTCTCGGCGCCTCTGTCCGTTTGCGATGTGAAGCGGTGGCGGGCGAGGGGGAGGTTTTTGTTGTTTTGCTTCACAGTCATTGCCGCTCGTGTCCGTGCAAGTTGCCGCTACGGACGCGTGTGTGAACCCCACTTCTCTCTCGCTCGCTCTGTGTGTGTGTGGCAAGTCTCTCTGGGGGGTGTGTGCCAAGTCTGTGTGTGTGTGTGTGGTGTGTACCAAGTCTGTGTGTGTGGTGTGTACCAAGTCTGTGGGGGGTGTGTGCCAAGTCTGTGTGTGTGTGTGGTATGTGTACCAAGGCTGTGTGTGGTGTGTGTACCAAGTCTGTGTGTGTGGTGTGTGTACCAAGTCTGTGAGGGGTGTGTGCTAAGTCTCTCTGTGTGTGGTGTGTGTACCAAGTCTGTGAGGGGTGTGTGCTAAGTCTCTCTGTGTGTGGTGTGTGTACCAAGTCTCTGTGTGTGGTGTGTACCAAGTCTGTGTGTGGTGTGTGTACCAAGTCTGTGTGTGGTGTGTGTACCAAGTCTGTGTGTGGTATGTGTACCAAGTCTGTGAGGGGTGTGTACCAAGTCTGTGTGTGGTGTGTACCAAGTCTCTGTGTGTGGTGTATGTACCAAGTCTCTGTGTGTGGTGTATGTACCAAGTCTCTGTGTGTGTGGTGTGTGTACCAAGTCTCTGTGTGTGGTGTGTGTACCAAGTCTCTGTGTGTGGTGTGTGTACCAAGTCTCTGTGTGTGGTGTGTGTACCAAGTCTGTGTGTGGTGTGTGTACCAAGTCTCTGTGTGTGGTGTGTGTACCAAGTCTCTGTGTGTGGTGTGTGTACCAAGTCTCTCTGTGTGTGGTGTGTACCAAGTCTCTGTGTGTGGTGTGTGTACCAAGTCTGTGTGTGGTGTGTGTACCAAGTCTCTGTGTGTGTGGTGTGTGTACCAAGTCTGTGTGTGTGGTGTGTGTACCAAGTCTGTGTGTGTGGTGTGTACCAAGTCTGTGTGTGTGGTGTGTGTACCAAGTCTGTGTGTGGTGTGTGTACCAAGTCTGTGGTGTGTGGTGTGTACCAAGTCTCTGTGTGTGGTGTGTGTACCAAGTCTGTGTGTGGTGTGTGTACCAAGTCTGTGTGTGTGGTGTGTGTACCAAGTCTGTGTGTGGTGTGTGTACCAAGTCTGTGTGTGTGGTGTGTGTACCAAGTCTGTGTGTGGTGTGTGTGCCAAGTCTGTGTGTGGTGTGTGTACCAAATCTGTGTGTGGTGTGTGTACCAAGTCTGTAGGGGGTGTGTACCAAATATGTGTGTGTGGTGTGTGTACCAAGTCTGTGTGTGGTGTGTGTACCAAGTCTGTGTGGTGTGTGTACCAAGTCTGTGTGTGGTGTGTGTACCAAGTCTTTGGGGGGGGGGGGGGGCGTGTGCCAAGTCTGTGTGCGTATGTGGGGGGGGGGGTGATCTAAGTCTCTCTGCGGGGGGGGTGTGCCAAGTCCCGTCTGAAAGACGTTGTGACCGCGTGGCCTTCCTTCCACGCAGCTCTGCAGTGTGGACGGTACTCAAGAACCCTGAGAGTCTGTGGGCAATGCGAGTCTGTGTGGGGAGGGCGGGTGAGGGTTGGTGAGGGTGAGGGTTGGTGAGGGGGAGAGTTTTGGGGTTGGGCCTCATCCCTCCCCCCCATGGCGCCCATCACAATGGCCTCATTCACCCGCGCGGCGCAGCCTCCTGCGCTTCCCGGGAGAGCTCTCCCTCCCCCTCTCCCTCTCCTCCTCCCTCCCCCTCTCCCTCCCCCTCCCTCCCCCTCTCCCTCCCCCTCTCCCTCCCCTTCTCCCTCCCCCTCTCCCTCCCCTTCTCCCTCCCCCTCCCCTTCTCCCTCCCCCTCCCCTTCTCCCTCCCCCTCCCTCCCCTTCTCCCTCCCTCCCCCTCCCTCCCCCGTCTCTTCCCTTCTCCCTCCCCCCCTTCTCCCTCCCCTTCTCCCTCCCCTCCCTTCCCTTCTCCCTCCCCCTCTCCTCCCTCCCCCGCTCCGTCTCCCTCCCCTTCTCCCTCCCCTTCTCCCTCCCCCTCCCTCCCCCTCTCCCTCCCCTTCTCCCTCCCCCTCCCTCCCCCCTCCCTCCCCTTCGTGTTCCACTCTCCCCATCTCTCCCCATCTCGCCTGTCTCTCTCTCTTCTTGTCGACGCTTTCTCTCGCCCCTCGCTCTCTCCAACTCTCTCCCTACCCCCCCTCTCTCTCTCCATTCACTCCCTCTTCTCTCTGAAACTCGCCTCCCATTAGATTCCTACCGCTCTTCCGCTCTCCACTCCCCTCTTCCCTCCCCCACTCATCTTTCTCAAACTACCCCCCCACCTCCTCCTCTCCCAATCTCCCCATCTCTCTCTCAGTGTCCCATCCCTCTCCCCCTCTCTCCCCTGCCCCCTCTCCCCGCTCCTCACTCCCCTGCCCCCTCTCCCCTCTCCCCTGCCCCCTCTCCCCTCTCCCCTGCCCCCTCTCCCCGCTCCTCTCTGCGCTGGAGTTTGTTGAGTCGCTGGCGGGGCCGAATTCTCCCTCGCACGCACGGCCCTACGCGCTGTCGAGCTGAGGGTGAAACTCCGCGGGCGTCAATGGGAGAGAGTCCGTGGAGAGTCTGCTGCGGAGGGCGTTCGAGAAGAGTCCTTGGGAGAGTTTCTAGAGAGAGTTCATCTGTTACGCGACCGTTCACGCTGCGTTCGAGCGTCTGCAGAGAGCGACTGTGACACCATCGATTATCTTGCGCTGGAGAAGTCTGTGTTGGAGAGTGGTTTTTTTTAGTGAGTGACGCTATGGGAGTGTTGCCAACTCGTTCCAGAGTGTGTGCCGCGGGCTGTAGAGTCTCTGCTGTGAGAGTTCACGATGAGGTGGAGTCGTCGTGGTGAGCTGGAGAGTCGCTGGTGGGTTTATTGGAGAGTCGCTCAGAGCGTACGGGGGTCAGTTGAGGTGGAGTTTGTGATTACAGAGAGAGAGAGTCGATAATGAGTGGATCAGAGAGTCGGCGAGGTGGTAAACGACGAGTGATTAGATGGTCGTTCGAGAGCCCATAGAGAGTCTGTAGAGAGTCTGGGAGAGTAGTTAGAGAGTCTGTAGAGAGTCAGGGAGAGTCTGTAGAGTCTGTACAAAGTCTGTACAGAGTCTGTAGAGAGTCTGTAGAGAGTCTGGGAGAGTAGTTAGAGAGTCTGTAGAGAGTCTGTAGAGAGTCAGGGAGAGTCTGTAGAGAGTCTGTAGAGAATCTGTGAGAGTAGTTAGTCTGGGAGAGTGTAGAGAGTCTGTGAGAGTAGTTAGAGAGTCTTTAGAGAGTCTGTAGAGAGTTGTTAGAGAATCTGTAGAGAGTCTGTAGAGAGTCTGTAGAGAGACTGTAGAGAGTCTGGGAGAGTTGTTAGAGAGTCTTAGAGAGTCTGTGAGAGTCTGTAGAGAATCTGTAGAGAGTCTGTAGAGAGACTGTAGAGAGACTGTAGAGAGTCTGGGAGAGTTGTTAGAGAGTCTGTAGAGAGTCTGTGAGAGTCTGTAGATAATCTGTAGAGAGTCTGTAGAGAGTCTGTGAGAGTCTGTAGAGAATTTGTAGAGAGTCTGTGCGAGTCTGTAGAGAATCTGTAGAGAGTCTGTAGAGAGTTTGGGAGAGTTGTTAGTCTGTAGAGAGACTGTAGAGAGTCTGTAGAGTCTAGAGCGTTGTTAGAGAGTCTGTAGAGAGACTGTAGAGAGTCTGGGAGAGTCTGGGAGAGTTGTTAGAGAGTCTGTAGAGAGACTGTAGAGAGTCTGGGAGAGTTGTTAGTTAGGGGGTGTGGGGGGCGTCAGACGCTGTCGATGCCCGCGTCTCAGCGACTGCCTCGGCATTGAACGCGTGAACACATCGTGTGAACACATCGCGTGAACACATCGTGTGAACACCTCCTGTGAACACCTCCTGTGAATACATCGTTGAACACATCGCGTGAACACATCGCGTGAACACCTCCTGTGAACACATCGCGTGAACACATCGCGTGAACACATCGCTGTGTTTAGTTGTAGCGTTTTAGTTGTGTTGGTGGTGTTTGTTGTTGCGGCTGCTACTGCTGTGTTTTATGCTGTGATGCTTTAATCTCTTGTCGGCATCTAAAATATCTGGTTTATGTTGGTTTTGTTATTGTTGTGTTTTATTTCATTCTTGTGTTGTGTGCAGTTGTGTTGTGCTTCATTGTTAGGCTGTGTTATTGTTGTGTTGTGGTTTATTATTGCCACGTTTTATTATTGTTGTGGTGTTTTAATATTATTGTGTTTTATTATTGTTGTGGTGTTTTCATATTATTGTTGTGGTGTTTTAATATTATTATTGTTGTGGTATTTTAATATTATTATTATTGTTGTGGTATTTTATCATTGCTGTGTTGTGTTTTGTTATTGCCGTATTGTGTTTTTTTATTATTATTGTTGTGGTGTTTTATTATTGTTGTGGTGTTTTATTATTGTTGTGGTATTTGATTATTGCTGTTGTTTTTTTATTGTTGTGGTATTTTATGATTGCTGTGTTGTGTTTTATTATTGTTGTGTTGTGTTTTATTATTGCTGTGTTGTATTTTTTATTGTTGTGGTATTTTATCATTGCTGTGTTGTGTTTTATTATTGTTGTGGTGTTTTATTATTGTTGTGGTGTTTTATTATTGTTGTGGTGTTTTATTATTGTTGTGGTGTTTTATTATTACCGCGGTATTTTATTATTGCCGCGTTGTGTTTTATTATTGTTGTGGTGTTTTATTATTGTCGTGGTGTTTTATTATTGCTGCGTTGTTTTATTATTGTTGTGGTGTTTTATTATTGTTGTGGTGTTTATTATTGTTGTGGTGTTTTATTATTGTCGTGGTGTTTTATTATTGTCGTGGTGTTTTATTATTACCGCGGTATTTTATTATTGCCGCGTTGTGTTTTATTATTGTTGTGGTGTTTTATTATTGTTGTGGTGTTTTATTATTGTTGTGGTGTTTTATTATTGTTGTGGTGTGTTATTATTGTTGTGGTATATTATCATTGCTGTGTTTTATTCTTGCCGTGTTGTTTTTGTTGTTGTTTCCTTAAGAGCTGAGAAGCCACTCGCGACCGCTCGCCTACAGCCCCGGCGAGGACTCCCCCATCGGTTCGCCCCCCTCGTTGACCGGCGCGGGTCAGCTGAGCAGCCCTGCCGCATTCGCCTCACACAGCAGCGGCAGCAGCAGCAGCCTGGAGAGGTGAGAGGCCAGAGGTCAGAGCGTGAGGGCCGGCGGTCACAGAGGGGTCAGCGAGGGGGCAGAGGTCAGAGCGTGAGGGCCCGGCGGTCACAGAGGGGTCAGCGAGAGGGCAGAGGTCAGAGCGTGAGGGCCGGCGGTCGACGTCCGACACGGGTGAGAGGTCAGAGCGAGAAGGCGGAGGTCACGGAGGGGTCAGCGAGGGGGCAGAGGTCAGAGCGTGAGGGCCGGCGGTCGACGTCCGACACGGGTGAGAGGTCAGAGCAAGAAGGCGGAGGTCACGGAGGGGTCGGCGAGGGGGCAGAGGTCAGAGCGTGAGGGCCGGTGGTCGACGTCTGACATGGGTGAGAGGTCAGAGCGAGAAGACGGAGGTCACGGAAGGGTCAGCGAGGGGGCAGAGGTCAGAGCGTGAGCATGAAGGCATTGGACAATGAGACCACTGTCCCTGCACTGACCAACCAGAGCCTTTCACGAACTCTAACCCTAACTGCACGAGCCAACCAGCACTACCCATAAACTCCACCCTTAACCCTCGCGTCTTCCACAGGGGCTCATCGGTTCATCAGCAGCATCATCATCAGCAGCCGCAGCTGCAGCAGCCCCCGCTGCGCATGGCGACCCCCTCCCCGGACTTCTCCGGCTACTTTGCCGAAGGCTCCGTGGGATTCGGCGACGCGTTCGGCACCGCCCAGGCCTACCCCTCCAGGGCCCGCGCCAGCCCCGGCCCTCGCCTGGGCGACCTGACCGACGGCCCCCCCGACGGGCCCCGGCACCGTCTCGGCGGCCACCCCGGCCATCACCCGGCGGGGCCCGCGGGGGCCGGGGCGTGGCGAGGGGGGCCGGCGGGGCCCGGGTTTGGCGGCCCGGCGACGCCGGACAGCCCTCGGCCGTGCCGGCGGAACGTTGCCACGAACACGCCGCCATCGGCGTCGCCGGCGCCCGCCAGCCCCGGCGGCGGCGGCGGCGGCACGGTCTGGCGCGACGGCGGCCCCGGCGGCCCCGTGCCGCGCAACGGCAGAGCCAGTCCCGAGCCGCGCAGGGTGGCGGGCGGCGCGGTGGCGATGGCGCCGCCGTCTCCTCCGCGCCGCTCCGGCCCGTCTCCCGTGCCGCCGATGTACACGCCGACCGGCGGTATCGGCGGGTACCCGGGGTTCGAGACCGGAGCGCCGTCGGCGCTGTCGTGGGAGGGGGCCTGGGCCGGCCGGCACGGGGCGGCGTCGGCGGGTTACGACGGCGCCGCCGCCGCACCGGCGGGCTCGCCGCCGTCCACCGGGCCGTCCACGCCGAGCGGCAGCTTCGCCAACGTGTCGACCGATTACGCCGGGGGGGGCCTCCCGCAGCACGACACGTTCAAGTACTCGAGCGGCGGCTCGCTGTCAGGCGGTGAGTCCCGCCGCTCCCGCCCGCTCGCTCGCTCGCTCGCCCGCCCGGCGGCCAGTCGCCTCCGTATCACTCTTCTATCGCTGCTGCTGCTACTGCCGCTACCGACTGATGCCTCCGTCAAACACCGCCGACCTCACTGCAGGTCACAACAGCTCGCTCGCTCGCTCACCCACAGCACCCGCTCGCCCACCCACTCATCCACTCGAGTCACGTTTGCCGGCACATTCCAACGTTCATCAAACATGTCGTGGGATTATCGTGCGCGGCGGTGGCACGCCTTGCGTGGTCGCGGACGCACGGTTGCAGCGACGCAAGTCGCCCCGAGCTGTTGGCCCCATGGCAAAGCGGAGGTCGAGTTGTTTTACTTTGGTGGCGGGAGGCGGTGGGTGCCTCTAACCGGCGGGCGCCGTCTGCAGCGCGGTTGGGGTCGCGGGCGAGGGGGGCGACTGCCAGAAGTGTCCGCGTGACACGCGTGCCGTGTCCGCTGGAATATTTGGACCCGGCCTGGGGCCCCCTCCCTCCCCTCCCCCTCCTTCCCCATAGGTCGACTCAATCTTAAATGAGTTCCCGGTGCCGTGTGTAAAACACTGGGGAGACAAAGGCGGCCGAGGCATGGTGCTGGCGGCGGCCACCAAAGCCCCCGTCTGTGTACCGTGCCAAGTCTGTTAGGGGCTACACGGGTGGAGGGATCATCGTTGTGTGTGGATAGATAGCGGGGAGCGGTGGTGCAATGGTTGGCGCGCTGCGCTACGCGCCCGGTGACCAGAGTTCGATTGCAGCTCATGGCTAACATTCGTGACGAACACCCGAACGGGGTCTGGGCCCTCCCCGCGGTCGACTGGGCCTTGAATGAGGACTGTTCCCGATGCGGTGTGTAAACATCAGCACTCGGGAGACAAAGGCGGTCGGGCATGGTGCTGGCCATCCCCACCCACACACCCTGTGGTGTGCCGTTGAAGCCGTCGTAGGTACTGCCCGCAAACAGCACTTGCCCCATCGGTGTGTTAAAGGCTATGGTGGGGGGGGGGGTTGGAAGATCTTTTGTCTTTGTGCGTGCGGAGCGCGGACGGTGGTGTCGCGTTTCGGGACGGAATTAGTTTCCAAAGCGCCGCCACAAAACCGTCCCCCTAGAGACACGCGCACGGACGGGGGGAGAGACACGGGAGTCAGGGTGAGTGAGGGGTGGGGGGGCGGACCACGCAGGGATTTCCGAGACACACGGAGACACACGGGCGTGGACATCATTCAGGCGGACTTGGCAGAGGTTCGGGAGACGCGGGACTATCTTAGACATCGGGAACGGGACGGGGGATTCCACTTGGACAAAGTGGACACGGGTCAGGCTTGGGGCTCGGTTATAATTAGACCTGCGGCAGTGCTGTCGGCTGAACCAGGGCCCCGGATTAAGGTTCTTGTGTAGGCTCTAGGGCACTTCTGTTTCGTGGGCCTCTCGTGATAACTTTTTTTGCACTTGCTCCTGCTGCTGCCCCATGTCACTACTCCCGCCGCCGCTGTTGTCACACCGCTTGTTTGACGACGCGGTGGTAAGGCGGCACACCGAGCCGGGCGGCTCGTTTTCACAAGCGACCTGGCTGCCGCAAATGAGGGCTCGCCAAAGTGGCTCACCGTCGGGTGAAAATTCCTCGCGGCCAAATCCCCTGAACGCGCGACGTCGAGTCTAAATGTGTGTGTGGGGGTTGGGGGGAAACCGGAGGACCCGGAGAAAAATCCACGCGACACAACGGGGAGACACGCGGGGAGAGTACGGATAGGGGAACGGCGGCGGTGCGCACACAAACAACGCACGCACACGGGCCGACTGGGAGACAGACGCACGGACGGTCCGGAGACAACACGGAGGGCAGGGGGAAGAGATACCGGGACGATGAGGCGCGGGAGACACGGGAGACGCGGGAGACGCCGCCGTGCGAGAGACGTGCGTTGTGACCCTGTCGCTGCAGACATGAGTGCCAAGACGAGGGCCAACGTGAAGTTCGTTCAGGACACCTCCAAGTACTGGTACAAGCCCGAGATGTCCCGCGACCAAGGTGCCCGTCCGTCTGTCGCTTCCTCCGGCTGTCCGTCTGTACGCTTGGCAGTCCGTCCGTCTGTCCGTCTGTCTGTCTTGTCCGCCCCTTGGGCTGTCCTTCTCTCCGCCTGTCATCTTCATCACGATCATCGTTGCCACGACCCTTACCGTGTCTGCTCGTCTCGGATAGTGGTATCTGTCTGAGTGTGTGTGCAGTGTGCATAGTGTAGTAGTGTGTGTGTGTGTACACAGTGTAATAGTGTGTGTGCACAGTGTAGTTGTGTGTATGTGTGTGCACAGTGTAGTAGTGTGTGTGTGAACAGTGTAGTAGTGTGTGTGTACACAGTGTAGTAGTGTGTGTACTCAGCGTAGTAGTGTGTGTGTGTACACAGTGTAGTGTGTGTGTACTCAGCGTAGTAGTGTGTGTGTGTGAACAGTGTAGTAGTGTGTGTGTGTGTGTACACAGTGTAGTAGTGTGTGTGTGTACACAGTGTAGTAGTGTGTGTGTGTACACAGTGTAGTAGTGTGTGTGTGTGTGTACACAGTGTAGTAGTGTGTGTGTGTACACAGTGTCGTAGTGTGTGTGTGTGTGAACAGTGTAGTCGTGTGTGTGTGTGTACACAGTGTAGTAGTGTGTGTGTGTGTGTACACAGTGTAGTAGTGTGTGTGTGTGTGTACCCAGTGTAGTAGTGTGTGTGTGTGTACCCAGCGTAGTAGTGTGTGTGTGTGTGCACAGTGTAGTAGTGTGTGTGTGTGCACAGTGTAGTAGTGTGTGTGTGCACAGTGTAGTAGTGTGTGTGTGCACAGTGTAGTAGTGTGTGTGTACACAGTGTAGTAGTGTGTGTGTACCCAGCGTAGTAGTGTGTGTGTGTACACAGTGTAGTAGTGTGTGTGTGTGTACACAGTGTAGTAGTGTGTGTGTGTGAACAGTGTAGTAGTGTGTGTGTGTACACAGTGTAGTAGTGTGTGTGTGTACCCAGCGTAGTAGTGTGTGTGTGTGTGTACACAGTGTAGTAGTGTGTGTGTGTACACAGTGTAGTAGTGTGTGTACTCAGCGTAGTAGTGTGTGTGTATACACAGTGTAGTAGTGTATGTGTGTACACAGTGTAGTAGTGTGTGTGTGTGTACACAGTGTAGTAGTGTGTGTGTGTACACAGTGTAGTAGTGTGTGTGTGTACACAGTGTAGTAGTGTGTGTGTGTACCCAGCGTAGTAGTGTGTGTGTATGTACACAGTGTAGTAGTGTGTGTGTGTACACAGTGTAGTAGTGTGTGTACTCAGCGTAGTAGTGTGTGTGTACACAGTGTAGTAGTGTGTGTGTGTACACAGTGTAGTAGTGTGTGTGTGTACCCAGCGTAGTAGTGTGTGTGTATGTACACAGTGTAGTAGTGTGTGTGTGTACACAGTGTAGTAGTGTGTGTACCCAGTGTAGTAGTGTGTGTGTATACACAGTGTAGTGTGTGTGTATATACACAGTGTAGTAGTGTGTGTGTACACAGTGTAGTAGTGTGTGTGTATATACACAGTGTAGTAGTGTGTGTTTGTGTGTACACAGTGTAGTAGTGTGTTTGTGTGTACACAGTGTAGTAGTGTGTGTGTACCCAGTGTAGTAGTGTGTGTGTATGTACACAATGTAGTAGTGTGTGTGTGTATACACAGTGTAGTGTGTGTGTGTGTACACAGCGTAGCAGTGTGTGTGTGTGTACACAGTGTAGTAGTGTGTGTGTACACAGTGTAGTAGTGTGTGTGTGTACACAGCGTAGTAGTGTGTGTGTACACAGTGTAGTAGTGTGTGGGTATATACACAGTGTAGTAGTGTGTGTTTGTGTGTACCCAGTGTAGTAGTGTGTGTTTGTGTGTACCCAGTGTAGTAGTGTGTGTTTGTGTGTACCCAGTGTAGTAGTGTGTGTGTACCCAGTGTAGTAGTGTGTGTGTACACAGTGTAGTAGTGTGTGTGTAGTAGTGTGTGTGTACACAGTTTAGTGTGTGTGTACACAATGTAGTGTGTGTGTGTACCCAGTGTAGTAGTGTGTGTGTATATACACAGTGTAGTAGTGTGTGTGTACACAGTGTAGTAGTGTGTGTTTGTGTGTACCCAGTGTAGTAGTGTGTGTGTACACAGTGTAGTAGTGTGTGTGTAGTAGTGTGTGTACACAGTGTAGTGTGTGTGTACACAATGTAGTGTGTGTACCCAGTGTAGTAGTGTGTGTGTGTGTGTACCCAGTGTAGTAGTGTGTGTGTACCCAGCGTAGTGTGTGTGTACCCAGTGTAGTAGTGTGTGTGTACCCAGCGTAGTAGTGTGTGTGTGTACACAGCGTAGTAGTGTGTGTACGTGTACACAGCGTAGTAGTATGTGTGTGTACAGAGTGTAGTAGTGTGTGTGTGTGTACACAGTGTAGTAGTGTGTGTGTGTACCCAGTGTAGTAGTGTGTGTGTGTGTACACAGTGTAGTAGTGTGTGTGTGTACACAGTGTAGTAGTGTGTGTGTGTGTACACAGTGTAGTTGTGTGTTTGTGTGTACACAGTGTAGTAGTGTGTGTTTGTGTGTACACAGTGTAGTAGTGTGTGTTTGTGTGTACACAGTGTAGTAGTGTGTGTTTGTGTGTACACAGTGTAGTAGTGTGTATGTGTACACAGTGTAGTAGTGTGTGTGTACACAGTGTAGTGTGTATGTGTACCCAGTGTAGTAGTGTGTGTGTACCCAGCGTAGTAGTGTGTGTGTGTACACAGTGTAGTAGTGTGTGTGTGTACACAGTGTAGTAGTGTGTGTGTGTGTACACAGTGTAGTAGTGTGTGTGTGTACACAGTGTAGTAGTGTGTGTGTGTACCCAGCGTAGTAGGGTGTGTGTGTGTACCCAGCGTAGTAGTGTGCGTGTACACAGTGTCGTAGTAGTGTGTGTGTGTGTACACAGCATAGTAGTGTGTGTACACAACGTAGTAGTGTGTGTGTGTACACATAGTAGTGTGTGTGTGTGTACACAGCGTAGTAGTAGTGTGTGTGTGTACACAGCATAGTAGTGTGTGTGTGTGTGTACACAGCGTAGTAGTAGAGTGTGTGTGTGTACACAGCGTAGCAGTGTGTGTGTGTGTACACAGTGTAGTAGTGTGTGTGTGTACACAGTGTAGTAGTGTGTGTGTGTACACAGTGTAGTAGTGTGTGTGTGTACACAGCATAGTAGTGTGTGTGTGTGTGCACAGCGTAGCAGTGTGTGTGTGCACAGCGTAGCAGTGTGTGTGTGTACACAGTGTAGCAGTGTGTGTGTGTACACAGTGTAGTAGTGTGTGTGTGTGTACACAGTGTAGTAGTGTGTGTGTGTACACAGCGTAGTAGTGTGTGTGTGTGTACACAGCGTAGTAGTGTGTGTGTGTGTGTACACAGCGTAGTAGTGTGTGTGTGTGTACACAGTGTAGTGGTAGTGTGTGTGTGTGTACACAGTGTAGTGGTAGTGTGTGTGTGTGTACACAGCGTAGTAGTGTGTGTGTGTACACAGTGTAGTAGTGTGTGTGTGTGTACACAGTGTAGTAGTGTGTGTGTACACAGCGTAGTAGTGTGTGTGTGTGTACACAGTGTAGTAGTGTGTGTGTGTATACACAGTGTAGTGGTAGTGTGTGTGTGTGTACACAGCGTAGTAGTGTGTGTGTGTGTGTACACAGTGTAGTAGTGTGTGTGTGTACACAGCGTAGTAGTGTGTGTGTGTGTACACAGTGTAGTGGTAGTGTGTGTGTGTGTACACAGTGTAGTAGTGTGTGTGTGTGTACTCAGCGTAGTAGTGTGTGTGTGTACACAGTGTAGTAGTGTGTGTGTGTGTACACAGTGTAGTAGTGTGTGTGTGTGAACAGTGTAGTAGTGTGTGTGTGTACACAGTGTAGTAGTGTGTGTGTGTACCCAGCGTAGTAGTGTGTGTGTACACAGTGTAGTAGTGTGTGTGTGTACACAGTGTAGTAGTGTGTGTACTCAGCGTAGTAGTGTGTGTGTATACACAGTGTAGTAGTGTGTGTGTGTACACAGTGTAGTAGTGTGTGTGTGTGTACACAGTGTAGTAGTGTGTGTGTGTGTGTACACAGTGTAGTAGTGTGTGTGTGTGTGTACACAGTGTAGTAGTGTGTGTACCCAGCGTAGTAGTGTGTGTGTATGTACACAGTGTAGTAGTGTGTGTGTACACAGTGTAGTAGTGTGTGTACCCAGTGTAGTAGTGTGTGTGTATACACAGTGTAGTGTGTGTGTATATACACAGTGTAGTAGTGTGTGTGTACACAGTGTAGTAGTGTGTGTGTATATACACAGTGTAGTAGTGTGTGTTTGTGTGTACACAGTGTAGTAGTGTGTTTGTGTGTACACAGTGTAGTAGTGTGTGTGTACCCAGTGTAGTAGTGTGTGTGTATGTACACAGTGTAGTAGTGTGTGTGTGTATACACAGTGTAGTGTGTGTGTGTACACAGCGTAGCAGTGTGTGTGTGTGTACACAGTGTAGTAGTGTGTGTGTGTGTGTACACAGTGTAGTAGTGTGTGTGTGTACACAGTGTAGTAGTGTGTGTGTACACAGTGTAGTAGTGTGTGGGTATATACACAGTGTAGTAGTGTGTGTTTGTGTGTACCCAGTGTAGTAGTGTGTGTTTGTGTGTACCCAGTGTAGTAGTGTGTGTTTGTGTGTACCCAGTGTAGTAGTGTGTGTTTGTGTGTACCCAGTGTAGTAGTGTGTGTGTACCCAGTGTAGTAGTGTGTGTGTACACAGTGTAGTAGTGTGTGTGTAGTAGTGTGTGTGTACACAGTTTAGTGTGTGTGTACACAATGTAGTGTGTGTGTGTGTACCCAGTGTAGTAGTGTGTGTGTATATACACAGTGTAGTAGTGTGTGTGTACACAGTGTAGTAGTGTGTGTTTGTGTGTACCCAGTGTAGTAGTGTGTGTGTACACAGTGTAGTGTGTGTGTACACAATGTAGTGTGTGTACCCAGTGTAGTAGTGTGTGTGTGTGTGTACCCAGTGTAGTAGTGTGTGTGTACCCAGCGTAGTGTGTGTGTACCCAGTGTAGTAGTGTGTGTGTACCCAGCGTAGTAGTGTGTGTGTGTACCCAGCGTAGTAGTGTGTGTGTGTACACAGCGTAGTAGTGTGTGTACGTGTACACAGCGTAGTAGTGTGTGTGTGTACAGAGTGTAGTAGTGTGTGTGTGTACACAGTGTAGTAGTGTGTGTGTGTACCCAGTGTAGTAGTGTGTGTGTGTGTACACAGTGTAGTAGTGTGTGTGTGTACACAGTGTAGTAGTGTGTGTGTGTGTACACAGTGTAGTTGTGTGTTTGTGTGTACACAGTGTAGTAGTGTGTGTTTGTGTGTACACAGTGTAGTAGTGTGTGTTTGTGTGTACACAGTGTAGTAGTGTGTATGTGTACCCAGCGTAGTAGTGTGTGTGTACACAGTGTAGTAGTGTGTGTGTACCCAGCGTAGTAGGGTGTGTGTGTGTACCCAGCGTAGTAGTGTGCGTGTACACAGTGTCGTAGTAGTGTGTGTGTGTGTACACAGCATAGTAGTGTGTGTGTACACAACGTAGTAGTGTGTGTGTGTACACATAGTAGTGTGTGTGTGTGTACACAGCGTAGTAGTAGTGTGTGTGTGTACACAGCATAGTAGTGTGTGTGTGTGTACACAGCGTAGTAGTAGAGTGTGTGTGTGTACACAGCATAGTAGTGTGTGTGTGTGTACACAGCGTAGTAGTAGAGTGTGTGTGTGTACACAGCGTAGCAGTGTGTGTGTACACAGTGTAGTAGTGTGTGTGTGTACACAGCGTAGTAGTGTGTGTGTACACATGTATACACAGCGTAGCAGTGTGTGTGTGTACACAGTGTAGTAGTGTGTGTGTGTACACAGTGTAGTAGTGTGTGTGTGTACACAGCATAGTAGTGTGTGTGTGTGTGCACAGCGTAGCAGTGTGTGTGTGCACAGCGTAGCAGTGTGTGTGTGTACACAGTGTAGCAGTGTGTGTGTGTACACAGTGTAGTAGTGTGTGTGTGTACACAGTGTAGTAGTGTGTGTGTGTGTACACAGCGTAGTAGTGTGTGTGTGTGTACACAGCGTAGTAGTGTGTGTGTGTGTGTACACAGCGTAGTAGTGTGTGTGTGTGTGTACACAGTGTAGTGGTAGTGTGTGTGTGTGTACACAGCGTAGTAGTGTGTGTGTGTACACAGTGTAGTAGTGTGTGTGTGTGTACACAGTGTAGTGGTAGTGTGTGTGTACACAGCGTAGTAGTGTGTGTGTACCCAGTGTAGTAATGTGTGTGTACCCAGCGTAGTAGTGTGTGTGTGTACACAGTGTAGTAGTGTGTGTGTACACAGTGTAGTGTGTGTGTGTACACAGTGTAGTAGTGTGTGTGTGTACACAGTGTAGTAGTGTGTGTGTGTGTACCCAGCGTAGTAGGGTGTGTGTGTGTACCCAGCGTAGTAGTGTGCGTGTACACAGTGTCGTAGTAGTGTGTGTGTGTGTACACAGCATAGTAGTGTGTGTGTACACAACGTAGTAGTGTGTGTGTGTACACATAGTAGTGTGTGTGTGTGTACACAGCGTAGTAGTAGTGTGTGTGTGTACACAGCATAGTAGTGTGTGTGTGTGTACACAGCGTAGTAGTAGAGTGTGTGTGTGTACACAGCGTAGCAGTGTGTGTGTACACAGTGTAGTAGTGTGTGTGTGTACACAGCGTAGTAGTGTGTGTGTACACATGTATACACAGCGTAGCAGTGTGTGTGTGTACACAGTGTAGTAGTGTGTGTGTGTACACAGTGTAGTAGTGTGTGTGTACACAGCATAGTAGTGTGTGTGTACACAGCGTAGCAGTGTGTGTGTACACAGCGTAGTAGTGTGTGTGTGTGTACACAGTGTAGCAGTGTGTGTGTGTACACAGTGTAGTAGTGTGTGTGTGTACACAGTGTAGTAGTGTGTGTGTGTGTACACAGCGTAGTAGTGTGTGTGTGTGTACACAGCGTAGTAGTGTGTGTGTGTGTGTACACAGCGTAGTAGTGTGTGTGTGTGTGTACACAGTGTAGTGGTAGTGTGTGTGTGTGTACACAGCGTAGTAGTGTGTGTGTGTACACAGTGTAGTAGTGTGTGTGTGTGTACACAGTGTAGTGGTAGTGTGTGTGTACACAGCGTAGTAGTGTGTGTGTACACAGTGTAGTAGTGTGTGTGTGTGTACACAGTGTAGTGGTAGTGTGTGTGTGTGTGTACACAGCGTAGTAGTGTGTGTGTGTGTACACAGTGTAGTAGTGTGTGTGTGTGTACACAGCGTAGTAGTGTGTGTGTGTGTACACAGCGTAGTAGTGTGTGTGTGTACACAGTGTAGTAGTGTGTGTGTACACAGTGTAGTAGTGTGTGTGTGTACACAGCGTAGTAGTGTGTGTGTGTGTACACAGTGTAGTAGTGTGTGTGTGTACACAGCGTAGTAGTGTGTGTGTGTGTGTACACAGTGTAGTAGTGTGTGTGTACACAGTGTAGTAGTGTGTGTGTACACAGTGTAGTAGTGTGTGTGTGTGTACACAGCGTAGTAGTGTGTGTGTGTACACAGTGTAGTAGTGTGTGCGCGTGTGTGTCTGTGTGTATATGTGTGTGGAGTGGCTATCGAGGGCAGGAGGGAAGCAGCTGCCAGTGCCGGCACCGAGTCGGAATTCCAGCAAAGACCTTCACTGGTAGTGGTGTCCCAGAGACTCATGGTTACCAACACCCACTGCAGCCGGCCCTCTGACTTCCTGGGTTCAAATCCTGGGTCTCTGCGTCTGTGTGTCTCAGGGGGTTCGTCGCAGACACCGAGCCGGTGCCAACGCGCTCCCAACCCGGCCACCCCAGTTCGATTCCCGGCCCTGGGCTCCCTTTGGCGGCGAGGGATATCGGGAGCCGGTTGTTGTGCCCCCGCTGATTGTTGCTGCTGCCGCTGCCGTTGCTGCGGTTGCTGCGGTTGCGGTGTGGTTGTGGCGTTCTCGGTGCCGCGCGAGGTGCGATCTTGGCCTCGTGCTCGCGGCGGTGATGCTGGCTGTAGATTTTGTTGTGGTGGCTGTGGTGGCGGTTGTTGATGGTTGTTGTTGTTGATTGTTGTGGTTGTGGCGGGAGCGATCGCGGTGCTGGGAGCTCTGTTCGTCGATGGTGGTGGCGCTGTTCCTTGTTGTTGATGGTTGTTGTTGATGGTTGTTGATGGTTGTTGTTGATTGTTGTTGATTGTTATTGATTGTTGTTGTTGTTGGTTGTTGTGGTTGTGGCGGGAGCGATCGCGGTTCGTCGATGGTGGTGGCGCTGTTCGTTGTTGTTTTTGATTGTTGTTGGTTGTTGTGGTTGTGGCTGGAGCGATCGCTGTGCTCCAAGCGTGCGAGCTGTGCTCGTCGATGGTGGTGGCGCTGTTCGTTGTTGTTGATTGTTGTTGATTGTTGTTGTTGGTTGTTGTTGGTTGTTGGTTGTTGTGGTTGGAGCGATCGCTGTGCTCCAAGCGTGCGAGCTGTGGTCGTCGATGGTGGTGGCGCTGTTTGCTGTTGATAGTTGTTGTTGGGTGTTGTTGATTGTTGTTGTTGCTGGTTGTTGTTGTTGTTGTGGTCGTGGCGTTAGCGATCGCGGTGCTGCGGGAGCGTGAGCCCGGCGCATTCGTGGTGAGAGACAGCCACTCGTTCCGCGGGGCGTACGGCCTCGCCATGAAGGTGGCGACCGCACCGCCCGGCGTGCCGCAGCCCAACAAGACCGGTACCGCCACCCCCACCGCACTGCCACGCATCGCACCGCTACCAAATAGACAACACGCCACATCACATTGAGTGAGCGTGTGGGTCAGTGGATGGGTGAGTCCCAAGGAGTGTTTCATTGGTGGAGCTCCCCGACACGCCGCTCGACAGAGGTGAAGCCGTTCTCGTCGTCCGGCAAGATGGACAGAATTGACACCCCCCACCGCCCCAACCCGTGGGGTCACCCGCGTGAGGTCCCCGTGAGGTCCCCGTGGTGTCCCCGTGGGGTCCCCGTGGGGTCCCCGCGTGGTGTCCCCGTGGGGTCCCCGTGGGGTCCCCGTGTGGTGTCCCCGTGGGGTCCCCGTGGGGTCCCCCCGTCTAGCCGCTCCCCCGCCCACGGTACCCACTCCAGCCGATCCGGTTGTGGGCGGCAGGGCCGGATTCAGGGTCTGATGAGACTGGCGATATCAGACATTCTTGGCCAATGTTGCGCTGTGTTGTGTGTTTACGTGTGTGCGTGCGTGTGTTGGTGTGTGTGTGTGTGAGTGCATGTGTGTGTTGGTGTGTGTTGGTGTGTGTGTGTGCAGTGGGGAGAGGAGGCACAGTGATTAGCGTGACGCACAACGAACCCGGCGACCCTGGTTCGATTCCCGCTCCCAAACAATTGACGGTGGCGAATATCTAAACGGGTCCCACACTCTGGCCTACGTCGACTTAGCCTTAAATGAGTACCAGATGCGGTGTGTGTGTGTATGTGTGTGTTGGTGTGTGTGTGTGTGCGTGTGTGTTGGTGTGTGTTGGTGTGTGTTGGTGTGTGTGTGTGTGTGTTGGTGTGTGTGTGTGTGTTGGTGTGTGTGTGTTGGTGTGTGTGTGTGTTGGTGTGTGTGTGTGTGTTGGTGTGTGTGTGTTGGTGTGTGTGTGTGTGTTGGTGTGTGTGTGTGTTGGTGTGTGTGTGTGTTGGTGTGTGTGTTGGTGTGTGTGTGTGTTGGTGTGTGTTGGTGTGTGTGTGTGTTGGTGTGTGTGTGTTGGTGTGTGTGTGTTGGTGCGTGTGTGTGTATGTGTGTGTGTATGTGTGTGTGTGTTGGTGCGTGTGTGTGTGTGTTGGTGCGTGTGTGTGTATGTGTATGTGTGTGTTGGTGTGTGTGTGTGTGTGTTGGTGTGTGTGTGTGTGTGTTGGTGTGTGTGTGTGTGTTGGTGTGTGTGTGTGTTGGTGTGTGTGTGTGTTGGTGTGTGTATGTGTGTGTTGGTGTGTGTGTTGGTGTGTGTGTGTTGGTGTGTGTGTGTTGGTGTGTGTGTGTGTTGGTGCGTGTGTGTGTATGTGTGTGTGTTGGTGCGTGTGTGTGTATGTGTGTGTGTGTGTTGGTGCGTGTGTGTGTATGTGTGTGTGTTGGTGCGTGTGTGTGTATGTGTGTGTGTTGGTGCGTGTGTGTGTATGTGTGTGTGTGTGTTGGTGTGTGTGTGTGTGTGCGTGTGTGTGTGTGTGTGTGTTGGTGTGTGTTGGTGTGTGTGTGCGTGTGTGTGTGTTGGTGTGTGTGTGCGTGTGTGTGTGTTGGTGTGGGGAGCGATAGTGTAGCGGTTAGCGCGCTGCGCTATGAACCTGGCGACCCGGGTTCGATTCCCGCTCACGGACAACACCAGTGACGATTATCTGAACCGGTCCCGGGCCTCCCCTAGGTCGACTCAGCCTCAAATGAGTACCTGGTGCGGTGTGTAAACATTGCCACTAGGGAGACAAAGGCGGTCGGGCGTGGTGCTGGCCACCCACCCCCTCGTGTACCGTTCCGGCCTTCATAGGTGCTCGCTAACAGCACTTGCCCCAACAGTCTGTTAAGGCTATATGGGGGATCTTTGTGTTGGTGTGTGTTGGTGTGTGTGTGCGTGTGTGTGTTGGGGTGTGTGTGTGTGCGTGTGTGCGTGTTGGTGTGTGTTGGTGTGTGTGTGTACAATATGAGTGGGGAGCGGTGGTGCAGCGGTTAGCGCGCTGCGCTACGAACCTGGCGACACGGGTTCGATTCCCGCTCACGGCCAACACCAGTGACGATTATCTGAACTGGTCCCGGGCTTCCCCTAGGTCGACTCAGCCTCAAATGAGTACCTGGCGCGGTGTGTAAACATCGCCACTGGGGAGACAAAGGCGGTCGGGCGTGGTGCTGGCCACCCACCCCCTCGTGTGCCGTTCTGGCCTTCACAGGTGCTCGCTAACAGCACTTGCCCCTACAGTCTGTTCAGGCTACACGGGGGATCTTTGTCTTTGTACAATGAGAGACAAAGGCGGCCGGGCGTGCGCCGTGCTGGTCCTCGTAGGGCGCTTGCTAACAGCACTTGCCCCCCCCCCGCGCCCCCCCACGACAAGCCTGTTGGAAGGCCTCGTTGGTGGGCGGCCTCGCTCGCTCACGCCGCAAGAGTCACCGTGCTGCCCCCCCCCCCCCCAACTCTCTCACACCCCCCCCCCAACTCTCTCTCACACCATCCACAACCCCCCCCAATTCTCTCTCACACCATGCACACCCCCCCCCAACTCTCACACCGTCCACAACCACTCCGCAGGAGACGGCACCAGCGAGCTGGTGCGTCACTTCCTCATCGAGTCCTGCGCCAAGGGGGTGCGGCTCAAGGGCTGCCCCAACGAGCCGGTGTTCGGTGAGTCGCGCCCCCCCCCCCCCCCCCCGCCAACAACACCGCCCCCCCCCCTCTCCCCGAGTTCGATTCCCCCGCCCACGGCCACCGGGACCGGTGAACAAAGTCCCGGAACATCTTACCGTGGCCCGGCGTGGTGATGGCACCCAACCCACCCCCCACTCGTGTGCCGCGTTGGCCTTCACAGGTGCTGCTCGCTGAAGAGCACTTGCCTCAACAGTGTGTGTACGCCGCATGGGGGACCTTTGTCTGCGCGTGTGTGGGGAGCGGCGGCGCAGCGGTTAGCGCTACGCCGCGCTACGAACCCGGGGCCAACACCGGTGACGATTGTCTTAACCGGTCCCGGGCCTCCCCTAGGTCGGCTCGGCCTCAAGTGAGTACCCGGTGTAGCGGTGTTTAGTGAACATCGCCACTGGGGAGACAAAGGCGGCCGGGCGTGCTGCCGGCCACGCCGCCGCCTGGTGCGCCGTTACCGGCCTTCGCGGGCGCTGCCCGCCAACGGCGCTTGCCCCGACGGTCCGTTGAAGGCGATACGGGGCGGGGTTCTTTGTCTTTGCTGTGCGGCAGGGAGTCTGACGGCGCTGGTGTACCAGCACTCCATCACGCCACTCGCCCTGCCCTGCAAGCTCGCCATCCCCTCGCACGGTAACAGCGGCACTGCCGCCGCACGCCGTCCGCGTGTGCCCGTGCACCTTCGGCCCGTGGTTGTACGTCTGCATGTCTGCCTGCTGCACGTGCATCTGTCTCCGTGTCTTGTCTGTCCGTCGGGCTGCCCGTCCGGTTAGTCCGTTTGCGTGGGCCTGCGTCTCAGTAATTGTCTGCGATCTGACGATGTCCCCGCGTTGTTACCGCCGTGCGGAGTCTCACCGCACCCCCTGTGCCCCCCACCCCCCCCCATTGTGCCCGCCACCCCCCCCCCATTGTGCTCCCCCCCATTGTGTCCCCCACCCCCCCCCCCCATTGTGCTCCCCCCCATTGTGTCCCCCACCCCCCCCCCATTGTACCCCCCCATTGTGCCCCCCATCCCCCCCCCCATTGTGCCCCCCCCATCACTTCTGCCCCCGTGTAGACCCCCTGGACGTGGCGCTGGAACCCGTGGCGCGGGAGCCGACAGCGAGCCCACCAGTGGTGCCCAGCTCTGTCTCCGAGCTCCTGCGGCAGGGGGCAGGTGAGTGGGGGGCACGGGGGGTAGTGACGATGGTGGTGGTGGTGGTGGTGACAATGGTGGTGGTGGTGACGATGGTGGTGCTGTCGGTGGTGGTGGTGACGATGGTGGTGGTCGTGACGATGGTGGTGGTGGTGACGATGGTGGTGGTGGTGACGATGGTGGTGTTGGTGACGATGGTGTTGGTGGTGACGATGGTGGTGGTCGTGACGATGGTGATGGTGACGATCGTGGTGGTGGTGACGATGGTGGTGGTCGTGACGATGGTGGTGGTCGTGACGATGGTGGTGGTGGTGACGATGGTGGTGGTGGTGACGATGGTGGTGGTCGTGACGATGGTGATGGTGGTGACGATGGTGGTGGTGGTGACGATGGTGGTGTTGGTGACGATGGTGTTGGTGACGATGGTGGTGGTGGTGACGATGGTGGTGGTGGTGACGATGGTGGTGGTGGTGACGATGGTGGTGGTGGTGACGATGGTGGTGGTGACGATGGTGGTGCTGTCGGTGGTGAAGGTCGTCGTGGTAATGGCGACTCTGGTAATGGTATTGATGAAGATAGTGCTGGTGGTGATGTGAAGAGCGATGTCATTTGCTCAGTGAGCCTTCTTTGAGTCTCAACACTCCTGCGCCTAGGGTATGTTATCATTTCCTTACGTCCACTGGTCACTCACTGATCCTCCCTCCCTCCCCTGCCCTCCCCCGCACGGCGAAGCGTGCAATGTCCTCTTCCTGGGCGTTGTGGAGATGGAGTCGCTCACGGGCCCGCTGGCCGTGGGCAAGGCCGTGAGCGAGACGCTGACGCAAAGTCCCGCACCCACGCCCACCGTCGTCCACTTCAAAGTGTCGGACCAGGGCATCACGCTCACGGACAACCAGCGCAGGTGTCCAGGGGGGCCCCCCCCGCACCACCCACCCATCGCCCCACCCCCTCGCCCCCCCCCTCCTCACCTCTCGCCCAGCGCCCTTCACTTCCCCCCCCCCCGCCATTCTCACACACTCAGCCACATTCTTGCCTACCCATTCACACACCCACTCGCCCATTTAAAAAAAAAAACTCGCCCACCCACCAATCCACCCGCCAATCCACCCGCCAACGCACCTACCCGCTAACCTACCCACCAACACACCCACCAACCCACCCACCAACGCACCTACCCACCCACCAACCCACCCACCAACGCACCCACCCACGAATGCACCCATCCACCAACGCACGCACCCGCCAATCCACCCGCCAACGCACCTACCCGCTAACCCACCCACCAACCAACCCACCAACCCACCCACACCTACCAACGCACCCATCCACCAATCCACCCACCCATCCACCAATCCACCCACCAACCCACCCACACCTACCAATGCACCCATCCACCAACGCACCCATCCACCAACCCACCCACCAACGCACCCACCCACCCACCAACGCACCCACCAATGCTGTTTACCCGGACGAGACCACGGCGGCACCGGAACACGAGAGTCTCGTTGGCAACGTCGCGAGCGCTCTGGGTCTCGCCGGTGTGACGATGCGACACCCCAAACGCCGCGCAGCGTCACCGCCGCGTTGGCGGGCGAGGGGGGTTTGGGTTTTGACGGCTGGCTCCGTGTTCCCCTCGCCAGGTTGTTTTTCCGAAGGCACTACCCTGTCTCCACGGTCACCTTCTGCGACCTGGACCCTCAGAACCGACGGTGAGGATGGGCACAAAGACACCACCACCACCACCACCCCCACTCCCGCGTTTAGCCTTTAACAAGCGCTGTGAAGGCCGGCACGGCGCACGAGGAAGTGGTCTGGCTAACACCACCACCACCACCACCACCACACCCGGCAACCTTTGTTTCCCAAGTGCTGATGTTTACACACGGCAGCAGGTACTCATTTAAGGCCGAGTCTACCTAGGGGAGGCCCAGGACCGGTTCAGATAGTGAGATGAACACGCGCGCACGCGTACGCACCCACGCACCAACGCATACGGACGTGTTGCACGCACACACACGGGCGTATGATGACGGCGCGTGTCTGCTGCTGCGTGTGCGTACGTGTGCGTGTGTGTGTGTGCGCGCATGTGTGTGTGTGCGCGTGTGTCTGTGCGCGTGCATGCGTGTGCGTGCGTGTGTGTGTGTCTGTCTGTGTGTGCGCGTGTGTGTGTGTGTGCGTGTGTGCGTGTGTGTGTGTGCGTGTGTGTGTGCCGTCACCGGACCCCCTCCGCCCGCGGTGCCGAGGGCAGCTGGAGGAGAGAAAACGGCAACAACGCAGCGTGAGTGCCGGGGACCCTGGGACCCCACACACAGACCCCACACACAGACCCCACACACAGACCCCAGCTAGACCCCACACACAGACCCCAGCTAGACCCCACACACAGACCCCAGCTAGACCCCAGCTAGACCCCACACACAGACCCCAGCTAGACCCCAGCTAGACCCCACACACAGACCCCAGCTAGACCCCACACACAGACCCCAGCTAGACCCCACACACAGACCCCAGCTAGACCCCAGCTAGACCCCACACACAGACCCCAGCTAGACCCCACACACAGACCCCAGCTAGACCCCAGCTAGACCCCACACACAGACCCCAGCTAGACCCCACACACAGACCCCAGCTAGACCCCACACACAGACCCCAGCTAGACCCCAGCTAGACCCCACACACAGACCCCAGCTAGACCCCACACACAGACCCCAGCTAGACCCCAGCTAGACCCCACACACAGACCCCAGCTAGACCCCACACACAGACCCCAGCTAGACCCCACACACAGACCCCAGCTAGACCCCAGCTAGACCCCAGACACAGACCCCAGCTAGACCCCACACACAGACCCCAGCTAGACCCCACACACAGACCCCAGCTAGACCCCAGCTAGACCCCACACACAGACCCCAGCTAGACCCCACACACAGACCCCACACACAGACCCCAGCTAGACCCCACACACAGACCCCAGCTAGACCCCACACACAGACCCCAGCTAGACCCCAGCTAGACCCCACACACAGACCCCTGCTAGACCCCAGCTAGACCCCACACACAGACCCCAGCTAGACCCCAGCTAGACCCCAGCTAGACCCCAGCTAGACCCCACACACAGACCCCAGCTAGACCCCACACACAGACCCCAGCTAGACCCCAGCTAGACCCCACACACAGACCCCTGCTAGACCCCAGCTAGACCCCACACACAGACCCCAGCTAGACCCCAGCTAGACCCCAGCTAGACCCCAGCTAGACCCCAGCTAGACCCCACACACAGACCCCAGCTAGACCCCAGCTCGACCCCACACACAGATCCCAGCTAGACCCCAGCTAGACCCCACACACAGACCCCAGCTAGACCCCAGCTAGACCCCACACACAGACCCCAGCTAGACCCCACACACAGACCCCAGCTAGACCCCACACACAGACCCCAGCTAGACCCCAGCTAGACCCCACACACAGACCCCAGCTAGACCCCACACACAGACCCCACACACAGACCCCAGCTAGACCCCACACACAGACCCCAGCTAGACCCCACACACAGACCCCAGCTAGACCCCAGCTAGACCCCACACACAGACCCCTGCTAGACCCCAGCTAGACCCCACACACAGACCCCAGCTAGACCCCACACAGAGACCCCAGCTAGACCCCACACACAGACCCCAGCTAGACCCCAGCTAAACCCCACACACAGACCCCAGCTAGACCCCAGCTAGACCCCACACACAGACCCCAGCTAGACCCCACACACAGACCCCAGCTAGACCCCACACACAGACCCCAGCTAGTCCCCACACACAGACCCCTGCTAGACCCCATACACAGACCCCACACACAGACCCCAGCTAGACCCCACACACAAACCCCTGCTAGACCCCACACACAAACCCCAGCTAGACCCCACACACAGACCCCTGCTAGACCCCATACACAGACCCCACACACAGACCCCAGCTACACCCCACACACAAACCCCTGCTAGACCCCACACACAAACCCCTGCTAGACCCCACACACAAACCCCAGCTAGACCCTACACACAGACCCCAGCTAGACCCCACACAAACCCCAGCTAGACCCCACACACAGACCCCTGCTAGACCCCACACACAGACCCCAGCTAGACCCCACACACAGACCCCAGCTAGACCCCACACACAGACCCCTGCTAGACCCCACACACAGACCCCAGCTAGACCCCACACACAGACCCCAGCTAGACCCCACACACAAACCCCTGCTAGACCCTACACACAGACCCTGCGGGACCCCAACCGAGGCCCCTGATTAAACGGGCCGATTGCTCGGTAATAGCTAGGAAACGTTTCCTGACCGTGCTTGAATGAGTGCAAGTTCCGGTTTGAACCTCCTAATGATGTTCATATTTGCTGTGCTCTGCACAAACACTCGCTCGCATAAACACGCACGCGCGCGCGCACACGCGTGCCCCAACACACACCTGCACGCGCACACACATGCACGCACGCGCACGCACGCACACGCCACCGACGCACGTGCTCGACGCGCTCGCACACGCAGTGTGTTCGGCTTCGTGGCGCGCAAGCAAGGCAGCGTGTCCGACAATATGTGCCACCTCTTCGCCGAGCTGGACCCCGAGCAGCCCGCCTCCGCCATCGTCAACTTCGTCTCCAAAGTCATGATCGGCTCCACCCGCTAGTCCACTTCCTGCTGCCACTCTGCCGACTTCCCGTCAGCTCGCCTCCCCGCCAACCTACAAACGTTTTTTTTCTAAGCCACCTTACCTCCGCTGCCCCCAGCGGGTGCCACCCGCTCGCTCTCACGGCTGTTACGCTGAAGCATCCTCGGCAGACATGATCTATCTACTGCTGAACGGGGGCCTCCCCGACCTGCCGCGGACTGCACGCGTATACGGTTCCCAGAGGCAGGCTGCAGCGGGTGAGGATTGGGTGACCGTACTGTGCCGATGAGTCCTTGCCAGGACGAAACTGGCGCGTCGCGCGCGGTGTCTGTCGCCGCGTCGTTACGCCCTCAGCAGCTGCCGTTTCCGCTTCTTTAAGGGGTCGGCGTCCCACGCATTTCCGATCAGCGCGTCGCAGCGAGTCTCGGACGCTGGCAAGCGAACGCACGCGCGCTAAGTCTTTAGGGGCGTCGATCGCGTAGCTTTTCTGAATGAATTCCTCTGCAACTCGGGAGGAGAGTTAGGACGCCGCTCCTCACGGCCGGTGCGAGGGGGGCGACCGTGGGCAGAGAGAGGCTGGCGATGGGAGGGGGGGAGAGGGGGCAATGATGGGGGGGGGGGGTAGGGAGATGGTGTGAGGTGCAGATGTGAGGGAAAGGAGGAAGAGGGGTAAATGATGTGAGGGGGAAGATCTGATGAGGTGGTGTTGGAGATGCTGTGAGGGGGGGGGTGCAGGAGATTTGAGGAGGAGGTCAATGGGAGGAGGAAAGTGATCCACGCGTGGAGGAGGAGGAAGTGTTACGCAAGGGGAGATTGTGTCAGGAGAAAGTAGGGCAAAAAGATGCGAGGGGAGGCGATGATGACGATGGCGACGATGTGCGTGCCCTGGCTTTACGAGCATTTACGAGGGCAGTGCGTGACGAGGGCTCCGGCCTTGCTCGCACGGCGGCTCGCAGCCCATGCTGAGCAACGTGCCACGAAGACACCTCGAGTCCACGTGACAAGAAATCGTAACCATGTGACAAGGGGCCGAGCCGCCCAGAATGCATTGCAAAGGCTCGGCATTGCTCCCCTTATAAACATAACGGGCGACATTTTTTTGACGTGGGGTTAGAGTATTATCTCTTTTTTTTATTCTTTTACAAAAGTAAATGAGACAAAAAAAATCTGACAGGCGTTGTCAAACTGATTTTTCGGCTCAGGCCTCGCAATGGATCCGGCCGAATTTGTGTTGTTGTGACCCCCCCCACCACCCGACAGATGAAATTGTGACGTGGGTGCACACGCGCTTCGCGACGCATCGGTGGCGGAGTTAAACGACATCGTCAGCTCGGCGGGGGATGCGGCGATCGGTCAGGCGGCGCCCTCAATCCTGTTGAAAACAAAACTCACGGTGGTTTGGCCACCAGGGGGAGCCAAAGGCACGCCCTGCCCCCACGTGAGCGACGCTCCTATTATGACGTTTCGGCTCAACTCGCCAATGGGGAGAGAGCGACTCGGAGCAAACAACGCGCTCACCCCATCCAGTCACTCACACCCTCAAAGATTCCACCGTTAGGCTGTAAACAGACGGTGAAGGCCGGCACGGCTACACGAGGGGGGTGGGTGGCTAGCAACCGCGCCAGACCGCCTTTGTCTCCCCCACGTGCCGATGTGTATACACCGCACCAGGTACTCATTTGAGGCGGAGTCGACCTAGGGGAGGACCGGGTTCAAATAATTCCTCACCCCACCCCAGTCACTCCTTCACCCCAGTCACTCCCTCACCCCAGTCACTCCCTCACCCCAGTCACTCCCTCACCCCACCCCAGTCACTCCCTCACCCCACCCCAGTCACTCACCCACCCCAGTCACTCACCCCACCCCAGTCACTCACCCCACCCCAGTCATTCCCTCACTCCACCCCAGTCACTCCCTCACCCTACCCCAGTCACTCACCCCACCCCAGTCACTCCCTCACCCCACCCCAGTCACTCCCTCACCCCACCCCAGTCACTCCCTCACCCCACCCCAGTCACTCCCTCACCCCACCCCAGTCACTCCCTCACCCCACCCCAGTCACTCCCTCACCCCACCCCAGTCACTCCCTCACCCCACCCCAGTCACTCCCTCACCCTCACCCCAGTCACTCCTTCACTCCACCCCAGTCACTCCCTGACCCCACCCCAGTCACTCCCTCACCCCACCCCAGTCACTCCCTCACCTCACCCCAGTCACTCCCCCACTCCACCCCAGTCATTCCCTCACCTCACCCCAGTCACTCCCTCATCCCACCCCAGTCACTCCCCCACCCCAGTCACTCCCTCACCTCACCCCAGTCACACCTTCACTCACCCACATCCTTCAAGGAAACGGGACCCAGAGGATGAACGAATCTGAATTCGTGTTTCTGCGAAGCACGTGGTAAGGTCACGTGGCAGGCAATAAATAACAACGACGATGACGTTAGAGAGAAGAGCCCCGGGTAAATATTAATGATTGTCGAGTATGAACGCAAAGTGTAATAACTTATAGCACGTGTCGCGTTACATGCGTTATAACCCATGCTGTCGGGGGAGGGGGGGGGACGGCTTGGCCTGTCAACCCGTATGGTTTTAACCCCTTAATCTTCTTGTCCATGGAAATTTGAGTTTTCAGGTCCATACGGCGTACAGCCGTTTTCATTACGGGCAACAACAAAAAAACAATAACATGTCTACGTGTTTGTGTTTCTCCCTTGTGATGGGACTTTGTAGGATGGAACGAGTGAGCTTTTTATAAGGGGCACGCAGGGTGACCAATAAGCTCTGAATTGGTCTGTGATAAGGTAGGGGTTGACGGGTATGGAAGAGTCACTGGTAATGCTGTGTGTGTCTGCGTATGTACGTTATCTCGATGTGAAATCGACAAGCTAAATGTATATTTTTTTCCACAGTAACTGAATATTTACGTTGCAAGCGAGACAAGAACAACAACAAGAAAACATGTTATACACTTGCGTGCGTTTTAGAGACGTAGGGGCGCGCGCGCGCGCGCGTGCACGGCGTCAGGAGCGAGCGAACGACGACTCCGGGGGGGTGTCACGATCGGCGTTTGTCGGCGCGCGCCGCGTCCCCAACCAACCCACCCACCCACCCCTACCCTTCTCGGGGTTGGTGTGTGGTGTGTGGTGTGGTGTGTGCCAGTGGCTGCGCGTGCCACTCGAGACGCGTGCCGCTTGTGGGACGTGCCACTGGAAGCGCGTGCCACCTGATTGAAGCACGTGCCACTCGAAGCACGTCGCACTCGAAGCACGTGCCAACTGATTGATGCCCGTGCCACTCGAAGCACGTGGCGCTCGATGCACGTGCCAACTGATTGATGCCCGTGCCACTCGAAGCACGTGGCGCTCGATGCATGTGCCAACTGATTGATGCCCGTGCCACTCGATGCACGTGCCACTCTAAGCACGCGCCACCTGATTGATGCCCGTGGCACTCGAAGCACGCGCCACCTGAATATGCCCGTGCCACTCGAAGCACGTGGCACTCGAAGCACGCGCCACCTGATTATGCCCGTGCCACTCGAAGCACGTGCCAACTGATTGATGCCTGTGCCACTCAAAGCACATGGCACTCGAAGCATGTGCCAACTGATTGACGCCCGTGCTACTCGAAGTACGCGGCACTCGAAGCACGTGTCACCCGATTGTGTGTGCCACTCGAAGCACGTGCCAACTGATTGATGCCCGTGCCACTCGAGGCACGTGCCACTCGAGGCACGTGCCACTCGAAGCACGTGCCACTCGAAGCACGTGGCACTCGAAGCACGTGGCACTCGAAGCATGTGCCAACTGATTGATGCCCGTGCCACGCGAAGCACGTGGCACTCGAAGCACGTGCCAACTGATTGATGCACGTGGCGCTCGAAGCACGTGCCAACTGATTGATGCCCGTGCCACTCGAAGCACGTGGCACTCGAAGCACGTGCCACGCGAAGCACGTGCCAACTGATTGATGCCCGTGTCACTCGAAGCACGTAGCACCTGATTATGCCCGTGGCACTCGAAGCACGTGGCAGTCGAAGCACGTGCCAACTGATTGATGCACGTGGCGCTCGAAGCACGTGCCAACTGATTGATGCCCGTGCCACTCGAAGCACGTGGCACTCGAAGCACGTGCCACGCGAAGCACGTGCCAACTGATTGATGCCCGTGTCACTCGAAGCACGTGCCACCTGATTATGCCCGTGGCACTCGAAGCACGTGCCACGCGAAGCACGTGCCAACTGATTGATGCCCGTGGCTCTCGAAGCACGTGGCTCTCGAAGCACGTGGCTCTCGAAGCACGTGTCACCCGATTGTTGTGCGTGCCATCTGATACCCGTGCCACGCCCGGTGCCCGTCGTGCCCAGGGGAGACGCGGTGCTCCACGGATTTTGGGGGGGGGGGGTGGGGAGTCGGCTGCTGGCAGGATCCGTGCCAATGTCCCGTCGACCCGTGATGCATTTGAGCACCGTGCCGCTCTCCCGTTACTAAGTGTTACTGCAGTACTAATAATTACAGGTTTATATAAATGTTGTGTTCATGCCTTTAAAGACATATGTATACATATATACGGTCTAAACAAATATATATTTATTTTTGGCTGCACTGAAATATAAACTGTGCTTAATACGTGTCCTGTGTGGAAATTAGTTTGCGTTATTCCGGTCGACTCGGCCTTACATGAATGGGTCCCTAGTGCGATCAGAATTGGGGGAGACAAAGGCGGCCGGGCGTGGTGTTAGCCACCGACCCCGCCGTGTGCTGTCGGCCTCAATAGGTGCTACTCGCTAACAGCAGTTCCATTTTCTTACTGGGTACGATGGCCTCTATAAATTTAATTCTGCCGCTCATTATTCCCCTGAGCAAGATGTCCTCCCTAATTAAACCCCTGACTAAGATGGCCGGCCTGATGTAAAGTTGAATAAGATGTCCTGCCATGACACTTCCCTACACCAGATGTCCTCTATAATTGCATCCATACGTAGAATTGCCTCCCTGACAACCCTGTGTAAGGTATTTATTTCCCTAAGCAATGTGGCGAAATCACTGAGAACCGAATCTCTAAATAGCTGCTCGACATTGGCCATGCAAAAAAAAATAATCCCTAAGCAAGATGGCCTACTTGCTTCACCATCCCTGAGCAAGATGGCCTACCTGCTTCACTACCCCTGAGCAAGTTGGCCTACCTGCTTCATCCCTGAGCAAGATGGCCTACTTGCTTCACCATCCCTGAGCAAGGTGGCCTACCTGCTTCACCACCCCTGAGCAAGGTGGCCTACCTGCTTCACCATCCCTCAGCAAGGTGGCCTACCTGCATCACCACCCCTAAGCAAGAAGGCCTACATGCTTCACCCCTGAGCAAGGTGGCCTACCTGCTTCACCACCCCTGATCAAGATGGCCTACATGCTTCACAACCCCTGAGCAAGGTGGCCTACCTGCTTTATCCCTGAGCAAGGTGGCCAATCTGCTTCACCATCCCTGAGCAAGATGGCCTACCTGCTTCACTACCCCTGAGCAAGTTGACCTACCTGCTTCACTATCCCTGAGCAAGGTGGCCTATCTGCTTCAGCACCTCTGAGCAAGTTGGCCTACCTGCTTCACCACCCCTGAGCAAGATGGCCTACCTAATTCACCACTCCTGAGCAAGGTGGCCTACCTGCTTCACCACCCCTGAGCAAGATGGCCTACCTGCTTCACGACTTCTGAGCAAATTGGCCTACCTGCTTCACCACCCCTGAGCAAGATGACCTACCTGCTTCATCACCACAGAGCAATGTAGCCTACCTGCTTCACCACCCCTGAGCAAGGTGGCCTACCTGCTTCACCATCCCTGAGCAAGATGGCCTACCTGCTTCACTACCCCTGAGCAAGATGGCCTACCTGCTTCACGACCCCTGAGCAAATTGGCCTACTTGCTTCACCACCCCTGAGCAAGATGGCCTACCTGCTTCACTACCCCTGAGCAAGTTGCCCTACCTGCTTCACCACCCCTGAGCAAGGTGGCCTACCTGCTTTATCCCTGAGCAAGGTGGCCAATCTGCTTCACCATCCCTGAGCAAGGTGGCCTCCCTGAGCAAGGTGGCCTACCTGCTTCACCATCCCTGAGCAAGATGGCCTACCTGCTTCACTGCCCCTGAGCAAGTTGACCTACCTGCTTCACTATTCCTGAGCAAGGTGGCCTACCTGCTTCACCATCCCTGAGCAAGGTGGCCAATCTGCTTCACCACCCCTAAGCAAGATGGCCTACATGCTTCACCACCCCTGAGCAAGGTGGCCTACCTGCTTCACCACCCCTGAGCAAGATGGCCTACCTGCTTCACAACCCCTGAGCAAGATGGCCTACCTGCTTCACAACCCCTGAGCAAGGTGGCCTACCTGCTTCACCATCCCTGAGCAAGATGGCCTACCTGCTTCACTACCCCTGAGCAAGTTGGCCTACCTGCTTCATCCCTGAGCAAGATGGCCTACTTGCTTCACCATCCCTGAGCAAGTTGGCCTACCTGCTTCACCACCCCTGAGCAAGGTGGCCTACCTGCTTCACCATCCCTCAGCAAGGTGGCCTACCTGCATCACCACCCCTAAGCAAGAAGGCCTACATGCTTCACCCCAGAGCAAGGTGGCCTACCTGCTTCACCACCCCTGATCAAGATGGCCTACATGCTTCACAACCCCTGAGCAAGGTGGCCTACCTGCTTTATCCCTGAGCAAGGTGGCCAATCTGCTTCACCATCCCTGAGCAAGATGGCCTACCTGCTTCACTACCCCTGAGCAAGTTGACCTACCTGCTTCACTATCCCTGAGCAAGGTGGCCTATCTGCTTCAGCACCTCTGAGCAAGTTGGCCTACCTGCTTCACCACCCCTGAGCAAGATGGCCTACCTAATTCACCACCCCTGAGCAAGGTGGCCTACCTGCTTCACCACCCCTGAGCAAGATGGCCTACCTGCTTCACGACTTCTGAGCAAATTGGCCTACCTGCTTCACCACCCCTGAGCAAGATGACCTACCTGCTTCATCACCACAGAGCAATGTGGCCTACCTGCTTCACCACCCCTGAGCAAGGTGGCCTACCTGCTTCACCATCCCTGAGCAAGATGGCCTACCTGCTTCACTACCCCTGAGCAAGATGGCCTACCTGCTTCACGACCCCTGAGCAAATTGGCCTACCTGCTTCACCACCCCTGAGCAAGATGGCCTACCTGCTTCAGTACCGCTGAGCAAGTTGCCCTACCTGCTTCACCACCCCTGAGCAAGGTGGCCTACCTGCTTCACCATCCCTGAGCAAGGTGGCCTACCTGCTTCACCACCCCTGAGCAAGGTGGCCTACCTGATTCACTATCCCTGAGCAAGGTGGCCTACCTGCTTCACCATCCCTGAGCAAGGTGGCCTACCTGCTTTATCCCTGAGCAAGGTGGCCAATCTGCTTCACCATCCCTGAGCAAGGTGGCCTCCCTGAGCAAGGTGGCCTACCTGCTTCACCATCCCTGAGCAAGATGGCCTACCTGCTTCACTGCCCCTGAGCAAGTTGGCCTACCTGCTTCACCATCCCTGAGCAAGTTCGCCTACCTGCTTCACTATTCCTGAGCAAGGTGGCCTACCTGCTTCACCATCCCTGAGCAAGGTGGCCAATCTGCTTCACCACCCCTAAGTAAGATGGCCTACATGCTTCACCACCCCTGAGCAAGGTGGCCTACCTGCTTCACCACCCCTGAGCAAGATGGCCTACCTGCTTCACAACCCCTGAGCAAGGTGGCCTACCTGCTTCACCACCCCTGAGCAAGATGGCCTACCTGCTTCACAACCCCTGAGCAAGGTGGCCTACCTGCTTTATCCCTGAGCAAGATGGCCTACCTGCTTCACTACCCCTGAGCAAGTTGACCTACCTGCTTCACTATCCCTGAGCAAGGTATCCAATCTGTTTCACCACCACTAAGCAAGATGGCCTACATGCTTCAACACCCCTGAGCAAGATGGCCTACCTGCTTCACTACTCCTGAGCAAGTTGCCCTACCTGCTTCACCACCCCTGAGCAATGTGGCCTACCTGCTTCACCATTCCTGAGCAAGGTGTCCTACCTGCTTCACCATCCCTGAGCAAGGTGTCCTACCTGCTTCACCATTGCTGAGCAAGGTGTCCTACCTGCTTCACCATCCCTGAGCAAGTGGGCCTACCTGCTTCACCACCCCTCAGCAAGTTGGCCTACCTGCTTCACCACTCCTGAGCAAGATGGCCTACCTGCTTCACCACCCTTGAGCAAGGTGGCCTACCTGCTTTATCCCTGAGCAAGGTGGCCTACCTGCTTCACCATCCCTGAGCAAGATGGCCTACCTGCTTCACTACCCCTGAGCAAGTTGGTCTACCTGCTTCACCACCCCTGAGCAAGTTGGCCTACCTGCTTCACCACCCCTGAGCAAGTTGGCCTACCTGCTTCACCACCCCTGAGCAAGGTGTCCTACCTGCTTCATCACCCCTGAGCAAGATGGCCTACCTGCTTCACCACTCCTCAGCAAGATGGTCTACCTGCTTCATCACCCCTGAGCAAGATGGCCTACATGCTTCACCACTCCTCAGCAAAGATGATCTACCTGCTTCATCACCCCTGAGCAAGATGGTCTACCTACTTCACCACCCTTGAGCAAGATGTCCGCCGTCACGTTGACGACCCCTTGGCCTCAAGAGGGCGGCACGGAGCGGAAACCGTGACGCGGCGTACGCGCAGGCACACGAGGAGGCCGCGGATCGTTGTCGGCATCTCCGTCTGCATTCAGGCGGGCAAAGGAGAGAGAGGGGCGGCGAGGATACCCGAGCAGGAGCGGTCATGGCGGCGGCGAAGAAGGGAGACCTCGCGGCCGAGGAGGCGGAGCTGCTCCAGGCGATTTCGAAAGGCGAGCCCGAGGCTTTGGGCCTGGAGTGTATGGGTCCTCCCGCGAGACGCATGCTCACTCTAGGGCTGATGCCGTCTCTCTCTCTCGCTGATGCTCTCTCTCTCGGCGCTGCTGTTCTCAGTGCGGAGTTTGTTTCCTCTCCGAGGCTGCTGTTATAACCCCCCCCCTCCCACCATTGGAAGTCGTTGGCCATCGAAGTGAATCGTTGTCCAGGCTCGGCGCCCGCTTTAGCTTCCGACATGTGGCGGGGTCCGTGGCGCCCGCCGTCCCTGCCGGCCCGGGCTCGTTCTGGGTCACACGTTGCGCGTCGTGGCCGCCGAAGTGCAACGCTGCCGCGTCCCCTGTAACCCGCAGCCCTGTTCGACAACGGCAGCAGTGGCCAACGTACGCCGACGATGCCGAGTTGCGAGTCGCGGCTGCCAGTGGTGAATGTTAACTGAAGGCTGCCTCCCCCTCGGCCTCTGACCGACCCGTACCCATCGGAGCGGTGAAGTATGGCTAAACAACAACTCGCCTTTTGTACGTTTGGGTGCTGTCCCCCCCCGTATTGTTGTTAACTTTCGGGTTGCCACCCATCAGGTTTTTGAACCTGGGGCGTTCGGGTGGCAGCAGGAGTTGATTTGTACCCAGGATTGAGTTGGACTTCGTTACGGTTTCAGACAGGAACAGCTCTGGTAGACCCAGGCTGGCCGATTTGGTCGACAGCGGAAGGTGGCAACCCCACCAGCTCAACCACGCATTCACCATCTCCCCGCCAACTCAATTGTCCACCAGCTCACCCACTGAATTATATACCCACTCGTCCATTTCACTCGTCCATCATTTCACTCACTCACCCGCTGAAATACACACCAACTTGACCCACTCAATAATCCACCAACTCGATTATCCACCAGTTCACCCACTGAATTATCCACCCACTCGCCCATCATTTCACTCGCCCATCATTTCACTTACTCACCCGCTGAAATACACACTAACTAGACCCACTCAATAATCCACCAACTCGATTATCCACCAGCTCACCCACTGAATTATATACCCACTCGCTCATCATTTCACTCACGCTACATTTCACTCACCCGCTGAAATACACACCAACTAGACCCACTCAATAATCCACCAACTCGATTATCCACCAGCTCACCCACTGAATTATCCACCCACTAGCCCATCATTTCACTCACCCATCATTTCACTCACTCACCCGCTGAAATACACAACAACTTGACCCACTCAATAATCCACCAACTCACCCACCCACTCGTCATCAGGTTGCCACCTGCTCGGGATTCACCCTGAAAATCCAGGAGTTGGCATTTTGTTTGAAATTCTGTACGGGTGAGTGTGTGGGGAGCGGTAGTGTAGCCGTTAGCGTGCTGCGCTATAATCCTGGCGACCCCGGTTCGATTCCTGCTCACGGCAAATACCAATGACGATTAATCTGAACCGGTTTTGGGCCTCCCATAGGTCGACTCAGCCTCAAATAAGTACCTGGTGCGGTTCATAAAAACATCGCCACTGGGGACACAAAGGTGGCCGGGCGTGGTGCTGGCCACCCACCCCCTCGTGTGCCGTTCTGGCCTTCATAGGTGCTCGCTAAAAGCACTTGCCCCTATAGTTTGTTAAGGCTACACGGGGGATCTTAGTCTTTGTGTGCACCTGGCCTGGCACAGGCGCAGTGGTGATGTCACCGTCACGTATTGGCAAATGGTGGCTATTGGTATTGGTGTGTGAAAGTGATGTTGGCTGTTTGCGTGTTACAGGAAATGTCCAAGAGGCCTGCAGACTTCTGGGCCTCAAGACGGTCCGCATCAACTGCCTGGACGAGGTGGGGCCCACCAGCTGTCATTTGTCTTGAATCGAAGTTGCTGAGCACATGGCCAAAATGCCAAGCGGTCAGCAACAATCGGCACGACTGAAGGTGCAATAGATAAGAGTCATTAACGCGTTTCCTTGATTGAGCAGTGTTATTTTTTTGTTACAATATCTTGGGAGAGGGAAGGAGATGATGATGGGAAGGAATCATAGAGTGGAGCAGTATGAGGGAAGAATTTGAAAGATAAGTGAGGTGACCTGCAGTGTGGTGAGTGAGTAGGTGGTTGAGTCAATGAGTACATGGCTGATTGAGTGAGCAGGTGGTTGAGTGATTGTGTTTGAGTTAGTGATTGGGTGGTCGATGGAGTGACTTACAGTGCGGTGGTTGAACAGTGTTTCAAACACGGTGTGTTGAACTACCACATTTATCAATAGTAATAACGGTAGTGTCGTGTATCACGGTAATCATTAACACCTGTGTGCAAAGGTGTGAATCCCATCTGGCCCCCTTACAAGCCAGGGCTTGCTCCTTTTTTCATATGGATCTCTAATGAGAGTCTCTGGGTCTCCATGTGATTCATTGGTGGTGACTGGGCTGAGACCATCAACTCCGCTACACTTGATAACCCGGTGTAATCATCCCGGCTGGACGGCTGAAACCCCAGTTCTCAGCTGTGCCGGCTCAACCCCTCTGACCTCTGAACTAGAATCCTGGTCTCCTCCCCCCCCCCCCCCCCAATCTCTAATGCCCCCCCCCCACCCCTTCCACGCAGCACGGGATGACGCCGCTGATGCACGCCGCCTACAAGGGCCGAGCCGAGCTGTGCGAGCTGCTGCTGCGGCACGGGGCCAACGTGAACTGCAACGAGCATGAGCACGGTTACACCGCCCTCATGTTCGCCGGGCTCTCTGGTGAGACCCCGGTCCGCTAGCCGGGGACCCCTTGGAGACCCCGTCCGTTAGCCAGGACCCCGTCCGACCCCCAGTGAGACCCACCCCACTGTGTTAACGGGACTGTTATGCTAAAGAAGTGAGACCCAAACAAGAAAAAAAACGATCTAAGCAGCTCTCATCTTGTAAACGCAGCTCGGGCGTTGCTGCCCGAAAACACGTGGAGGAGAGATTCGGGTCTTCGGTGTCTCACCCAATTCTCCCTCCTCCCTCCCCTCCTCCTCCTCCTCGCCTACCTCCTCCTTCCCTCCTACTGCCACTCCGCGCCTTCGTCATGGTGGCTGTGGCCGCCCCCCCCCCGTGCTCCGCCGCAGGGAACAAGGAGATCACTCGCATGATGCTGGAGGCCGGCGCCAAGACGGACGCGGTGAACTCCGTGGGACGGACCGCCGCACAGATGGCAGCATTCGTGGGTACGCGAGAGCCTCGCCCTCGCTTCCCCCGCGGCCCGCGAGACGCCGCTCCGTCGCAACCGTCGGCGATCTGTTAATGTCGTCGCCCGCGGTTTCCCTCGTCGGCGCGGCGGGGGCAGATGGCGCGTTCGCCACGTGCGCATCGTTGGGCAGTGCGGCGCGAGGACGCGGTAGTCACCGCGTCGCCGACGCGCGTCTCGACTCGCTCGTCGCTTGTGACATTGGCAGAGCGGCTCGGCTTCTGCGGTGGAAAAGCAACGCGAGCCGCGCCGGGCTGGCTCGCCACGGCACGGCACGGTTGTGCCAGTGGAAAAAGAGCTGTTGGGGTGTGTGTGTGTGTGTGTGACGTCGTCGAGTTTAAATGCTCTCCCCGTGGTCGCGTGGATTTTTTTTCTCCGGTTTTTCCCTCCACAATTGGTATCATGCTTCAATATTATTAAAATAATTTAACTGCGATAAATGTCCACGTGATGATAAGCCACTTCGTTGAGCTATCATTTGTGGCCAGGTCGCTTCTGAAAAAGAAGCTAATAGCTCCGTGGGCTTCACCTGGCAAAATAAATAAAAATAGCTTTCTAATATATATTTTTTAGTGATGAATTTACCTTTCCTATACTCTGCACTCCTACTGTGTTTTCGTATTGTTCATTTTTGTAGTGTTCTGACCCTGTGCCCCTACTGGACATCTGTGAAAAAGAGCTTTACAGCTCATTGAATTCCTCCAGGATCAACGTTCCGATGCCGATGTGTGCCACGCAGGGCAGCACGACTGCGTCACCATCATCAACAACTTCTTCTCGCGGGAGAGCCTCGACTACTACACCAGGCCGCAGGGCCTCGAGACCGAGGCCCGGCTCCCGGCTAAGCTGGCCGCCCCACTGCACCGCATCATCCTCACCACCAACCTCAACCCCGTCAAGGTGGGGGGCTGGGTTGTTGGGGCGGGGGGGACAGGGCAGGCGTTTGACCCTGTGTGTCTGTGTGTGTCTGTGTGTGTGGGGGGGAAGGTTCACAATGGCCGTGTCGGGCACTGACCCCTGGATCTGGTTGTCTTGTGTGTGTGTGTGGCCATACGTGTGTGTGTGTAGATGTGTGTGTGGGGAGCAGTAGTGTAGCAGTTCGCGCGCTGCGCTATGAACACGGCGACTCAAGTTTGATTCCCTGCTCACGGCCAACACCAGTGACGATTATCTGAACCGGTCCAGGGCCTCCCCTAGGTCGACTCGGCCTCGAATGAGTACCCGGTGCGATGCGTAAACATCGCCACTGGGGAGACGAAGGCGGCCAAGCGCGGTGTTGGCTACCCACCGCTTCGTGTGGCATGCAGGCCTTCGTAAGCGCTACTCGCCAACAGCACTTGTCCCAACAGTCTGTTGAGGCAATGCGGTGGGGGACGAATCTTTGTATTTTGTGCATGCCAGGTGGTGCTGATGGCGGCCGAGGGCCCGCTGTGCTCGGTGGAGGCGCTAGCGGCGTGCGCGCGCGTGCTGGAGCGCGTGTGCGAGCGCTGCATGCAGCAGCAGGACATGAACGAGGTCCTCGCCGTCAAGATCCACTACCTGGGCGCCATCTTCTCGCGCTGCCTCGCGCACCTCCGCGACGGTGTGCGTGGCGGTGGCGGCCTTGATGGGCTGCTCAAAAGGTTGTTAATGTTATTGTTCATGTCAAAAACCGCTGTGCCCGTGACGCACCCACAGTGGGAAGGGCGATTCATCAAGGATGTAATGTAGGGGAGATGGGAAAGGAACGGGACGGAGAAGGGATACTGGGATGGCTCCCACGATGCACCGTGTTCAGCGGCGCAGCTGTGGGGGCGGCTCCCACAATGCACCGTCTGCAGCGACGCAGCTGTGGGGGCGGCTCCCACAATGCACCGTGTTCAGCGACGCAGCTGTAGTGCTGGCTCCCGCAATGCACCGTGTGTGGTTGCCTTGTTTTAAACTCCAGAGCGACGCTGACCCGGCCTGTCTTCATCCCACCCCTCCCCCTGCTCCTACCCTCACCCCCCCGCCCCCCCCCCCTCATCTCCCCATATTTGTCCGCCCGGTGCAGCCTGCTGAAGGGCCGCGAGGAGGACGGCTTCCCGCTGTACCAGGAGAAGTTTGTGCGCGAGGCCGTGCGCAAGTTCCCCTTCCCGCAGGCGACGCTGCTGCAGCAGCTGGTGCGCAGCATCGCGCCCGTCGAGATCGTGAGTGGCGCCCGCACGCTCTCTGCCTCCACCTGTCCCCCCCCCCCCCCCTCCACGCCATAAGCAACGGCACAAAACCCCGACGACGCGGCGAATCGCAGGGCCGGGTGGACGGGCCCGGTCGGCACCAATCGGCTTCCTCGCTCATTTCCCACCCCCCCCCCCACCCCTCTCTTCCCCCTTGGCGGCGTCGCCGGGCAGGGCCGGGAGCCGACGGCGCTGTCCATCCTCACGCAGGCCGTCACGGGCCAGGTAGGCCTCGTGGACGCCGAGTTCTGCACGACCTGCGGCGAGAAGGGCGCCGACAAGAAGTGCTCCGCCTGCAAGATGGTGCGCACCGCCACACACACGCGCACGGCGCTCCCCCCCCCCCCGCGTAGCCCAGTGGAGCCTACGATGCCCGGCCACCTTTGTCTCCCCCAGTTGTGATGGCGTTCTGTGCACACCGCAACAGGTACTCATTTTGGACCGAATCGACCAAGGTTGAGGAGGCCCGGGACCGGTTCAGATATTCGTCACTGGTGTTTGGTCCGTGAGTGGGAATCGAACTCTGGTTTCGCCGGGCGATTTCGCTCCTGGACATCCGTGAGCTTCGCAGCTCATCGGATTCCTCTCGGATGGATGAAAAACAGATTCTGTTCCAAGATTCTGACCGCCCACCCCCCCCCCCAGGTGGTGTACTGTGGGCAGCCATGCCAGAAGCTGCACTGGTTCACGCACAAGAAGTCGTGCCCCCACCTGGCAGAGGAGTGGCGGCGCCAGGAGGCACGGGCGGCGCACGAGAGGGACAAGTTGGGGAAACGGCAGGAAGAGGAGCAGCAGCAGCAGCTGGAGAGCCCTGCAGCAGGTGGGGGCGTAACTGCATCATTATTTTGATCCCGCTTGTTTGACCCCACGAGATTATTGTCGCCGCGCCTCCACGAACCCAGGTGGCGTCGCTGGAGCGGGTTCCGCTGTTCTCTGCGCGGCCAATCGCGGCGGATTGTGCGAGACCCACGGCGCCGTGGATGGGGGTCATCGGGGTCATCCACTCTCATTGGCCGTGTAAATAAATGGGCACCACTAAAGACGTTGCTGCCTTGTCTGGTACCGATCTCTGCTCTCGCCCCATGGGCTATGATTCTCATGACTTTTTTTAAGCAGTCGAGGCCAATGATTGCTACGCGCTGTGTGTCGTTTTGTGACGCTGTGTACGATGAGCAGGTGTGACAATGAATTTGACAACGTGACGACGTGTATGGCAATCTGACGATGTGTGTGTGTGTGTGACGATGCGCGTGACGACTTGCGTGTGTGACGATGTTTTTTGTGTGCGAGCCTTCGACACTTCACGTGGCCTCTAAGTGCACCTGGCCTGGCACAGGCACCGTGGTGACGGCACAGACACCGTGGTACCGCCACTTAGTGGCGAATGGCAGGTGTTGGTGGCGAATGGCAGGTGTTGGTGGCGAATGGCAGGTGTTGGTGGCGAATGGCAGGTGTTGGTGACGTGTGTTGTGTGTGACGACGTGCGTGAGTTGGTGACGACGTGCGTGGGTGACGACGTGAGTTGGTGACGACGTGAGTTGGTGACGACGTGCGTGAGTTGGTGACGACGTGAGTTGGTGACGACGTGAGTTGGTGACGACGTGCGTGAGTTGGTGACGACGTGAGTTGGTGACGACGTGAGTTGGTGACGACGTGAGTTGGTGACGACGTGCGTGAGTTGGTGACGACGTGCGTGAGTTGGTGACGACGTGAGTTGGTGACGACGTGAGTTGGTGACGACGTGCGTTGGTGACGACGTGCGTGGGTGACGACGTGCGTGGGTGACGACGTGAGTTGGTGACGACGTGAGTTGGTGACGACGTGAGTTGGTGACGACGTGAGTGAGTTGGTGACGACGTGAGTTGGTGACGACGTGCGTGGGTGACGACGTGAGTTGGTGACGACGTGAGTGAGTTGGTGACGTGCGTGAGTTGGTGACGTGCGTGAGTTGGTGACGACGTGCGTAGGTGACGACGTGCGTTGGTGACGACGTGAGTGGGTGACGACGTGCGTGAGTTGGTGACGTGCGTGAGTTGGTGACGTGCGTGAGTTGGTGACGTGCGTGAGTTGGTGACGTGCGTGAGTTGGTGACGACGTGAGTTGGTGACGACGTGCGTTGGTGACGACGTGAGTTGGTGACGACGTGAGTTGGTGACGACGTGAGTTGGTGACGACGTGAGTTGGTGACGACGTGAGTTGGTGACGACGTGCGTGGGTGACGACGTGAGTTGGTGACGACGTGAGTTGGTGACGACGTGCGTGACGACGTGAGTTGGTGACGACGTGAGTTGGTGACGACGTGAGTTGGTGACGTGCGTGCGTGACGACGTGAGTTGGTGACGACGTGCGTGACGACGTGAGTTGGTGACGACGTGCGTGCGTGACGACGTGAGTTGGTGACGACGTGCGTGACGACGTGAGTTGGTGACGACGTGTGTTGTGTGTGACGTGAGTTGGTGACGACGTGAGTTGGTGACGACGTGCGTTGGTGACGACGTGCGTTGGTGACGACGTGCGTTGGTGACGACGTGAGTTGGTGACGACGTACGTGCGTGCGTGACGATGTGCGCAGGGGCGAGTAAAGGAAACGGAGAGGGCGGCGAGGAGACGCCCGCGTCAGTGCCCGAAGACCCGACGCAGGCAGCGCCACAGACGCCTACGGCCCCCGCGCCTCGTGAGGACCCCAAGGGGGGAGACTCCACAGTGGGGGAGGGTGTGACGACGCACAGTGTGGAGGAGTGATGGGGACAAGGGTGCGCGCGTGATGGGTTGGGGGCGGGGGTGGGTAGTGATGGGGAGGAAGGGTGGAGGAGTGTCAAGTAGTGACTTGAGAGTGTAGAGTAGTGGCGGGGAGTGACGGAGCAGGGAGGAGGAATGATCGACCATGCGGACGAGGAGCGCGATCGGTGCGAGTGTGGCGGAGCGATGGAGCGTTCGGGGGTGACTCGGGAGTGGCCCCGGGGGTGCGGTGGCCTGTGCTCGGCCACACCACTCGCCCCTCCGCGCCGTCTGCGCCAGCCGCGAGACCCTCGCGAAGAGATTGCGCCGATCGTTTATTCGAAACCAGAAGGTGGAATCACGGCCGTTTCCAAGCTCGACCTCCGATCGGTGGTGACCCATCTCCCCACGGCCAATAAAACCAGTACCACTTTGTGAAACGTCAACAGCGCGCATTCCATGGTGTCTTAACGGCAAAGCAGGTCGCCGCCACCCCTGCCACAGCAATGTGGAATTGGCACCCTTGCTTTAGGGACGGCGTGCGGAGCCTAGCGGCGTTGTTACACAGCGAGAGCGGAGCTGGGGTGGCGCTTTGTGGTGGTAGAAGTGCATTTTTTTTTCTGCAGTGGCCTCTGCCGGCCCACAGCAATCCCCCCCCAACCGCCCTTCTCCCAGGCTCGGGTGATTGTGCACTCCGGGTGATTTCTTAAATTGTGGTGATTGTGGCCGACCTGGTAATGCGGGTCTCTATTGCCTGCCAAGAGGCAAAAACGACATAATAGCCCATCAATAGCCCATCAAAGGCTCCCCGTTGCTACGACAGAGCCGAGTATCCCCAAAGGCTGACCGCGCTGGTTGGCTTTGCCGCATAGCTCTACTGGCGCAGCAGCAGCACCACCGGATGAGGCCGGACGTTCACGGCATCTTAAGTGCGACGCGGCTATTAATAAACAAGTCAAATAAATACTCGGCAAGTAGTAAAAAAAAAGTCGATCATTTACAGACCTATTGTAAAATCCACTACTGGAATTAAGGCATCCTTCCCCGCCGCCACTCCCCACCCCCCCCCCCCCGAGTTGGTGTTGTTTGACCATACTTCACCATTTCTGGTTGGTGTGCGGATTGGTGAAAAGGGCGGGGAGGGGCTACGTTGGGTGGCCGGGGAGTCGGTAGCGCAGGGCGCCAGCCACTGCTGTGGGTAGCGCAGGGCGCTAGCCACCGACCAGAAGATGGCCGTGTAGCGGTTAAAGCGTGGCTTACGGAGAGCGTGGAGGCCTGGTGGCTCGGGTCTGAGAAGTGGAGCTGGCACCGCTGAACCACCGATGTGCACTGTGTTCTCAGGTGCAATGGGCAGACCCCCCCCCCCCTCTCTAGACTCCGATAGAAGACCCATAAGCTCGCATAGCAGAGGGGATCCATCGACTCTCAGACATCCACAGACTAAGCTTGTGATTAAATTTCGATTTAAAGCTTTCGTGACTGCAATGATTCATCTTCTTTGGTTCTTTCGGTAAAGTCACGTAGAATGAGAATAAAATAATAAATTGATAAAATAAAATAACACAATAATATTCTGGTAGGACAGCGCTGTTGCAGTCGAAACGTCGTGAGAATTTTATTCTTTTATATTTTTATTATTTTATTGTTTCCCTTCTACGTGACTTTACCGAAAGAACCAAGAATATGTATCTTAACACCCGTTTTATTATTGCCAGAAAAGGGGATTATCATAATCTAATACTGGCAAAGGCGGTCCCATGATGTTGCACACGCGCTGGTTTGGGATTCGGCTGGGTTCTCCAGCTCGGCGGGTCCATGGCCTCGGCCCGGCGGGCGACTGCCGTGCGGCGCTCCCCGTACCTGCCCACCCCACCCGCTACGCCCCGTGGCGTGCGCCCCCTCCCACGCTCGCCGGCCCCGTGTGCATCTCGGCCTTCGTGCCGCCGCCGCCGACGACGCCGCCGCACGACTCCACGCGGCACAGGTCCCGGCAGGATTGGCGGTCGAGCCGCGGGAAGAAGGTGATGCCGGCCCAGCGCTCCAGCTGCTCCAGCTGCACCTGGAAGGAGCCGAGCGGCGTCCCCTGCGGCACCGGCGCGTTGGGGATCACGAACGCCGCGAGCACCGCGCCCTCCGCGGTGGCGCCCTCCGCGGTGGCGCCCTCCGCGGTGGCGCCACCGCCGTCTTCGGCGCCACCACCATCTTCGGTACCACGGTCAGCGCCGCCGCCGCCGCCGTCGCCGCCGGTCGTACCCTGAGCCACGATGACCTTGTACAGGTGGGTCGGCACCGCCACCTCGTTTGCGCCGATCACCTGCGACGGGGACGGTCGGAGAGACGCGTTGCAGGCAAGAGACTCCGTGGCGGCGGCGGTGACGGCAGAAGGCAGCGAGCATAGCCGCTGTGCGTAATGTGTCCCTCCCCCCCCCCTCGAACGCCCCCCCCCCCCCCCAAATCTCTCTCCCACCGTTGCCCAATCCACGCCGACCGGCGTCAAGTGTGGCCAAGTAACCCACAGGCTCTAGTGCGAGGCCCTCGTTCATCCATCCAGCAGTGGACAGAACAAACGTGGTTCACGTGAAGAGGAGACACTGTCCCGCCCACAGCCATGGCCCATCGATTCCTCCTGCCACGGCGGGGACTCAGTCGATACCAGACACCGTTGCGTCTCATCCACCACCACCACGACAACAACACACCCATCCATTCACTCATCCACGCAGTCGCCACACTGCAGGTAACCTCACTTCTCTCTAATCTCTACTCTTCCCTCGCCACTCCTCCAATTCGGAATCTCTCGCAACACGAATAACCTCGCTCAATACAAGAAACGCGTTCGCAACTCTTGATCCGTTGCAACTTTGACAACGGTGCTGTTCGCCGCCGGCCGGCCGGGTGACGTTTCGGCCCCTGTGCTCGGCAAGCGTCTTCACGAATGATTCCCACCGAAGCCCAATTCCCAGCCATGCCCTGCGTGAGTGACCCTTTCCTTCCACTCACCTCGTAGCTGACATGTCCCTTGCGCTGCCCGCCACCGCTGCCAGCGTCACTGTCTTGGGCCAGCGCGAGAGGCCCGGTCACCACCCACACGTCAGCGTACAGCGCCGTCAGCTGCTCGCACAGCGACTCCAGGCTGCGCGAAAGGCAAAGATCCCCCGTGCAGCCTTGACCGACTTTTGGGGCAAGTGCTGTAAGCGAGCGGCTATGATGGCAGGCACGGCACACGAGGGGGTGGGTGGCTATCACCACGCCCGACCGCCTTTGCCTCCCCAGTGGCGATATTTACTACATACCGCACCAGGTACTCATTTTGAGGCCGAGTCGACCTAGAGGAGGCCCAGCAACCGGGGTTACGATAATCGTCACTGGTGCTGGCCGTGAGCGGGAATCGAACTCGGGCGGCCAGGTTCGCAGCGCAGCGCACTGAACGTTTTTGCCTTGGCGCTCCCCATGCACATGCGGCTGAGTGTGTAGCGGCCCCTAGTGGCTGCGCAGGTCACGTGCACCACTCCGGTGCACACGTGTCGATGTGTCCACGAGATCTGCCCGGGGTGGCTCAGCGAGAAGAGCGAGCGGCTCCGAGCTATCGCAAAGGTCGCGAAGTCAAATCCTGGAGGGTGGGGGGGGAGGTTGACTCGGCCCATCATCAACATTCCTTCCTCTGAGGTCGCTAAAATAGAGAAAACAAACTTTTGTGGCCAAGTCAACGGTGCTTTTCACACGACCACCATCGCTCCTGCCATCGGAATGTGGAATTTCCAGGGGCTGTGAATGGGAGATAAGCACCAACGCCTCGATGTACACTGCACGTGCGCACGCTTGCGGATGTGTAGGCGTGCGTCGGTGCGTGTGCACGGTTCTCGGGGCGCTACCTTCTCCAGATGCCCTCGTTGTTGGAGATGTCCTGGGGCACGATGTTGGAGAAGTAGAACGTCTGGTTCATGGCCTCCTGTGGGCCACGGTGCCAGTGGTGAGTTACTGCTCAGGGCACGACCCACATCATCACTGCCCAACCTCCTGTTGCTGCTGCTGCTCCGCTCACCCCGTTGACAAACTATGGAACTCATCACCCTCCTGCTTGAGAACCTGGTTGAATCACGATTCAGTCTGTGTGAGTCTATGGGTCTCTGTGTGAGTCTATGGGTCTCTGTGTGAGTCTATGGGTCTCTGTGTGAGTATGTGGGTCTCTGTGTATGTGGGTCTCTGTGTGAGTCTCTGCATGAGTCTGTGCATCTCTGTGTGAGTCTATGGGTCTCTGAGTCCCTGGGTTTCTGTGATTATCTGGGTCTCTGAGAGTCTCTGGGTCTCTGTGCGAGTGTCTGGGTCTCTGTGTGAGTCTCTGGGTCTCTGTGAGTATCTGGGTCTCTGTGTAAGTATCTGGGTCTCTGTGTGAGTCTATTGGTCTCTGTGAATCTATGGGTCTCTGTGTGAGTCTCTGGGTCTCTGTGTGAGTCTCTGGGTCTCTGTGTGAGTCTCTGGGTCTCTGTGCGAGTCTGTGGGTCTCTGTGTGAGTCTCTGGGTCTCTGTATGAGTCGCTGTGTCTCTGTGTGAGTATCTGGGTCTCTGTGCGAGTATCTGGGTCTCTGTGCGAGTCTGTGGGTCTCTGTGCGAGTCTGTGGGTCTCTGTGCGAGTCTGTGGGTCTCTGTGTGAGTCTGTGGGTCTCTGTGTGAGTCTCTGGGTCTCTGTGTGAGTCGCCGTGTCTCTGTGGGGAGTATCTGGGTCTCTGTGCGGGTCTGTGGGTCTCTGTGGGTCTCTGTGCGAGTCTGTGGGTCTCTGTGTGAGTATGTGGGTCTCTGTGCGAGTCTGTGGGTCTCTGTGCGAGTCTGTGGGTCTCTGTGTGAGTCTCTGGGTCTCTGTGTGAGTCGCTGTGTCTCTGTGTGAGTATCTGGGTCTCTGTGTGAGTATCTGGGTCTCTGTGTGAGTCTGTGAGTCTCTGTGTGAGTCTCTGGGTCTCTGTGCGAGTCTACGGGTCTCTGTGCGAGTCTACGGGTCTCTGTGCGAGTCTACGGGTCTCTGTGCGAGTCTACGGGTCTCTGTGCGAGTCTACGGGTCTCTGTGCGAGTCTCTGGGTCTCTGTGCGAGTCTACAAATCTCTGTGCGAGTCTCTGGGTCTCTGTGCGAGTCTCTGGGTCTCTGTGCGAGTCTCTGGGTCTCTGTGCGAGTCTACGGGTCTCTGTGCGAGTCTACGGGTCTCTGTGCGAGTCTACGGGTCTAACAATCGCTGCGGTTGGAGTTGAAACCCGGAGTGGAACCCCGGCTCCCAGCGATGCCGACTCCTCCGCATCTCCTCTTGCCCTCTGCGTGCAGAACGCTCCTAGCTCTCACGAGTCCCAAGTGTTGACCCCCCGAACTTGGAACATCGTGAGGTGGACTGCCAACCTGGCTGAACTTGTTGTCCTCGGACGGGGCCATGTGGCCGCGTGACCACCCGCTGTCCCGGAAGTCCGAGTCCGAGGCAGAGAACCGGGCCTCGATGCCCGGGTCGGGGCGGAAGTGGCAGTGCTTGCGGTTGGCGTCGCCTGTGCGTGTGTGTGGGGGGGGGGGGCGGCGGTGGTTGAGAGTGGGGGAAGGGGGTGGGGGGGAGTGGAAGTGGTGGGGGGGGGGGGTGAGCGAAGAGCCAGGTGAGTTTCTCTGTGAATAACCAAGCAGGTGAGCTGCCAGGTGAGTGAGTAGCCAGATGGGCTGCCAGGTGAGCTGCCAGGTGAGTAGCAAAGTGAGCTGCCAAGTGAGCTGCCAGGTGAGTGAACAGGTTAACAGCCAGGTGAGTGAACGGGTGAGCATCCAGGTGAGTTGCCAGGTGAGTGAACAGATGAACAGCCAGGTGAGTTGCCAGGTGAGTGAACGGGTGAGCAGCCAGGTGAGTTGCCAGGTGAGTGAACGGGTGAGCATCCAGGTGAGTTGCCAGGTGAGTGAACAGATGAACAGCCAGGTGAGTTGCCAGGTGAGTGAACAGATGAACAGCCAGGTGAGTTGCCAGGTGAGTGAACAGATGAACAGCCAGGTGAGTGAACAGATGAACAGCCAGGTGAGTTGCCAGGTGAGTGAACAGATGAACAGCCAGGTGAGCTGCCAAGTGAATTAACGGATGAACAGCCAGGTGAGTGAATGGGTGAGCAGCCAGGTGAGTGAACAGATGTACAGCCAGGCGAGTGAACAGGTGAGTGAACAGGTGAAGCCGCCAGGTGAGCGAGTGAGTGGGGTTGGGTGCGCGCACGCACCGCTGAAGGAGGCCAGGGTCAGGTGCTCGGCCACCCAGGCCGGGCCGCGCCGCGCCTGGTCGTACGAGAGGGCATGGTGCGCGTAGACGCGGGGGTTCGCGCCACGATCCGGCAGCCCCCAGCGCTCCAGCGGAGACCCTCCCCCATCGGGGGGGGGGCCCTCTGCTGACACACGGCAGTGGGGGGCGGGGAGGGGGGTGGAGGGCATGTGGACACGAGGGGATATGTTGTGGGGGGGGGGGGGGGCACCACGCGTGTGGGTAAGGGGGTATGGGGACACGGGATATGCTGGTCGTGTAGGTCGTCCACTACCCGTCTTGACCGTGCTGTGTTTAACACGACGGCTTTAGCGGCCAATGTTGTTCATCATAGAGGTCGTTGGGTTAGATGGCGTGAGTATAAATGTGTCGTTAGACCCGCCACCACCTGACACGGCACACCGGTAAGGGAATGTCACATTCACCCCCCCCCCCCCTCAGTTCACCCCCCCCTCTGTTCACCCCCCCCCTCAGTTCACCCCCCCCTCTGTTCACCCCCCCCCCCAGTTCACCCCCCCTCTGTTCACCCCCTCCCCCACTCACGAGTCGCGTCCGCCCGCTGCTGCTTGCGACGCCGCAGCCACAGCTCAAGGAGCGCCAGGCCAGAGAGCGAGAACCCCGCGCCGTTCACGAACCCCCAGCGGAACCCCCGCAACATGGCCGGGGTGGAGTGGGGGGGGCACACGGGGTGGAGTGGGGGGCACACGGGGTGGAGTGGGGGGCACACGGGGTGTGGGGGGTCACCGCAGGCACGGGGACACGGAGGGAAACGAGAGACACGTGGAGGGAGACACTGGGAACACACAGACACGCGCGCGGTGACGCAGGGGTCACGTACGAATGTCAAATTTCTTTTGCACCGTACGTAGCCGTAAAGACTGGGTGGCGGGGTGGGTGGGGGTGGAGACGGAGAGACAGAAGGACACGACGGGGAGACACGGTGGGACTGGAGACAAGTGCTGGGACTCCGGAGACAAGTGGTGGGACACGCGAGGCCCAGGGGTCTCAGAAGGAGACGCTGGGCCGCTCGTGTATCCACGTGCGCGGCGGCTGTCAGGATCGAAATCGGCACGACCGTTTAAATCGAACTCTCGATTCTGCATCAGCCGGAGCACCGAGTTGAATGGAATCTAAATCGATATATCTGAATCGATATTAAGGTCGACGGATCGCATCGCGCGTCCCCCACGGAAGACTGTCAGCGCAATGAATCGGGCTGAGAATCGCAAATCGATTCCTCGTGTAAATATCTTCGCTTTGATTCGTGTGCGGGGAGTCCGGGGATTGGAATCGATTATTTTGAATCGTAGTGTATACCGCCAGACGATTCCGCATGCGTTGCTCTGGTAAAATAATCGATTTTTGGATCGAGTTCTAACTATGAATCGAGTAAAATTTGATCAGCAAAGTGCTGTATGGATACATTCCTTAATTGATAATTATTGGTAATTGGCAAAGGTAGGTAATTGGTGAACGTAACGTGTCTCAACTCTATGGTGAGAGCGGGTGGGGAAAGTGCTACCCCCCGTGCTGAGTGTGGACCAGAAGCCATTGGAAGAAGGTGATCTCGGAGGGAGCTCTGTCAAAGGGGCCGTCCATAAATGACGTCATGCACCTTGGGGGGGGGGGGTGTCAGACATTTGTGACGATGTGTGACGAGGGAGGGTGGGGTGAGAAATGTGACGTCACATAATAAAAAGCGCAACTTTATAAATAAATATAAACACGTTCTACTTAATTAAATGGACTTTTTAATAAATGTTTTCTCCTACAACATCAGAGTGCAGCGCCACATTAAATACGCACGACAATGACAATAGTTTAAAGCGATTTGAAGCATGTTTTATTTTTTGGGGGGGGTGGGGGGGCAGAGCTTTGTGACGTCATTTTAGGGGGGGGTCTGACTTTTTGTGACGATGGGGGGGGGGGTCAAAAATTGTCCAAAATCGCGTGACGTCATTTATGGACGGCCCCATATCCACTTCGCCATCATCACCTCAATCCCCCGTCTATGTCAGAGCGAAGCAGGAGGAGGATTTCTCCACAACTCCTGTGGCTGTCCACCTGATGATGCTGGTTGTAATTACTGGCGAAACCTCGTACTGGAATTGTAAATGTTGTGGGTTTACTCTCCAGTGTTCTGAACTAGTAACTAATTGGCACGTTTTGTTCACGTGACAAACCTTTGCTAACTGTCTGTGTTGACGGGTTTAACGACACATATTTACGCGATCTGACCCAACAAACACTATTTTATGGATAATATTGGTCGCGAAAGTGGGCCATTCTGTGCGTGGACCAGAGCGTCACTTGAAGAAGGGGGTCTCAGCGGTAACTCTGTGATATCCACTTCCGTGGGCCGTTCTGTGTGTGGACCAGAGTGTCACTTGAAGAAGGGGATCTCAGCGGTAACTATGTGATATCCGCTTCCATGGGCCGTTCTATGCGTGAACCAGAGCGTCACTTGAAGAAGGGGGTCTCAGCGGTAACTCTGTGATATCCACTTCCGTGGGCCGTTCTGTGTGTGGACCAGAGCGTCACTTGAAGAAGGGGATCTCAGCGGTAACTCTGTGATATCCGCTTCCGTGAGCCGTTCTGTGTGTGGACCAGAGCGTCACTTGAAGAAGGGGGTCTCAGCGGTAGCTCTGTGATACCCGCTTCTGTGGGCCGTTCTGTGTGTGGACCAGAGCGTCACTTGAAGAAGAAGAAGGGGATCTCAGCGGTAACTCTGTGATATCCGCTTCCGTGAGCCGTTCTGTGTGTGGACCAGAGCGTCACTTGAAGAAGGGGGTCTCAGCGGTAGCTCTGTGATACCCGCTTCTGTGGGCCGTTCTGTGTGTGGACCAGAGCGTCACTTGACGAAGGGGGTCTCAGCGGTAGCTCTGTGATATCCACTTCCGTGGGCCGTTCTGTGTGTGGACCAGAGCGTCACTTGAAGAAGAAGGGGATCTCAGCGGTAACTCTGTGATATCCGCTTCCGTGGGCCGTTCTTTGTGTGGACCAGAGCGTCACTTGACGAAGGGGATCTCAGCGGTAGCTCTGTGATACCCGCTTCTGTGGGCCGTTCTGTGTGTGGACCAGAGCGTCACTTGACGAAGGGGGTCTCAGCGGTAGCTCTGTGATATCCGCTTCCGCGGATTCTCGTGACAAGACACTCACCAGGTGGGCAGTCCGCGTAGCACGGAGAGGGGACGCATCGCGAACCAGTTTGTCGATTGATGAACGGAGTGTAGCTCCGTCTCCCAAGAAGGATAAAGTTCACCTCGTAAACTTGCGTGTAGTTTTTTTACAATTAACTCGTTAAGTTTCTGACGTCTGGATGTAAAAACAATACATTTTGAGCGGTTCAACTTTTATGTCCGTGTTAGTTACTGCCGGCATCGCAGAGATGGACTTAAGACCCTTTGCCTATACACGTGGCAGTTCGCCAGCCCTGGTTCAAACGAGCCTGACTGCTGATGAGGCATTGAATGTAAAAACCAGTCCTTGGCCTATACACATACCAGTTCGCCAGCCCAGGTTCAAGCGAGCCTGCCTGCTGATGAGACATTGAATGACAAAACCAGTCCTTTGCCTATACACGTGCCAGTTCGCCAGCCCTGGTTCAAGCGAGCCTGCCTGCGGATGAGGCATTGAATGGCAAAACCAGTCCTTGGCCTATACACGTGGCAGTTCGCCAGCCTTGGTTCAAGCGAGCCTGACTGCTGATGAGGCAGCGAATGTCGAAACCGGTCCTTGCGTCTAAACATTTGGCAGTTCGCCAGCTCTGGTTCAAGAGAGCCTGACACGGAACGTTTAAGTTTCATTTATTAGGTATAGCCCTGTGAGCCATGCGGCTCTTAAGTCGGGTGCAACCGCAACAAACAAAATTTGTGTTGTTTGTTTTTGTTGTTGTTTGTTGTTTGTGCACCACTTCCAACGCAGCAGCCAGTACGATACGAGCTCACCCCGAGTGCCATGAACGTTGTTGTTGTTTATATTTTATTGTTTGTCTGTTGTTGTTGTTCACACAATCCGTCCACGCGTCGTTCATTTGAACCGATATAAAAAATAAATGTAAACCCCCCCCCCCCCCATGAACCAACCTTCCCCGCCCAAAGAGGCACCACCATCATCCCCACCACCACCCACGCGGTCGCCGATTGTCACTGGCCACCACCAAATATTCTAGATTTGAAGTTTTGCCTACTTCAGTTAACTGTTTTTTTTGCTGTGGTTGTTCCCACCTGATGATGGACGCTTGTGTTGCGTCCGAAACGTCGTGATTTACAGTGAGGGAAAAAAGTATTTGATCCCCTGCTGATTTTGTAGGTTTGCCCACTGACAAAGAAATTATCAGTCTATCATTTTAATGGTAGGTTTATTTGAACAGTGAGAGACAGAATAACAACAACAAATTCCAGAAAAACGCATGTCAAAAATGTTATAAATTGATCTGCATTTTAATGAGGGAAATAAGTATTTGACCCCTCTGCAAAACATGACTTAGTACTTGGTGGCAAAAACCCTTGTTGGCAATCACAGAGGTCAGACGTTTCTTGTAGTTGACCACCAGGTTTGCACATATCTCAGGAGGGATTTTGTCCCACTCCTCTTTGCAGATCTTCTCCAAGTCATTAAGGTTTCGAGGCTGACGTTTAGTAACTCGAACCTTCAGCTCCCTCCACAGATTTTCTATGGGATTAAGGTCTGGAAACTGGCTAGGCCACTCCAGGACCTTAATGTGCTTCTTCTTGAGCCACTCCTTTGTTGCCTTGACCGTGTGTTTTGGGTCATTGTCATGCTGGAATACCCATCCACGACCCATTTTCAATGCCCTGGCTGAGGGAAGGAGGTTCTCACCCAAGATTTGACGGTACATGGCCCCGTCCATCGTCCCTTTGATGCAGTGAAGTTGTCCTGTCCCCTTAGCAGAAAAACACCCCCAAAGCATAATGTTTCCACCTCCATGTTTGACGGTGGGGATGGTGTTCTTGGGGCCATAGGCAGCATTCCTCCTCCTCCAAACACGGCGAGCTGAGTTGATGCCAAAGAGCTCCATTTTGGTCTCATCTGACCACAACACTTTCACCCAGTTGTCCTCTGAATCATTCAGATGTTCATTGGCAAACTTCAGACGGGCATGTATATGCGCTTTCTTGAGCAGGGGGACCTTGCGGGCGCTGCAGGATTTCAGTCCTTCACGGTGTAGTGTGTTACAAATTGTTTTCTTGGTGACGATGGTCCCAGCTGCCTAGAGATCATTGACAAGATCCTCCCGTGTAGTTCTGGGCTGATTCTTCACCGTTCTCATGATCATTGCAACTCCACGAGGTGAGATCTTGCATGGAGCCCCAGGCCGAGGGGGATTGACAGTTCTTTTGTGTTTCTTCCATTTGCGAATAATCGCACCAACTGTTGTCACCTTCTCACCAAGCTGCTTGGCAATGGTCTTGTAGCCCATTCCATCCTTGTGTAGGTCTACTATCTTGTCCCTGACATCCTTGGAGAGCTCTTTGGTCTTGGCCATGGTGGAGAGTTTGGAATCTGATTGATTGATTGCTTCTGTGGACAGGTGTCTTTTATACAGGTAACAAGCTGAGATTAGGAACACTCCCTTTAAGAGTGTGCTCCTAATCTCAGCTCGTTACCTGTATAAAAGACACCTGGGAGCCAGAACTCTATCTGATTGAGAGGGGGTCAAATACTTATTTCCCTCATTAAAATGCAAATCTATTTATAACATTTTTGACATGCGTTTTTCTAGATTGTTTTGTGTTATTTTGTCTCTCACTGTTCAAATAAACCTACCATTAAAATTATAGACTGATAATTTCTTTGTCAGTGGGCAAACGTACAAAATCAGCAGGGGATCAAATACTTTTTTCCCTCACTGTAATTCATATTTATTTATTTATTTTACTTACGTGACTTTACCGAAAGAACCACAGAGTATGAGTACACCACCAATTAATTTGTTCCTCAAGGGCAGCGGTTCTTAATCTGGGCCCACGGCTCTCGGGGACTTAAACAGTCGCGGTGATCGATGCGCTTGCAGGGTTGTGTGACGATAATATGGGGGGAGCGGTGGCGCAGTGGTTAGCGCCGCACTGGGCGCTGTGAACCCGGCGACGAGCCGAGTTCGATTCCCGCACGCAGCCAGACGTGGCAGGGAACACTTTAA